TGATAAAAGAGGTTATCACGCTTGTGTGTTTGGGGATGGTAAAGGATGTATTAGGAATAAACACTATGTATCTAGCTCGCTAAATGCAATGTTTATTCCCAATGCAGGATATTTACCATCCCCAAATATACTCGCGTGATAACCTCTATTTACGCAGCCAAGCTCGACTAGGTTCCTGTCTACCTAAATTAGTAGACAGGCGGCGGCCGATTTCTCGAAGGCTGTGATTTGACGACACTGAACATGTTTCATTGGTCCTCTGTATCCAGTGTAAACCGCCGCATTCAGCAATATTCCAGCTATATGACGGCGGTCTGTAAATAATCGAGTCTGGACCAGACAATCCAGTGATTCATATCATGAGCATCGATCCACGCAACTGGCATCGATGACATGCATTAACCAAGTCAGCGAGCCTGACCACCCGATCCCTGCATCGGCCCAACGTCGGCTACATCATCGGCCCAGCGTCGGCAAACATCGTCGGGCCGATGAAGTTTTGCTCATCGGATCGACATCGGCCCATCGTCGGCAAACGTCATCGGCCCTGCATCGGCACTGCACCGGCCTAGCATTGTCCCAGCGTCGGCAAACATCGTCGGGCCGATGAAGATTTGCTCATCGGATCGACATCGGCCCAACGTCGTAAATAGCTATCTGGCCAGCCATCGGGCAGACATAGGCAACTGTTATCGAATCAGCATCGGATGGACATCGGCCCAAAGTCGACAATAATTATCGGCGCAGCATTGGGTTTACATTGGCCTGACAGTAATTACAGGTTTAGCATCAGCCTTGTCCAACCTCTCAAGTCCTATCACATTAGTCATTCAGACTTCATCACCCTTTCTCTTCTTTGCTCATTTACAATGGCAGTTGGGATGTTCAGTATTTTTACCTTTCATAATATTTGATGGCAGTTCTTGATTTTCTTCAAAATAAATGCATAAAGTACAAATGGCTAACAATTTGCAATAATCATTTAGAATTATCGATATCTTCCAAAATAGTCGAAAACATCCAAACTTAAATTTTTAACGCTTCATTAGTTTTTTTCATCTGCCATTGTCTAAAATAGGCTGATGTCATCTAAAGTAGTTGCCTGCAGAAGTCATTACTGACAACATCTCATCTTAATACTTCATGTAAATGATTCCACAATAGAACTTTTCAAAGGGTAGTGTTAGGGTACATAAAACTAAACATTTCTAAAAGCTGCACCTAGCTCTGATGTTAACGTTACAAAGATAAAATGTAAAACCAAAAAATGCTGAATTTTTAAGAAGATTATAATTTTTTATCATAGTTAATACTCTGAAAACCAACTGTAAGTAATATAAATACTTCTAGCTGTACAAAACAATCGAAATGCTTACGCAAGTTACAGTACTTTTTTTTATGTACCCTAATACATGTGCATATGGGTTGGCATATCTGCGTTCACAATATTTATAAACAATATGACATGGCATAACATTTCAGGAACATTTTCAAAATGTAACAATTACAGTTGTTGTTGAATACTTTAGAAACGTTTTTTTGTGGGATGACATAAAATGTTGGAAGCATTTCTATAACTTTTTGTATTGTTCAGTTTGCTGTTTTCAGGAGCCAAATCAGTGATTACACCCCATACCATATGTCGCCAGTTATATGACATAATATGTTTTGTAAACATATACACCTTATTCGTATAATTTGGCATATGTGTTCACCATGTTTTTAAAACATGATGTTAACATTTCATTAAATGTTCTGGCATAACATTTCAGCAACGTTTTGAAAACATTGTAATGACATGTTGTGACACAGTTTCGCCCATGTTACACCGTGATGTCCTTAAATAACATTTTAAAAACATAACGAGAACATTTTGAGAAGATGCGAAAATTTACACCTTGTTTGTGTCATTTGGCATGTGTGTTCACGATGTTTTTAATACGTGATGTCAATTCGTAAACTCTTGGATAACATTTCCGAAACGTGTTCTGAAATAGTTTTGCCTATGTTATGGCATGATGTTCTTGAATAACGTTTTAAAAACATTTCAATAACACTTTGCATAATTATAAAACATCTACACCTTATTCGTATGATCTGACATATGTGTACACAATGTACTTAAAACATGATAACATTTCATGAAATATGTTCAGGCAAAACATTTCTGCAACGTGTTGAAAACATTGTAATAATATGTTATGAAATAGTTTCGGCCATGTTACAGAATGAATGTTCTTGAATAACATTTTGAAAACATTTGAATAACATTTTAAATAAACTGGGCGATTGATTGATCAACCACAGTATGAATGAAATTGTGCAATCACAGGTAATGTAAGCTCAAGGTAAACGATGGCGGGGTAACAAATTTCATTTTCAAACGTTGTCTGAAATGTCAACAAAAAATTGTCAGACACACTACAAGTTCATTGTCGACACAGTTGCCTTCAAAAGCGTGTATAACCTCCAGCTGCCTCAATGCATGCTGTGATACGCCGCCTCATCGATGACGTCAGTCTTCTGATTACGTGGACTGGAATCCGTTGCCACTCGTCTCTCGGGGCCTGCTGCAATTTTTGTCTGTTGGAAGGCTGGTGGCGTGCTCTAATCTGTCTGTCAAGATGATCCCACAGATGTTCATTAGGATTTATATCGGGTGAGTGGGCAGGCCAGGGCAAAACGTCAACGTTCTGCAGGTTTAGAAAGCTCCGAGTCAGTCTTGTAGTATGGGGCCTGGCATTGTCGTGTTGAAACACTGTCCCCTGCTGCTGGTTTTGTAAGAACGGAAGCACAACTGGCTGCAACACTTGGTCTCTGTACTGCACGGCGTTCAGGTTTCCCTGTAATTCACCAAATGAGTCTTCTGATCTCCACAAATACCGCCCCACACCATGACACCTCCCCCGCCGAATGGATGGACCTCTCGAATACACGCCGGAGTCAAACGTACCTCTCTGCGTCGATAAACTCGTTCTCTGTCGTCATTTCAAAACAAGTTAAACCGACTTTCAACAGCAAAGATGGTGTTGCTAGGAAGCTTGGGGAATATGCTGCGTCTGGCTCGGTCCAGTGCGTCCTTCTTCGAGTGGAAAGTTGGCATTGCAGACACCACCGCCTTGTTTTCTTCAGTCCATTCTCCATCGCGAAGTTTGGATACCTCTTCCTCAAATAATGATGGCATAGGCTGCAAGGAGGAGACTGCTTTCTGTTTCAGCTGGACGAGGGTTTCGGTAACCTAAGATATCAAAGGTTTTGGGTCAGTGATGTACAATTTTCATTGGTGATATACAGTGACATACATATATGCACATAAAGATTTGTCAGATTGTATAGTTACTAATAAAATGTCATCATATTAAATTAGTTTCATGGAATTTACCAACAAATGAATAATACTATTTCATATTCTCCTTCACTTACCTTCACTTGTTCTATGACTGGTGGATGAGTGTGGTTGTCCCTCATCATGGTGACGACGTCATCAATCATAGATGATGTAGCCTTGCAGTCTTTATTTTGTTTTAAGATGCGTTTTAATTATTAGTTCCGTTTTGATTAAGAATACGCGTAAGGCCTTGAAGTTTTCAAGAAGATATCTTTAACTCGATCAATTATATATACACATGTATATGACACGTGAACACAGTTTATATCTTAATCAGCTGAGATGTTCAATCATTTTCTTCTCAAATGTGAGATGTTCAATCATTTTCTTCTCACAAGTGTTCACCTGAACCCGAATTCCGTCCTACCATAAAGACAATCCGGATAAAAAGTTAAAATTACACGTCTAAACCCATTGTTCTCTTAATCCCCAGTAAACAACCCAGAGATCCAGATAAGCTGCGTATCTGCTTAAAAAACGCATCAGAAATGCAGAAATACGCAGTAAAATAATATCCAAGCGTATCAAATACGCAACGAACATTACAGATACGCTACAAAAATAAAACTTGTGCGTATATTCAAAATATTGTGAAGTAACCCTGCGTATTCGATTGGCAAATCAGCAACTTATTTTGAAATTATAAACGGGCATTCCGTCAACCTTGCCGAACTCCACGATGACAGTTACATCATGATCATTTGCCATCACACTTTCTTGTGGAAGTATCGTGGTATTTTTGAGTCCTATAAAGCTCTCGAACCCACACAACACCAGTTTGCAGGGACTAGATGAATAGTGTTTTTAAATATTTAACTTAAATACCCACATGTGTAAAAACTAGTGGGTAACAGAAATTTGAATACCCAGATAGAATAGCTGATACGCAGTGATTTTAAAATGCATGGGTAAAATACCCACAACACCAAAAGCTTATCTGGAGCTCTGCAACCCAACTGCTACTATTCGCTTTTTTCCGACCTTAATTTTGACCCCAAATGACTAAAGGTCGGCGTAACGCGAAGACACCATACTTGTCAACCACACTCTGTATATCACTTGCTTGATAACGGTGTTAGAACCTACACCGAAACGTCGCTCTTAATTGTAATAAAGAAGTTGTTCATCAATAAATTCTTATCCTTACTTAACAATTTAATCGTCAAATGTTACAGTCGAGATCAAGCCTGTTATGTTTCCACAGATATTTACAAATGCATGTTCAAAAGTTATGTTTATTATTCACTTGCTTGTTGATAAAAAGTCAAGCGAAGTACGTGTAATAATTATTTCACACAGTCTATATTCAAATCTTTAAGTGTAGATGTTATTAAAAACATATTACGAAGGCTGTGTAGAGAGAGCTCCGCGAACGGGCTATCGCTGTGAGGAGCTTGCTGCTTGATAATACTTTCGTAACAACGTATATCCTTAATAGTGACAATACCCGAAAAATCAGCAACAGTTTCGCATTACACCTTTAAGTATCAGATAAATATAATGCATGCTTCAAAATAAGTATTTTCTGTTATATCTTATTAATTTTATCGTAGTTAAATAAGTTATAAACGATTTCCTATTTGACTCTGTATACAGTTGTCAACATAACATGAGGCGAATAAACCTGAGTGCACATTGACGTTTGAGTTCAAGTGTTTATTATTCACAGAGAAGTAAGATGTCGAATGCGGCATTGATGAGCTGCCTTGATGACTGGAAAGACCTGGAGAAAGAATATGCACAGTTAGAGGTATACTGTCGCATTGATGTCTTTCTCAATATTTCCCGAAGTCCTAGGCAATGGAGAACGTTGTTTAGAACGTAATCTTGATAGCCTATTTGGACATTGTGAATAATGTTTGCTGCATTAAACTGTCACTGAACTAGTGTGTTTCGGTCAGGCATTCACATTCACAATTGTGAGTGAGCAAGGGAAATGCAACAGTGACAGATATTTACGCCCAATTGTAATCTGAGGTTAATACCAGGCCCAATGATGTTATGTCCCCTACCTCAGACTTGGGACTCCTCCAGCCTACCCATAGATATTCGTACAAACCTGTGACGATCTAGCGGGGCAGTAATTTTTCAAGAGTCAGATGGCATTCGGACATTTTCATGGTTGATACAAATTTTTTATTGTTAATTTTTCTCCCGTAGCATTACGTAATTTGAATACAAACTGACCCAAAGCCGAACAGTCCTTCAATCCTTGTTTCATCCACTAAATGCCGAGCACCGGACAGGGTAACAACAAGCACCATCTATTAATGTCTATTGGTATGATGCATCCGGGGGTAAAACCACCTTCGTCTCTTTGGGCAGACCCTCCATCCACTGGACCATGGAGACGGTCTGAACATATCTGAAACACTGTGAGGGCAGATACTGACACAAGCGTGAAGTCATCGTTATTCAATCCATAAGATCCTGGTTAGGATATGTCTTCCGCAATCCTTGCTTGTCCTAAGAGGTGACTAACAGGATCTGGTCTTCAGGCTCGCTGACATGGTTGATGCATGTCATCATATCCCAATTGCGCGGATTGATGCTCATGCTATCTATCACTGGATTGTCTGGTCCAGACTCGATTATTTACAGACAAATAACGGGAATATTTTTGAGTACAGCATTAAACAACAAGTAAACATAGTAATTCCCCTTTTTCCAAACTGGTGTCAATACCCTACCTTATGTGAATGGACCCGTGAAGATTCCGGGGTAGAATAGGTCTTCAGCAACCCATGCTTGCTGTAAAAGGTGACTATGCTTGTCGTAAAAGGCGATTGGGTGGTCAGGCTCGCTGACTTGGTTGATACTTGTCATCGATCCCAATTGCGTGGAATGATGCTCATGATATCAATCACTGGATTGTCTGGTCCAGACTCGATTATTTACAGACCGCTGTCATATAGCTGGAATATTGCTGAGTGTGGCGTTAAACAACAAACCAACCAACCTTATGTGAATGATCGATTTCATCTGTAATCTGTTTTGTGATACACTTTTCCTTTTTCTCTTGAGTTCTATAATCTTGTGACAATCTTCCTATCAGTGACATGATCATTTGTTAGAATGTATGAAATAACTTGGGTCAATTAACCCCATCTCATCTACCCCATTTCTATGGAATGTCAACATTAGGAATAATAACACACCTATCACCATATTAAACATCTGGTGAGCAGAAAAATCTGTGAAATGGTTTGCTTGATTAGCATGTCATCGACCAGACCAACGCATTCCAGTGATTCCAGTGAGACAAATGGCATTAATTTTGAAAAATCTTCAAGACATTTTTTATGACCATCACTCCTAGAAAATGAACTGATCTCAAACCTTGATGATCACAAACCATTGCACCAACATGACATCAATGTTTCCAAGTCAAAAAAGAACTTGAAAAATTGAAACCTATTTCAGATTGCGAAAATTATAAAAACTAGTCATGATACGACTGACACGCGACTATAGGGAAGCAGAGTCACTTTCTGTTGTTTTCTGGGGATAATGTAGAACTAAACTACATGGCTCTGTCTTGAATTGGAATAACACAAGGAAGTCTACATTACTGAATGGTTAAAGGTACTCATTATATTATCCCAATACTAATGCAATGGCTGTACATCTATTTCAACAGCATCGCAATAGTATTTTCAGTGAAGATAGTCATCCCTATAAATGAATCACCCTCTGTATCATGTGTGCCATGGTTTGAAATAATAATGGATACATATGGAAAATATCAGTATCTTGCTTTTTTCAAAATCATGCATATTTTCATCGTTTGGCAAAGTTTACATAAGTGACAACAATAGATAAGTCGAGTTGAAACTATGTAATTAGCAACTGTTTCCTCTGATCGAATAAGCAAAACTATTTGTGATCAGTTTTCCATACAATAGTGTCTATTACACATCTGTTGTGACCATAGCAACATCCAATCAAGTACAAAGAACATGCGGGGTGGGGAGGGAGGGTGGTTCATCCCTAATTATTGATGAAAGAATGCATGCAATATATTGTGCATGTCGCAATACATGAACAATTTGCGATATGAAATTCCGGCCAATACCATCGCTAATCATGTGTATTGCAGACTGACCACAAGACCTATGTGAAGCAGCTGGAGGAGATGACTGCTACGCAGAAAAAATGTCTAGCCAGCATCGCCCACCACAGGTATCGCATGAAGCGCATTCAGGATTCAGTGAAGAGGTGAGATAGCATCCGACTCGAAGGCTGCTGTGTCGTGTGGGTAATGTTAAAGTGGAAGTAACGTGAACAAAGTATTGCGATTGTGTTGTGAATATCAGTTTCCTGAGCTACGTTAAGTCAATTCCCGAGAGAAAAATTCATAACATTCGTGAAGAGTATTTAAATGTCCAAGTAAAAGTGCTGAACTCTCACGCTCATTAGTCTTATTCCTATATTTTATGCATGGCCTTTAGCTTCATGTGCAGCGTTGTGTGACAAGTGTTTTCATCATCTTCTCGAGGCAAGAGAGTTAACTGACTTTAAAAATCCATTTCCATCCTTGCCGAACTAGGCTAGAATTCCTGGGCTTGATCGTAGCGCCACCAGTGGCTATTACAAGTTATGTCCAATCTATGGACCAATCAGATTCCACCTCACAGATTCACATGCATTTACTTCAAAGAAAATGGTGGCGCTATCAAGACAATCTGATCGACCATTAAGATCTAGATTGTGAAAAAACGGTTCTTACTTCGCGAAGTACTTCAAATCAAGTGAGCACCTTGATTAAAAACATGAAAAGATTTGGAAAATATCTGTTGACAACGAGTTGGCGATGCACATGCTTTGCAAATCCTGCAATCAACGGAACTCTGCATGACAGTTTACGCACCAGATTTCGATTTCGGTGCGCGATTTTGATTGGACTATGCATAGACTCGTTAGTCCAGCCAAAATCTAACTCCATAATCCCAGCCTATTTCAGCAAGGGTGGAAACTGAACTTTTATAGTCAGTTAACACTCTTACCTCGGGAAGATGGTTTTCATTGGCTGATGTGTAGACTTGGTTACACCATCTTTCTACTGTATAGTCTATCTTGAGATGCTTAGCAACTGCAGGATTCATCAGGAAGCAGTCAACGTAAAAGTGTTGCTATTTCTGTTCTACAAAAAAACCATTGCATACTTTGTTGAGTTTGTGAAACAAACTTTGATTTTGACACATAACTGATAAATAATTTGATTTTTGTGCATTATTAAAATAACAATTAATATCTGTATATAGCTTTGTTAGACATCCTGTTGGGGTACCATAAACCACCTGCTGCCCTCTGTGCTATTCCACAGAATGAATGCCTGTCAGGAATTAACCCTGTGAAACAACTGATCTTAGTTATTAATAAGACACCAGTTTACATGAGTTGTGGTTACGGTGGACACGGTCAATTTTATAAACTGCTAGGCGGAAGCAGACAGCGGGCCCGATTGTTGAAATTGTGCACGCATCAAACACTGGGAACCTGTGGCGCTAGTGGCGACTTCGCCTGTCATTTTGTATCATCTCTTTTATGCTATTTCTGTTTTTCGAATTTCATTTTTTGTCAAGCGTTTGTGATTTAGTGTTCCCTGAAGTAATTACATCTGTAAAATTGCTAAGTTAAGCTTGTTTGCGACCAAACATGTGCAGCCAACTATGACCGTGAACGGATGCAGGAGGATCTTTCTTGGAGGGCCTTCAACAGGACCATATATGGAGCCTCTCTATATAAAGTCTTGCCTCAACGCTGTATTTTCATATCAGTGTTTGGATGTTTTTAATATGATATTTACGACCTATGAAGATCCGGGGTAGAATAGGTCTTCAGTTACCCATGCTTCCCGTAAAAGGCGACTATGCTTGTCGTAAAAGGCGACTAACGGGATTGGGTGGTCAGGCTCGCTGACTTGGTTGATGCATGTCATCATATCCCAATTGCGTGGATCGATGCTCATGATGTCAATCACAGGATTGTCTGGTCCAGACTTGATTATTTACAGACCACCATCATATAGCTGGAATATTGCTGGAGTGCGGCGTTAAACAACAAATAAACAAACAAACATAATATAATATTTGCAATAATGATGTTACGACCTATCCAATTCTGCCAAGATGTACTTGCCCTTTAAGCATGTTAACATGTTAATGCAGTAATGTAATGATACTCATTTGGCAGCGATTTTTTCTTGAGACAAAAGGCATTAGCACAATTATGATATTGTGTTATTTGGATGGGACATTCTTCTATATCAGTACTAAATTTGTAAATAAAACTTTCTTTCATTTTAGGCGACTCGATCAATGTTCTTGAAAATGGTCTTATTCTGAGATTAGGATTAGAATTGATGTTGAACGTCACTTGTCAATATTGTTAAAGATAATATATTTTTGTATCATTTTGGGGACAAATTTGGGTCAAAACTGGTTTAGACTGGAAACGTGACACTGACTTATGGAAGAATCAGTGTGGATTGATTCCTGCTCAGCAACCCGTCCCCAGTCATGTTTTGATATCCAGTCCAAAATTGAGGAAGTTCATTCTTTTGAGGGGCGGTCGGGTAGCCTAGTGGTTAAAGCGTTCGCTCTTCACGCCGAAGACCCGGGTTCTATTCCCGACATGGGTACAATGTGTGGAGCCCATTTCTGGTGTTCCCGGAGTGATATGGCTGGAATATTGCTAAAAGCAGCGTAAAACCCCACTCACTCACTCATTCTTTTGAGGATACAATTTCGAAAACATAGTTTTAATTTCTTGAGAAATTTTACTGAGTTTGCGAACTTCAGCACATATCACAAAAGATGTGATACCATATTAGACTGTTAACATGGTTTCTTTTCTTTTAAGAGCTGGGAAAGAATTTTCGGAAGAGGAAGTTGAGTCCCTACAGAAGCTCCAAGCATCAGTGCAGGAGAGGAAGATTACCTTCCGGGAGATGGAGGAGGTGCTCCCCCACAAGAATGGGTAAACTGACGCCCATTCTCAACAATGTTGGCATCAATGCGAAGTGTCATAGAGCTAGGTGTTTTTCCCCCATGGTGATTCCGGGCTAGAATTGACTTAAAAGATCAGGGGGTCAGTCTCAGTGACTTTGATTTCATGTCATGATACCTCAATGGCATGGATCATTGCACACTATTAATCACTGGATTGTCTGGTCCATATTTGATTATTACATGTCACTGTCATGTCACTAGATTGTTACTGTGTACTGTGTTAGACAACAAACAAAATGTGATACTTGTACTGATGTACTACTAGTTTAACTGTGGTAACATGAAATAATCAACTTTTGAGTTGTATATATTGTGTTTGCAAGGATCTTGGAAAGTATTTGTTTTAATTATGAAGAGCTGACAATTAGATGTGTTTCTTGTGCAGTTGATTAACATGATGATCAGTTTTCCTTGCCGTAAAAGGCGACTATATATACATGTCGTAAGAGGCGACTAACAGGATCGGGTGGTCAGGAGTACTGACTTGGTTGATGCATGTCATTGTATCCCAATTGCATAGATCGATGTTCATGATGTCAGTCACTGGATTGTCTGGTCCAGACTTAATTATTTACAGACTGTCGTCATATTGCTGAGTGCAGCGTTGAACAACAAACAAACAACAACTGTTTTTCCTTGATTCCAGGTTCTACTTGAGCATCATCCTTGGTCAGGTGAACGTCTCCCTGCTCAACAAGAACGACAAGTAAGCGACAGGATCATACTTGCAGGATTTCATTTATTTTATGTATTTTGTATTCATGTATTTTTGAAACATGAATCTTTGAGAGTTTGCAATGGTATGTTGAGAAGAAGTTGTTTCTGTGTGCGTGCGTGCGTGCGTTCTGTTGTTATGATGCGTCAAGAAATCGAACCACTGACCTTCCTCTATCAGACACTCTATCCACAAGACCACAGACACGGTTTGCGATGGATAAAGTCACAAGGCCCATGTACTGTCTACTGTGTTTAAATGTGGATTGGGTAATTGATCATTGGTTGTGACCCTTGCTGATCTATTGCCCTTTTGAATGGATAGTCGGGCAGGTAGTCACCTATCTGACAGAAATGTCACCAGAAATAAGCGCCTGCCTGTAGGCCCATGGCAGGTAGATCTTGTGGTGGGCAGGTAGTTTCTAATTTGTATGCTTTGTTTTGGCCTGCATTAAAGTTATGTGTCAATTTATCTGTCACAACAAGTGTCATTTTAAATGAGGGGCTGAAAATGTTATTCAGGGCCTGCAGCTTCTAAAATCTGTGGGTCCTGATGGAAGTCTGGCAATATATTTCATTTCAAACACTGGGTGGCAGGAAGCTACATTGAACACTGTTCAGAACCAAAGCATTGTATTTATTAGGCCTTAAAGTTACAAGTCACAAGACTGTCCTCTTCTGTGCCCAAATGAGAATTGAATTGCCAACATGGCCACTATGGAGATTGTAGATGTGGACTTGTACTCACCTTGCACTCCTGTTGGTGCCAGCTTTGCTCTTATATCTATCTGTGATTGCCTTGGTTCGCCTCTCATCTGATATCAGTCCACTTTGTGCTACAGATACGACTACAAGCATGAATATGAGAGGTTCAAACTCACAGTCAGCTACGTGATAATGATCCTCGCACTGGCCATGACATTCGTCACAGAGTACAGGTATGCTTTGTTGTGTTGAATTACCTCCCTTGATGACCTGTGAAGATTCCGGGGTAGAATAGGTCTTCAGCAACCCATGCTTGCCGTAAAAGAGACTATGCTTGTCGTAAAAGCCGACTAACGGGATTGGGTGGTCAGGCTCGCTGACTTGGTTGATGCATGTCCAATTGCGTGGATCGATGCTCATGATATTAATCACTGGATTATCTGGTCCAGACTTGATTATTTACAGACCGCCGTCATATAGCTTGGATATTGCTGAGTGCAGCTTTAAACAACAAACCAACCAACCTCCCTTGATTGTCCTCGCACGTTCAAATCCTGCAAGCCAGAGGCTTATGTATTCCACTCAAATTAGAATTATGTTGTTGTAAACAGTGTGTGCTGACAGCTTTCATGTTACTACCTTGAACTTGGTGCTTAGCATCATTTGTTTACATTTGTGTTCTCATTTTTACTCTTGTTAGCTGAGCTAACTAGACCAAACAGAACTTTACTAGACTCAGGCTTTGAGTTGCAGATTGCAATCATTCTTGCCTTTTACAACATCTGAGCACAATTTGAGAAATAGTAAACCACCTTGAAAATTGAACATGCCATGTATAGTTCAGGTTAAGGTGTACTTTTAACATTGAACATGTTAAAGTAACTAGAAATTTCACCTGCTGCAATAAAACATCATGCGAATACCATTGAAAGTGATAATTTATATACATCATTGTACTTGTACCTTGGTGAATTTAGTTTTTGAAATTAAGCATGGAAGTCGACAACGTCACTTTAATTTCATTGATGTGGCCCGGAGATTACGATGCAATAGCAGAAAACCTCAAGGACCCAGAAATCCTCCTTAATTTAGAGCACTTTGTAGGTCTGGCTGAAATTTTCCAGAAATTAGTTTCTAGAGGAGGGACATATCTGAATGAGGTGTTGTTGCTAAGCTGGCTGTTAGCCTGTCATTGTAAACTTCTTAACTGACATATTGTGGGATTTAGTGAGGAGAAGACATGTCTGAATGAGGTGTTGTTGCTAAGCTGGCTGTTAGCCTGTCATTGTAAACTTCTTAACTGACATATTGTGGGATTCATTGAGGAGAAGACATGTCTGAATGAGGTGTTGTTGCTAAGCTGGCTGTTAGCCTGTCATTGTAAACTTCTTAACTGACATATCGTGGGATTCAGTAAGGAGAAGACATGTCTGAATGAGGTGTTGTTGCTAAGCTGGCTGTTAGCCTGTCATTGTAAACTTCTTAACTGACATATTGTGGGATTCATTGAGGAGAAGACATGTCTGAATGAGGTGTTGCTAAGCTGGCTGTTAGCCTGTCATTGTAAACTTCTTAACTGACATATCGTGGGATTCATTGAGGAGAAGACATGTCTGAATGAGGTGTTGCTAAGCTGGCTGTTAGCCTGTCATTGTAAACTTCTTAACTGACATATCGTGGGATTCAGTAAGGAGAAGACATGTCTGAATGAGGTGTTGTTGCTAAGCTGGCTGTTAGCCTGTCATTGTAAACTTCTTAACTGACATATTGTGGGATTCATTGAGGAGAAGACATGTCTGAATGAGGTGTTGCTAAGCTGGCTGTTAGCCTGTCATTGTAAACTTCTTAACTGACATATTGTGGGATTCATTGAGGAGAAGACATGTCTGAATGAGGTGTTGCTAAGCTGGCTGTTAGCCTGTCATTGTAAACTTCTTAACTGACATATTGTGGGATTCATTGAGGAGCAGACATGTCTGAATGAGGTGTTGCTAAGCTGGCTGTTAGCCTGTCATTGTAAACTTCTTAACTGACATATTGTGGGATTCAGTGAGTGTACATGTCTGAATGAGGTGTTGCTAAGCTGGCTGTTAACCTGTCATTGTAAACTTCTTAACTGACATATTGTGGGATTCAGTAAGGAGTATACATGTCTGAATGAGGTGTTGTTGCTAAGCTGGCTGTTAGCCTGTCATTGTAAACTTCTTAACTGACATATTGTGGGATTCATTGAGGAGAAGACATGTCTGAATGAGGTGTTGTTGCTAAGCTGGCTGTTAGCCTGTCATTGTAAACTTCTTAACTGACATATTGTGGGATTCAGTAAGGAGAAGACATGTCTGAATGAGGTGTTGTTGCTAAGCTGGCTGTTAGCCTGTCATTGTAAACTTCTTAACTGACATATTGTGGGATTCATTGAGGAGAAGACATGTCTGAATGAGGTGTTGTTGCTAAGCTGGCTGTTAGCCTGTCATTGTAAACTTCTTAACTGACATATCGTGGGATTCAGTAAGGAGAAGACATGTCTGAATGAGGTGTTGTTGCTAAGCTGGCTGTTAGCCTGTCATTGTAAACTTCTTAACTGACATATTGTGGGATTCATTGAGGAGAAGACATGTCTGAATGAGGTGTTGCTAAGCTGGCTGTTAGCCTGTCATTGTAAACTTCTTAACTGACATATCGTGGGATTCATTGAGGAGAAGACATGTCTGAATGAGGTGTTGCTAAGCTGGCTGTTAGCCTGTCATTGTAAACTTCTTAACTGACATATCGTGGGATTCAGTAAGGAGAAGACATGTCTGAATGAGGTGTTGTTGCTAAGCTGGCTGTTAGCCTGTCATTGTAAACTTCTTAACTGACATATTGTGGGATTCATTGAGGAGAAGACATGTCTGAATGAGGTGTTGCTAAGCTGGCTGTTAGCCTGTCATTGTAAACTTCTTAACTGACATATTGTGGGATTCATTGAGGAGAAGACATGTCTGAATGAGGTGTTGCTAAGCTGGCTGTTAGCCTGTCATTGTAAACTTCTTAACTGACATATTGTGGGATTCATTGAGGAGCAGACATGTCTGAATGAGGTGTTGCTAAGCTGGCTGTTAGCCTGTCATTGTAAACTTCTTAACTGACATATTGTGGGATTCAGTGAGTGTACATGTCTGAATGAGGTGTTGCTAAGCTGGCTGTTAACCTGTCATTGTAAACTTCTTAACTGACATATTGTGGGATTCAGTAAGGAGTATACATGTCTGAATGAGGTGTTACTGCTGCAGGTGGATCGATGCAGTCCTCAACTTCCTGTTGGTGTGGTACTACTGTACACTGACCATCAGGGAGAGCATCCTTGTCGTCAATGGATCCAGGTATGTTGTGAAGTCTCCCATGCATCATGTTGTGTCAGGGGGCATGGGTGGCCTCGTCGTCTCAGACACCACAGTTAGCGCTGCAGAGTTTTCTCCCTTAGTTATACCAGGTAAATGTCAAGACCTGATTCATTTAGGCTTCACCCACATCAAGCTTACAAGAGTCAGTGAGTATTTTGGCAATATCACGGCGGAGGACACCAGAAATGGGCTCACACATTGTACCCATGTTGGGAATCGAACCTGGGTCTTCGGCGTGACGAGCAAACGCTTTAACCACTAGGCTACACAGCTGCCATGATATGACTGAAATACAGTTCAAAGTTCAGCATTAAACATCTCAAATCCATCTTCTGGTACACTTATTGATGTTATTCCAAGGTTGCAGATAAAAAATTTAAACATGGTACTTTGTCTTACCTTGAATGTTGATGTTATTGTAGTGCTGAAATCATGACATGTTTTCCTTTCTGAACAACTTGTATTCTGATCCTGCTTCAATTTCTGAATGTTTCAGAATAAAAGGCTGGTGGCTCACCCATCATTTCGTGTCAACTGTCTGTGCAGGAATAAGTTTAATTTGGTAAGATTATGACAACTCTTAGTTTCTCCTTTCATAAGGAAAGTTATTCACAGTTCACTTGCAGTGTTTAGCTATGTGTTATAAAGTCAGATCATTCCAAGCTCATGTGTATTTGTGTTTACCTGTCTTGTATACCATGTACCAGTCTGCTGTAAACATTGTATTTGGAAATGAATGAAATGAAAGTGAAATATGGCAGTGTTCCTCACTAGAAAAGTGACACGTCTTCTGAAACTTCTGGAGTGACCATGGTTAACCTTGTGCACCATTTCACACACAATTACCGACCTACTAGTCTTGATATGATTGTTTCAAAAAGATTATGCTATGCACAAACTTATTTGATAGGGTGAGGCATCTTGCATTCATTTTTTTATACATTCTGTCTGCATGATCTCGGGGGCGGCAAATTCATTTTGGTGACACATATTTCAGTTTGCTCTCAGATGTTCAAATTGAAGTAGTTCACCATGAATTCTTATCAATTCCAAGAAATTCCTCTTGCAGGATACTGTCAGCAAAAACATGTATGACTACCTGGAATAAATCAATACACTTGAATCTGTCATGTATGTAATTCCATCAATCTGTATTGCAGGCCAACGGGATGGACATATCAACAATTTAGACGACAATATATCATTTTCACTTTGTATATAAGTAAGTAGCTCCTTTATTTATTATCTGTTTTGATTTGTCAAAATTTGACAATTCTCCACATGTATCCGGGGAAACAAGTGGCCCAGTCGTCAAAGTGCCACAATTCACTATGCAGTGTTGCATCCCTTGGGCACACCAGAAATTGACGATTAAGGGGTTCGAATGTTGGTTTTTGCCATGATTATGTATTTAGATTTGTTAGCACCATATCCATACTGTGTTAAACGCAACTCACTCACTGACTCCATATGAATCTCATCTTACTGCTTACTATTTCTGTGTTGAGCAGGGCTAATCAATCCATTCCCCATCTTCCCGAGGCAAGTGAGTTAACTGACTATAAAAGTCCAGTTTCCACCCTTGCCGAACTAGGCTGGTATTATGGAGTTACGTTTTGGCTGGGCTAATGAGTCTATGCAGTGTCTAATCAAAATCGCGCACCGAAATCAAATTCCAGTTTGTAAACTGTCATGCAGATTTCTGTCGATTGCAGGATTTGCAAAGCATGTGCACCGCCAACTCGTTGTCAACAGATATTTTCCAAGTCTTTTCATGTTTTTAATCGACCGCCTCCGTGGTCTTGTGGTAGAGCGTCCGCCCGGAGAGCGGAAGGTCCAGGGTTCGATCCCGAGCCGCGTCATACAAAAAGACGTTAAAAGATTGTACTTGTTGTTACCCTGTCTGGCGCTCGGCATTAAGGGGCTAAAACAAGGACTGGTCGGCTCGGAGTCAGTATACTGTGTCTGTGTGGGGTATTCATGTTAAACTGCGGCATGGTATATCAGTGAGCTAGCACTATAAATCGGCATCAGTCCGGACTAGTACAAGCAGCCACACACACACATACATGTGCATGCACGTCGCTATATAAGTGCAATAATCTTGGACGCGACGTTAAACCCAATTTCACCTCACCTCATGTTTTTAATCAAGGTGCTCACGTGATTTGATGCACTTCGCTATGTAAGACCCGTCTTATCACAATATAGATCTTGATTATCAATCAGGTCATTTTGACTGGGCGGCACCATTTTGTTTGAAACAAATGCAAGTGATACGAGAGGTGGAATCTGATTGGTCCATAGGAGAGGCTTAGAAGGGACATAACTCGTAATAACCACTGCTGGCGCTACGGTCGAGCCCAGGAATTCAAGCCTAGTTCGGCAAGGGTGGAAACTGGAATTTTATAGTCAGTTAACTCCCTTGCTACGGGAAGATGTCCATTACCCAGATACTCTGATGTTTGTTATCAATATCTTGTGCGGTGACAGTTTTGTTTTCAAGTGTACAATCTGTAGGCAACAAGGAGACCAAAATGGTTCATGTGGTCAAACTTGCTGACTTGGTTGAATGTGTGTCATCATACCCCAGCAGCATGGATCATTGCTCATTATATCAATCACTGGTTTGTCTGGTCCAGACTTGATTATTTAGAAGCTCGTCATATAGCTGGAATGTTGCTGAATGCAGCATAAAACAATTACAACAACTCTGTAAATGTACAACTGTTTCTTGAATAGCTGTTAGAAAGAAGCTGACGAAGACTTCTGATTGTATTAGGGGGCACCCGTGGCCCAGTCCTCTAAGGCGCCGCGATTCGCTGTGCAGAGTTGCGTCCCTTAGGCACGCCAGAAACTTATGATTGTGGGTTCGAATCCCGGTTCGCCCCGATTATGTTTCTAGGTTTGTCAGCACCATACCCGTGCTTGTGGGTTTCACCGAAGTGGTAAACGACTTGCATCACTTCGGGCTTTCCTCCCACATTAAGCTGACACGCCGCGATATAACTGGAATACTGTTTAAAGCAGCGTTAAACCCAACTCACTCACTCACTCACTCACTCACTCACTCACTCACTCACTCACTCACTCTGATTGTATTACATGCAGTTTGAGCTTATATTGAAACTTTCCCATGTGTGAGACTGTCTGGTAGACCTGTGTGTAACTGACTGTTGGTGTCTCCCCAGGTTTTGTGTATGTGATGCAGTATTACTACCAGAGTGGCAGCTTGTACCGTCTGAGGACACTGGGACAGAGGCACGACATGGACATCACCGTCGGTGGGTACACAGGACACGCGGAACTGATTCCTGAAACAATATCGGTGTTACTACGTTCTCCCCACACTTAAACACAGATTGACACAACATGCTGCCCTAGGACATCTGGGACATATGTGTCCACAGGAGTCCTCTTGCAGTGAATGCGGATTAATGAACTTGCTTGTTTACACTTGTAAAGCACTGCAATATTGGGTATTGCTTCGTCAAAAACGTGTGGTTGGGGGTTCCAGATTTGTCAGAACCAAGCCATGCTGTGGGTTTCAGCAGGTGGTAACCATATAAAACCTGCATCACTTTGGGGTTTCCTCCTGCATCATGCTAACACCTGGATACAGCTGAAATACTGTTAAAACCACATTAAACCCAACTCACTCACTCTCTCTCTCACCTGTTAAACCCCATTTCTCCTCACCTCACAGGGCTCGATTTCAGCGTATTAAACATGCACAGGTGCATCCTCATATTCAAAAATGCAACCTGTTATTAGTGTCTACATGTACCCAGAGCTTGTCAAAAGTTTACAAATTTGTGACTGACTTCCTAAGAACGTTTTCTACTCAGTACACATCATTTCCCCGACGTCAATATTCCCAGTGTTTTGTGTACATTGACATTGTCCTTTGGGCTTGACGTCATCAAATGAATCTTACCAGGTCAATCTTATAATGACAAAAAGCAAGAGAATGTATGATATGTGTAAGTAATTCCTTTCGAAGCAATCTTGCCAGTGAACTGTAAACGTCAGAATATTAACAACACCGATGTACATCTATAGTTAATAGATTTCTTTATTGGTGCAACCTGGTACAGTCTGGTGCAACAAGGTTGTGATGTCAACTGCACCGAGGGCAAGCTATTTCAAGTTCTTTTTATATAGCCCTGTCTCACCATGTTTGAAAGAGATTGATATGTGCCTAATTTGTGTGTTTCAGAGGGGTTCATGTCCTGGATGTGGAAGGGCATGACGTTCCTCCTCCCCTTCCTGTTTGGTGGCTATGTAAGTCCTCAGTTTCCAGAATGATTAACTTGTTCAGAGTAACGAGTAGCTTGCTGGTAAAAGCGCTGCCCCAACTGTCTGTTTTCACAACAAAGTATCACCTTGACATGTCAAAAGTAATAACCTGTTCAGAGTTATTGACAGCTTGATGGTCATGAATTGTTGGTTTTAGCATTTCTTAGAAGTGGACAGGTGACAAAGAAGACACAATTTTTGGACAACTTCTATTTTCACTGTAATAGCGATGTTGCGGTATAGATACCGATACTGCAGCCAAGCAGGTCAGCTTGACAATGGTATAAGGATCTACACCCAAACATCGCTATTACAGTAAAATATAGAAGTTTTTATCCATGAATTGTGTCTAGTTTTGAGGCTATGAATTTGGCTCACAAGCCAATGTTCTGGGTTTGGTTTCCAACCTGGATACCAGCATTAGAAATTGGCACTAGTCCTGTAGACCCTGCCAAACTGCCCAATAGTTGAGGTACGAGGGGTGTTCAATAAAGATTTCCCCTAAACCACTTAGGGTTATCATATTTGGTTGAAATTTCACATGTGTAATGATACATGTATCTATGGGTTATGTCTGAATTTGCAACACCGAGCTATTAATCTTACCTCTTTTACAGGTGTTATGATCGAGTAGGGTGTGACAATGGAGCCAGTAGAATACCGAGCAGTGATTAGGTTTTTATATTTGAAAGGTCGCACAACAAAAGAAACTTTCGATGAAATGAAAGCAACTTATGGGGAAGATGCCCCATCATATGACATTGTTAAACACTGGCATCACCAGTCCAAGTGTGGTCAGACATCTGTGGAAACAGCTGCCATTCCTGGTCGCCCCCATTCAGCCATTGATGAGGACACTATCCATCAAGTGGAGACCGCCATTTTTGCAGACCAACGTATAACTGTTCGCCAGTTAGCACAAGATCTCAAGATCAGTGTAGGGTCTGTTGAAAAAATCATCCATGACAATTTGAACATGCATAAGGTGTCTGCACGATGGATTCCCAGGTTGCTCACACCTTTCCAAAAGCAGGAATTGCTCAAAGGATCTTTTGCACATGTGCCAAAAAAAACAGGCAAACGTTTTTGACAGACTTATCACACAGGATGAAACATGGGTCCATCACTATGATCCTGAGACTACAGTTCAGTTGATGCAATGGAAGCATGTGGAGTCACCACCCCCAAAGAAGGCACGTTTCCAACCCTCTGCAGGCAAGGTCATGCTCACGGTGTTGTGATAATGGATTTCTTGGAAAAGGGTACCACAATTACAAGAGCTTATTATGCTTCACTGTTGCGGAAATTGCGGGACGCTATCAAGCTTAAGAGGCGTGGCATGCTGACCAAGAGTGTCCGTCTCCTGCAAGACAATGCTCCAGTACACAACTCTCATGTTGCCCAGACAGAAGCGTGGTCCTGTGGCTGTGAAATCCTTCCACATCCTACTTACTCTCCTGACCTTGCACCATCTGACTTCCACCTCTTTCCAACCATGAAGTCATTTTTGAAGGGAAAACGTTTCACAGACGATGAAACACTGATTTCTGAAGTCAAGTCCTGGTTTGAGAAGCAAATTGAGGGCTTTTACAAGCGAGGTCTCCATAGTTGCATAAAACGATGGGAGAAGTGTGTAACTCTTGGTGGTTCCTATGTGTAGAAAGACTAATACCTATGCCAAGTTTCATTCCACTAGGTCCATCGGAAGTGGGTCAGGGGAAATCTTTAATGAACACCCCTCGTATCATAAGGACTGGTAGAAATTTGCCATTTTTAAGGTATTTGCTATTTGTTATCATCATGAGGACCAGAGGACTAATAATGTTAGTTTCAACCGCTGGGTACAATGTGCAATACTTGTGTCTGACATTTCTGGGCACAATATATTTTGTGTGTGAAAAAGGCAAGCTATCAGTTAGATTGATATGCAGAGCGGGTAGGATATGATTGTGAAGGTCAAACGCGAGGACACACCCTCACTGAGCAACCGTAAGCTGCTTTGACTTGTTCTTAGTTGACTATCTTCTCTTGTTTCTAGTCCATGTTATCTTTCATTGTAGAATGACCTGTATAGAATATATATAAACATGATCAGTCAGAGATATTTACTATTGATACTGTGGAGTTTTAACAATTAGTTTAGAACTAGAATTTAACTTTGTATCGGCATTATTTTAGCCATGTTGCTACTAATAAGTTTAGTAACCAGGGTATAATTCAGTACCAAAAGAAGCCATAATCGTCAATAAGACAATGTTTTGGTGGTACTTTCATGCTGGTCATGCCCGTTACTCATACCATGGCATGCAATGTAGCACAAGTGGTCCTCTGTTTCAGATCTTCCAGCTGTACAATGCTGTTGTTCTCTTTATGCTGTCTCGAGAACCTCAGTGCAAAGAATGGCAGGTACTGACACCCGTTATTCATCCTTTTCACCCCTGTAGTCCTTGGTCAATCCTCTTCACCTCTATAGTCCATTATCAATCCTCTTCACATCCATAGTCCTTTGTCCATCCTTGTCACCTCCATAGTCCATTGTCCACCCTCTTCACCTCTGTAGTCCTTTGTCCATCCTTGTCACCTACATAGTCCTTTATCCATCCTTGTCACCTCTGTAGTCCTTTGTCCATCCTTGTCACCTCCATAGTCCTTTATCCATCCTTGTCACCTCTGTAGTCCTTTGTCCATCCTTGTCACCTCCGTAGTCCTTTGTCCATCCTTGTCACCTCTGTAGTCCTTTATCCATTCTTGTCACCTCTATAGTCCTTTATCCATCCTTGTCACCTCTGTAGTCCTTTATCCATCCTTGTCACCTCCCTAGTCCTTTATCCATCCTTGTCACCTCTGTAGTTCTTTGTCCATCCTTGTCACCTCCGTAGTCCTTTATCCATCCTTGTCACCTCCGTAGTCCTTTATCCGTCCTCTTCACCTCCGTAGTCCTTTATCCATCCTTGTCACCTCCGTAGTCCTTTATCCATCCTTGTCACCTCCGTAGTCCTTTATCAATCCTCTTCACCTCTGTAGTCCTTTATCAATCCTCTTCACATCCATAGTCCTTTATCAATCCTCTTCACATCCATAGTCCTTTGTCCATCCTTGTCACCTCCATAGTCCATTATCAATCCTCTTCACCTCTGTAGTCCTTTATCAATCCTCTTCACATCCATAGTCCTTTATCAATCCTCTTCACATCCATAGTCCTTTGTCCATCCTTGTCACCTCCGTAGTCCTTTATCAATCCTCTTCACATCCATAGTCCTTTATCCATCCTTGTCACCTCTGTAGTCCTTTATCCATCCTTGTCACCTCCGTAGTCCTTTATCCGTCCTTGTCACCTCTGTAGTCCTTTGTCCATCCTTGTCACCTCTGTAGTCCTTTATCCATCCTTGTCACCTCCGTAGTCCTTTATCCATCCTTGTCACCTCTGTAGTCCTTTGTCCATCCTCTTCACCTCTGTAGTCCTTTATCCATCCTTGTCACCTCCATAGTCCATTGTCCATCCTCTTCACCTCTGTAGTCCTTTATCAATCCTCTTCACATCCATAGTCCTTTATCAATCCTCTTCACATCCATAGTCCTTTGTCCATCCTTGTCACCTCCATAGTCCATTATCAATCCTCTTCACCTCTGTAGTCCTTTATCAATCCTCTTCACATCCATAGTCCTTTATCAATCCTCTTCACATCCATAGTCCTTTGTCCATCCTTGTCACCTCTGTAGTCCTTTATCAATCCTCTTCACATCCATAGTCCTTTATCCATCCTTGTCACCTCTGTAGTCCTTTATCCATCCTTGTCACCTCCGTAGTCCTTTATCCGTCCTTGTCACCTCTGTAGTCCTTTGTCCATCCTTGTCACCTCTGTAGTCCTTTATCCATCCTTGTCACCTCCGTAGTCCTTTATCCATCCTCGTCACCTCTGTAGTCCTTTGTCCATCCTCTTCACCTCCGTAGTCCTTTATCCATCCTTGTCACCTCCATAGTCCATTGTCCATCCTCTTCACCTCTGTAGTCCTTTATCCATCCTTGTCACCTCCGTAGTCCTTTATCCGTCCTTGTCACCTCTGTAGTCCTTTATCCATCCTTGTCACCTCCATAGTCCATTGTCCATCCTCTTCACCTCTGTAGTCCTTTATCCATCCTTGTCACCTCCGTAGTCCTTTATCCATCCTTGTCACCTCCATAGTCCATTGTCCATCCTCTTCACCTCTGTAGTCCTTTGTCCATCCTCTTCACATCCATAGTCCTTTATCCATCCTTGTCACCTCCGTAGTCCTTTATCCGTCCTTGTCACCTCTGTAGTCCTTTGTCCATCCTTGTCACCTCTGTAGTCCTTTATCCATCCTTGTCACCTCCGTAGTCCTTTATCCATCCTTGTCACCTCTGTAGTCCTTTGTCCATCCTCTTCACCTCCGTAGTCCTTTGTCCATCCTTGTCACCTCCATAGTCCATTGTCCATCCTCTTCACATCCATAGTCCTTTGTCCATCCTTGTCACCTCCGTAGTCCTTTGTCCATCCTTGTCACCTCCGTAGTCCTTTATCCGTCCTCTTCGCCTCTGTAGTCCTTTATCCATCCTTGTCACCTCTGCAGTCCTTTGTCCATCCTCTTCACCTCCGTAGTCCTTTATCCATCCTCGTCACCTCTATAGTCCTTTGTCCATCCTCTTTATCTCCGCAGTCCTTTATCCATCCTTGTCACCTCTGCAGTCCTTTGTCCATCCTCTTCACCTCCGTAGTCCTTTATCCATCCTCGTCACCTCTGTAGTCCTTTGTCCATCCTCTTTATCTCCGCAGTCCTTTATCCATCCTTGTCACCTCCATAGTCCATTGTCCATCCTCGTCACCTCCGTAGTCCTTTGTCTATCCTCTTTATCTCCGTAGTCCTTTATCCATCCTTGTCACCTCCATAGTCCATTGTCTATCCTCGTCACCTCTGTAGTCCTTTATCCATCCTCTTTATCTCCGTAGTCCTTTGTCCATCCTCGTCACCTCTGTAGTCCTTTATCCATCCTTGTCACCTCTGTAGTCCTTTATCCATCCTTGTCACCTCTGTAGTCCTTTGTCCATCCTCTTTATCTCCGTAGTCCTTTATCCATCCTCGTCACCTCTGTAGTCCTTTATCCATCCTTGTCACCTCTGTAGTCCTTTATCCATCCCCTTCACCTCTGTAGTCCTTTATCCATCCTCTTCACCTCTGTAGTCCTTTGTCCATCCTCGTCACCTCTGTAGTCCTTTATCCATCCTTGTCACCTCTGTAGTCCTTTATCCATCCTTGTCACCTCTGTAGTCCTTTGTCCATCCTCTTTATCTCCGTAGTCCTTTATCCATCCTCGTCACCTCTGTAGTCCTTTATCCATCCTTGTCACCTCTGTAGTCCTTTATCCATCCTCTTCACCTCCGTAGTCCTTTATCCATCCTCTTCACCTCTGTAGTCCTTTGTCCATCCTCGTCACCTCTGTAGTCCTTTGTCCATCCTCTTTATCTCCATAGTCCTTTGTCCATCCTCGTCACCTCTGTAGTCCTTTATCCATCCTTGTCACCTCTGTAGTCCTTTATCCATCCTTGTCACCTCTGTAGTCCTTTGTCCATCCTCTTTATCTCCGTAGTCCTTTATCCATCCTCGTCACCTCTGTAGTCCTTTATCCATCCTTGTCACCTCTGTAGTCCTTTATCCATCCTCTTCACCTCCGTAGTCCTTTATCCATCCTCGTCACCTCTGTAGTCCTTTGTCCATCCTCTTTATCTCTGTAGTCCTTTATCCATCCTTGTCACCTCTGTAGTCCTTTATCCATCCTCTTCACCTCCGTAGTCCTTTATCCATCCTCTTCACCTCTGTAGTCCTTTATCCATCCTTGTCACCTCTGTAGTCCTTTTTCCATCCTCTTCACCTCCGTAGTCCTTTATCCATCCTCGTCACCTCTGTAGTCCTTTGTCCATCCTTGTCACCTCTGTAGTCCTTTGTCCATCCTCGTCACCTCTGTAGTCCTTTATCCATCCTTGTCACCTCTGTAGTCCTTTATCCATCCTTGTCACCTCTGTAGTCCTTTATCCATCCTCTTCACCTCCGTAGTCCTTTATCCATCCTCTTCACCTCCATAGTCCTTTGTCCATCCTCGTCACCTCTGTAGTCCTTTGTCCATCCTCTTTATCTCCGTAGTCCTTTGTCCATCCTCGTCACCTCTGTAGTCCTTTATCCATCCTTGTCACCTCTGTAGTCCTTTATCCATCCTTGTCACCTCTGTAGTCCTTTGTCCATCCTCTTTATCTCCGTAGTCCTTTATCCATCCTCGTCACCTCTGTAGTCCTTTATCCATCCTTGTCACCTCTGTAGTCCTTTATCCATCCTTGTCACCTCTGTAGTCCTTTGTCCATCCTCGTCACCTCTGTAGTCCTTTGTCCATCCTCTTTATCTCCGTAGTCCTTTGTCCATCCTCGTCACCTCTGTAGTCCTTTATCCATCCTCTTCACCTCCGTAGTCCTTTATCCATCCTCTTCACCTCTGTAGTCCTTTGTCCATCCTCGTCACCTCTGTAGTCCTTTGTCCATCCTCTTTATCTCCGTAGTCCTTTGTCCATCCTCGTCACCTCTGTAGTCCTTTATCCATCCTTGTCACCTCTGTAGTCCTTTATCCATCCTTGTCACCTCTGTAGTCCTTTGTCCATCCTCTTTATCTCCGTAGTCCTTTATCCATCCTCGTCACCTCTGTAGTCCTTTATCCATCCTTGTCACCTCTGTAGTCCTTTATCCATCCTCTTCACCTCCGTAGTCCTTTATCCATCCTCGTCACCTCTGTAGTCCTTTGTCCATCCTCTTTATCTCTGTAGTCCTTTATCCATCCTTGTCACCTCTGTAGTCCTTTATCCATCCTCTTCACCTCCGTAGTCCTTTATCCATCCTCTTCACCTCTGTAGTCCTTTATCCATCCTTGTCACCTCTGTAGTCCTTTTTCCATCCTCTTCACCTCCGTAGTCCTTTATCCATCCTCGTCACCTCTGTAGTCCTTTGTCCATCCTTGTCACCTCTGTAGTCCTTTGTCCATCCTCTTTATCTCCGTAGTCCTTTATCCATCCTCGTCACCTCTGTAGTCCTTTATCCATCCTTGTCACCTCTGTAGTCCTTTATCCATCCTCTTCACCTCCGTAGTCCTTTATCCATCCTCTTCACCTCTGTAGTCCTTTGTCCATCCTCGTCACCTCTGTAGTCCTTTGTCCATCCTCTTTATCTCCGTAGTCCTTTGTCCATCCTCGTCACCTCTGTAGTCCTTTATCCATCCTTGTCACCTCTGTAGTCCTTTATCCATCCTTCTCACCTCTGTAGTCCTTTGTCCATCCTCTTTATCTCCGTAGTCCTTTATCCATCCTCGTCACCTCTGTAGTCCTTTATCCATCCTTGTCACCTCTGTAGTCCTTTATCCATCCTTGTCACCTCTGTAGTCCTTTGTCCATCCTCGTCACCTCTGTAGTCCTTTGTCCATCCTCTTTATCTCCGTAGTCCTTTGTCCATCCTCGTCACCTCTGTAGTCCTTTATCCATCCTTGTCACCTCTGTAGTCCTTTATCCATCCTTGTCACCTCTGTAGTCCTTTGTCCATCCTCTTTATCTCCGTAGTCCTTTATCCATCCTCGTCACCTCTGTAGTCCTTTATCCATCCTTGTCACCTCTGTAGTCCTTTATCCATCCTTGTCACCTCTGTAGTCCTTTATCCATCCTTGTCACCTCTGTAGTCCTTTATCCATCCTTGTCACCTCTGTAGTCCTTTATCCATCCTTGTCACCTCTGTAGTCCTTTGTCCATCCTCTTTATCTCCGTAGTCCTTTATCCATCCTCGTCACCTCTGTAGTCCTTTATCCATCCTTGTCACCTCTGTAGTCCTTTATCCATCCTTGTCACCTCTGTAGTCCTTTATCCATCCTTGTCACCTCTGTAGTCCTTTGTCCATCCTTGTCACCTCTGTAGTCCTTTGTCCATCCTCTTTATCTCCGTAGTCCTTTGTCCATCCTCGTCACCTCTGTAGTCCTTTATCCATCCTTGTCACCTCTGTAGTCCTTTATCCATCCTTGTCACCTCTGTAGTCCTTTGTCCATCCTCTTTATCTCCGTAGTCCTTTATCCATCCTCGTCACCTCTGTAGTCCTTTATCCATCCTTGTCACATCTGTAGTCCTTTATCCATCCTCTTCACCTCCGTAGTCCTTTATCCATCCTCGTCACCTCTATAGTCCTTTGTCCATCCTCTTTATCTCCGTAGTCCATTGTCCATCCTTGTCACCTTTGTAGTCCTTTATCCATCCTCTTCACCTCCGTAGTCCTTTGTCCATCCTCGTCACCTCCGTAGTCCTTTGTCCATCCTCTTTATCTCCGTAGTCCTTTATCCATCCTCGTCACCTCTGTAGTCCTTTATCCATCCTTGTCACCTCTGTAGTCCTTTATCCATCCTTGTCACCTCCATAGTCCTTTGTCCATCCTCGTCACCTCTGTAGTCCTTTGTCCATCCTCTTTATCTCCGTAGTCCTTTATCCATCCTCGTCACCTCTGTAGTCTATAATCGCTATTAGTCTATAGTCCATTATCTTCACGTCATCCATGGGATTCAGGGTTACAATTGGTCCCCAACAAACCATGCTGGTCTTGAAAGGCGGCTTTATGGATCAGGTGGTCATATTTATTGCTCATAATATCAATCACTGGATTGTCTGCTTCACACTTGACTACTTAAGCCAAGGCTTCCATCGTATAGCTGGAATATTGCTGAGTGTGGTGTTAGACAACAAACAATCTTTGTGACCTGTGAGGGATTTTCAGGGTAGAATAGGGCTCCAGTGCCCCATCCTTGCTATTACAGTATCCAATTGAATGGTTACAATAATGCACCTGGCTCATTGTGTGTCATTGTACCTAATGACATGGATCATTATTCATGGCACTACATTGCTGGAATATTGCTGTGACATTAAATAAATCACTCATCATTCTTACTACACATGGTTATTTGGTATCAACCAATGACTGGCGTAATATAACATTCACTTGCTCCACACAGAGTGGTGGAAGATACAGGAATAATCTCAAAGATACTGAACTTAGGGTGGTGGGGTAGCCTTTTTGTTAAAGTGTTCGCTTGTCATGACAAAGGCCTGGGTTGGATTCCCCATAATGTACGCTGTGTGAACTCCATTTTTGATGTCCCCCGCCATGATATTGCTTGAATATTGCTCAAACATTTGAACGGAAAAGACTTTCCATAGCCTGAGGGAAGTACTGCCATACAATCTTGGCCATCTATTAGACATTCAGAATGTTCAAAGCATTGTCTGGAATGGAAATCGCCAGTTTGAAACGGGTGCCGTATAGCTTGATAAAGCTGCCTGCTGATTGGCTTAAATGTCGACTTCTTAGTCATTTCATTGTTAGGTCAAAGTTCGCAAAAGGTCATTCTCACATGTAGTCAGATGTCCTTTGTTTAGCTGTAGCAAGAACTAAGATCTGAGTTTAATGTGATTGGATATTTTTGCGCTTCACTGTTATTGCACTATGTTTTTACTTCAGGTGATAGTACTGTCCATCATTCACTTCCTGCTCTTTGCTGGCAACACGATCACAACACTGATGGTCATACGGCAGAAAGTGAAGAAAGATGGACTGAATCTCACATTCTTACAAAACAAGTATCGCTTCACATCTCACCTGAAGAGCAACTGAACGTCACTGACTAGGAATCCAGTACATTGAGTGTTTCTGTTTGTGCCAGTGTCATGCTGCGTGCAGCCTGGTCCATTGTATCCTCATTGTAGTGTGTCTCAGTTGATGTATGTAGTAGCGTGAAAGTGATCACGCCATATTGAACTGATTATCAGTCTGGAAGTCAGTAATAATGTGATTTCACAGAGTCTTGTATGACTGATCATGCGGTATCATCTTGACCAGTGTTATAGAATATATATACTTATCACTTAATACAGTGTATTAAGTCTTGATATGAATCTTTTTTGCCACCCTGATCATAGCGAAACGTCACGGTCCATATCAGTCCACAGGCCTGATACCCCATATCAGTCCGCAGAGTTTTGTACGCATCGTCATGGAAAGTTTGACTTCACAATCATTTAATCAATGATGTCATGAATATGACATCGTGTTGTTTTCGGAAACTTGTTTAATCCACAATGTCAGGTGAATGCACACTTTCTTTTCTGTCCTAAAGAATAATAGAACTGACACTGACAAAATAATGACATATCGGGACAGTATGAAAAACATGAACATAAAAAAGAAGACTGATTCACGTGTGAAATCTTTGAAAGTTGGCTAATGACAGAAGGTGGGAGCAGGACATTTTGAAAGCCTCCAGATGATAAAGGACATGATATGGAAACCAGACGGTAATAATCTCTACTTATCAGTGTTATTTATATGAGACATGTCGATAACAGTGTATCAGGATTTATGTCCTTACCAGTGTATCAGGATATATGTCCTTACCAGTGTATCAGGATATATGTCCTTACCAGTGTATCAGGATATATGTCCTTACCAGTTTATCAGGATATGTCCTTACCAGTGTATCAGGATATATGTCCTTACCAGTGTATCAGGATATATGTCCTTACCAATGTATCATGATATATGTCCTCACCAGTGTTTCAGGATATATGTCCTTACCAGTGTATCAGGATATATGTCCTTACCAGTGTATCAGGATATATGTCCTCACCAGTGTTTCAGGATATATGTCCTCACCAGTGTATCAGGATATATGTCCTTACCAGTGTATCAGGATATATGTCCTTACCAGTGTATCAGGATATATGTCCTCACCAGTGTTTCAGGATATATGTCCTTACCAGTGTATCAGGATATATGTCCTTACCAGTGTATCAGGATATATGTCCTTACCAGTGTATCAGGATATATGTCCTCACCAGTGTATCAGGATATATGTCCTTACCAGTGCATCAGGATATATGTCTTTACCAGTGTATCAGGATATATGTCCTCACCAGTGTATCAGGATATATGTCCTCACCAGTGTATCAGGATATGTGTCCTTACCAGTGTATCAGGATATGTGTCCTCACCAGTGTATCAGGATATATGTCCTCACCAGTGTTTCAGGATATATGTCCTTACCAGTGTTTCAGGATATATGTCCTTACCGGTGTATCAGGATATATGTCCTTACCAGTGTATCAGGATATATGTCCTCACCAGTGGTATAGGATCTGTCTATCCCTGGAGACACTATCCATACCAGTGTTGCAGGATACACTATCCATACCAGTGTTGCAGGATACACTATCCATACCAGTGTTGCAGGATACACTATCCATACCAGTGTTGCAGGATACACTATCCACACCAGGGTTGCAGGATACACTATCCATACCAGTGTTGCAGGATACACTATCCACACAAGGGTTGCAGGATACACTATCCTACCTGTTGTGTTGGATACACTATCCATACCAGTGTTGCAGGATACACTATCCTACCTGCTGTGTTGGATACACTATCCATACCAGTGTTGCAGGATACACTATCCTACCTGTTGTGTTGGATACACTATCCATACCAGTGTTGCAGGATACACTATCCTACCTGTTGTGTTGGATACACTATCCATACCAGTGTTGCAGGATACACTATCCACACCAGTGTTGCAGGATACACTATCCACACCAGGGTTGCAGGATACACTATCCATACCAGTGTTGCAGGATACACTATCCACACAAGGGTTGCAGGATACACTATCCTACCTGTTGTGTTGGATACACTATCCATACCAGTGTTGCAGGATACACTATCCTACCTGTTGTGTTGGATACACTATCCATACCAGTGTTGCAGGATACACTATCCACACCATTGTTACAGGACACACAATCCACACCAATGTTGCAGGATACTTGATCAACTTGAAATCATATTAATTTGGTACACAGATACAGTCAGCATGCACAAATACAACTGGTGTGACCTCAGAGTTAGCCTGCTACATGCTGTCACAATTTGTAAAAATATTGTAAGATTCCCGAGATATTTGTGAAAATACCCTGGATGTAAGTACATCTGTAAATAATGTTGTGAATATGTTAAGTACCGTCAATGCTCAAAACATTTAAGACGTGGGCATTTTGTCATGAGGGTTTGGAGCAGCTGTTGCCATAGTTACAACAATCAAATCACATGCAATATTCCCCTTTGTTTTGTTTGCATTTTGTCAGAATACATTTTGAATGCTATGGCTTGATGATTGTGTGCAGACTACAGGGTACTTGCCATTCAACTGATGTGATAACACATCTTGCACAGATACATCCAATGAATCACAATCCATTTTCATGATACGCATTGTCGATCACCCAACGGGCATTAGAACCATCAAGATCAGCATTATGTACAAGGAAATGAAGCTAAATGAATGTGTAATTGGGTCATATTTTGTACAAAACTTTAAAAATGAGATTCAACCTACAATTGCGAGACAGCTGCTGCTGTGAAATATAAATAAATGTTGATACGTTTGAGTAAACTTTGGGATTACATGTGAAATGAGGAATATATTTTCATGAGCATGAAAGTTCTATTTCACTGCTTGTCAAGACCTATCTGTAGTAAGCCTATTCAGGTACAACTTTTACATTTGAACAAAACTTTCAGAGCACTGGTTGTGGGGGTGGTGTTATCGTTTATGGGCCAGATTACTGGTTTATTGGTGAAGAGTTATGTCCCTTTGTGAATAAGCAGATGTTTTGAGAGTTAGAATTATGTTTGTGCATGTGTTTCATAGCTCTAAATGACTGCATGTCAAGCACGGGTAGGTTTTGAGTTTTTGAGTCAGTTTATCATTTCCATACTCTCTTAAAATCAGTGGATATATACTACTCAAAAGAAGTTAAGGATCACCCGATTCTTTAATAATGGTAAAGTTAATCTGTCATGTCATGAGATTAACCATAGTAATATGAAAGAATCAGGTGATCCTTAACTTCTTTTGAGTAGTATATATACTAGTATGTGCATTGGAGATAAGACTTCCTTTTATGTTTGTAAGGAAGGCGTTACAGACATGGATGTGTTTATGTTGATGTGTGGTAGATATCCTCAAGAGTTTCAGGTAGTAGTTGAGGACGCCATTTAACCCAACCTGAAGATTGATTGTATGAGCGGTTAGTACACAGTAGACCAGTAACCAGTTGTTATTTAATTGAGTTTATGTATTATCAACAAACTCTCTGTTTATGGGATAGTTTTTCAGGATCCTATACATTTCTCTGTTAAAAGTCCCTAAAAGATTCCAGACATATTGGTTCCAATTTGTGCATCTGGATTTCAAATATTGGCTAGAAATCCTGCAGATACAATCCACTAGTGTTTTTCTCTTAAAAGTAAGAGAGTAAATTTGGGAAGCAAATAATTGAAATTAGGTTGTCACTACTGAAATTGATAACCAGTATTCATAATTGCATTATTATTACAGTTTGTGAGTGCAGAGTAAGAAAAGAGCTGCGTAAATTTGTTGATAACTCAGTTTTAGAACTTAATCAATCTCCATGAAAAGTATGTAAATAAAACTATTGATTCTCCAGCAGCGACAGTGATAGACAGAAGATGGTGTAAATATATCCCACTCAGAGTCAACACGTTTTGGCTTAAACCCGGGATATGTTTGCTGATGTTTCAAGGCTCAAAGATGAGAGATGCCTGTTAGTTTTCCACATGTATGTCTCGTAATCAAATAGCATAGATCAATGATCGTGATGTCAATCGCTAGATTGTCTGGTCCAGACTCGATTATTTACAGACCGCCATCATATAGCTTGAATATTGCAGAGTGCGGCGTTAAACAACAAACAAACATACATCCCTAAATCAAACTGTAGTTGGAAGGTTTTGAACAATTTTCTGAGGCATTTGTTATGGCTCTGCCATATTTTCAAGTACCTTGGACTTCTAACTGACTGTGACCTGGTGATTTCAGCTAAGGAAATGACAAGTAAATACCTCCAGGTGTCATCAGGTATGAAAGGTTGTTATGAATAGTTTTATTTTTTCACTGTTGGTATTTCAGTACTTGTGGTACTAGTATTGTATTTTAGTACTGTAGTGTTAGTATTAGCCCTTCCTCTGTACATAGGGCATACCTCTGTTGCTGTGGGACTGGTCAGGTAATATAAGGAGGGGGTAGTCCTGCCCATGAGTATACTGGCATTAAAAGGATGAACCATCTCTGGAGGCACCATCCGAAAAGTAGTCACCTCCTTGTTGGGCGATGGTGGCCTAGTTGTCGAAGGCAATGCTGTTACCTGGGGCTGGGACGAGTGCTCGGGTCGGGTGGTTCCTGAGTAGGACCTGGGTACCCACAGTACGACCCGGACCCGTGGTTAGTCAAGTGATATATTGTTTAATAGCAAAGATTATCTAGAACTTCCACGGTTGCACTATAAGTGACTAATGTTCGCATTTCTTTCTGACTATGCACGCATTCCTTCTGACTTTATATGTTTGAAGAGGCGGTCAGGCAGCCTAGTGGTTAAAGCATTCGCTCGTCACGTCGAAGACCCGGGTTCGATTTCCGACATGGGTACAATGTGTGAAGCCCATTTCTGGTGTCTCCCACCATGATATTGCTGGAATATTGCTAAAAGCGGCGTAAAACCTTACTCACTCACTTATATGTTTGAATAGAGATAAAACTTCAGTCAACATCAGTGTATGCATGACCAGATCGTTTTATTTGAGTATCTAAATACATTTTGCCAGGGCTACGTTCAAACTATTCCCAATCGGACATTTGTACCTATCCCTTTAGACCAACAGTGGGTACCGGGTAGGGTGGGGTAGTATTTGGGTGGGTAGCCAGGTAGTAAATTTGGACTCGTCCCAGCCCTAATGTTAACACCATAACACATTTCCAGAATGCCGTGATCATGGGTTCCAAACCCAGATTTGCCCTTAATAATGTCTCGGATAGAGATCACCATATCCGAGACTGTGCATTACAACAATGTGGTACTGTCACTATGGGTTCTGTCCCCAGGGCCTTGTCACACTGTGATGTTATGGAAATAATGTTCAAAGCAACCTAAAACTAAACAGACTCCCACATATGTTGTCAAAGTCATATATGAAAGCAGTTAAAAGATCAACATTTTAATGGCAACAACTGATAATGTAGTCATTACTTCCAAAACTTGAATAACTATACTACTCGAAAGAAGTTGAGGACCATCCGATTCTTTCTTATTGCTATTGTTAATCTGTTATACCAAGCTTCTTTTGAGTAGTATATATTTTCCTATTTGCAGTGAAGCATCCCAATTGTCTCTAATGTAGCCCTCTTATTGTACAGGACCTGTCCCTCAAACAGATTGTAAAAAACAGAAATATTCTTGAATGGAAGTATCTGTCAAACTTGTAATAAATATATGATGACATTTATTTTCTTTAATAATTATTGATCTCAACAGGTTGATATGCAGTTATTGGAGAATAAACTTTAATACTTTGGATGAGAAAGCTGATGGTCAACTTTACATATGAAAGGTATATGTAATACCGCTGTGATAGATTATTTAATATATTTGCAATAGAGGATTCTGGTCATGATGACAGGGTCCTAATGGCAGGATCCTGAGAACAGCAAGCACAAGGAAAGGGATATGTTTTTGTATATATATAAATTCCACAGTATATATCATGTCTGTTGTTGTCCCTTGTTCTTGCCATAAAACCTATGATTGTGGCTTCGAATCCCAGTTCGATTCAATTATGTTTCTTGGTTTGTCAGCACCATACTTGTGCTTGAGGATTTCACCAAAGTGGTAAAGGTCTGAGACCTACAGCTTTCCTCCCACATTAAGTTGACACATGGTGATACAACTGGAATACTGTTAAAAGCCATTAAACCAAATTCACACACTTACGTCTATTGTACAGAGATGCACTGTGGAACTATAATTATGTTAGTGACAATGATTATTTTTTAGCATGGTCATTGCTTGGTGTTTGTTTTACTGAAAACAGTTGATTTGTCCAGTTAAATTTGTTTTGCTAATTATTTCTAGCAGTGACCAAATCGAAAATGCTCATTTCGTATCATGCACATATTGGTTTACACCACAAGGATGACATATTCCTTATCTAGACAGTGATGTTTCATGTTGAGTTGCATCCCTTAGCCATACCAGGATCAATGATTTGAATGCATAATTTGCTCTGATTATGATCCTTGGTTTGTCAACACCATCTCACTGCTTCCCACTTGAAGCTGACATGCCATGGTCGCCGTATTTGCTGTAATAAGGGCCGTTGTCGCTTAGAAAATTTACAAAGAGGGGTATTTATGAAAACTGTACACAATGAGTAAAAACATTTTCAAGGATCGGTCAGTAGTAAACAAACTTAGTTATAAGGTCTGTGATGTACAGAAGAAAATACGGACATGTATATTTTAGGCTTTAGTAGGGGTGCGATTATAAGCATTATTCAGACTGAATGAGGGGCACTTAATATGGCAAATACGGTAACTAAAATACTGTTCTTAGCGAAACTAATCCCACGCTGGGAGGACTGCCAGGATAACACCGTTTCTTTGTGGCTACTACTTGCATGTGGCTGGTGCCAATTATGTCTCGTGCACTCTCAGTTTTAGGAAGATTATATGTCCTAGTTATTGTATTTTACATTATGTTACAGCTAATTATTGTTGAATACACATTGAAATAAATTATATATTCATCACAGGCGTTACATTCTGTTGATGTTTTGTTTAATTTTGCGTTTGTGTTTATATCATGAATGATTATGTGGTCTGAGTTGCATCCCTTGGGCACGCCAGAAACCTACGATTATGGGTTCGAATCCGGTTCGCCCCGATTATGTTTCTAGGTTTGTCAGCACCATACCCGTGCTCGTGGGTTTCACCGAAGTCGTAAACGCCTGAGACCTGCATCACTTGCGGCTTTCCTCCAACATTAAGCTGACACGCCGCGATATAACTGGAATACTGTTAAAAGGGCGTTAAACCAAACTCAATCACTCACTCTTATCCCGATGGCGTGGATAGTTGCTCACAATAACAGTCACTGGATTGTCTGGCCCAGACAAGATTATTTAAATGCCGCCGACATGTAGCTGGAATATTGTTGAGCGTGTCGCTAGGTGAGTGAATGGGGTTTAACGCCACTTTTAACAGTATTGCAGTCATATCGCGGCGTGTCAGCTTAATGTGGGAGGAAAGCCCGAAGTGATGCAGGTCTCAGACGTTTACCACTTCGGTGAAACCCACGAGCACAGGTATGGTGCTGACAAACCTAGAAACATAATCGGGGCTAACCGGGATTCGAACCAACAATCATAGGTTTCTGGCGTGCCTAAGGGACGCAACTCTGCACAGCGAATCAGATTCGACAAGACGGCTTTAAGACCTGTCAGCACCACACGCTTGTTCAGGCGTTTCACCGAAGTGGTAAATGTCTAAGGCCTGCATCAGTTTTGTCTGTCATGCCCACACACACAGCGTTGAACCCAGAACATCCCCGTTATAATCAGGTCACTCCAGTGTAGTAGTTTGTTCATGTATGCACCCCAAAACAAGTTAACACCCACTGTTCCAAGGTTGTGATAGATTAGCTATAGTCATACGAAACAGCTGGATGTTCTTTAACTTGTATGGTTATATACTTGTCATGTGTGTGATCATTCGTGGGTTCTGGTTGATCTTGTCCAGCCCCTGCAAGAACAGCGTGATGGAGGTGGAACATGGCTGACATTTACTTCCAGCCCCTGAACAGAATAGGTCTTCAGCAACCCATGTTTGCTGTAAAAGGCGACTATGAGTGTCATAAGAGGCGACTAACAGGATCGGGTGGTCAGGCTCGCTGACTTGGTTGATGCATGTCAACGTATCCTAATTGCGTGGATCGATGCTCATAATGTCAATCACTAGATTGTCTGGTTCAGACTCGATTATTTACAGACCGCCGTCATATAGCTGGAATATTGATGAGTGCGACGTTTAAACAACAAACAGGCTTAAATGGCCTTGAATGACACGGACACAGGAACTCGCACATAATGAAAACATACAAGGTAGATAAATCTTCATCATGCAATAACTTTTATGTATTTATCTTGTCTTTAAGTACGACATCCTTCCTGATCCACATCAATGGTGTTGGCAAATTGACATGTGCCCCGTTCTGGGTTCGAAATGGTCCGCAGCAACCCATGCTTGTAAGAGGCAACTGACCGGGTCGGGTAGTCAGGCTCGCTGCCTTTTTGATGCAAGTCATCGAATCCAATCTGCGTCGATCGATGCTCATGATGTCAACCACTGGATTGTCTGGTCGAAACTCGATTATTTACAGACCGTCGTCCTATAACTTGAATATTGTGCGGCGTTAAACAACAAACAAATAAATTAACATGTTGGAGCTTGAACGACTGCTTCCAGTTCTTGATACACAAATACACTACTCCTCCTCCCATAGGTCCCGACACAGCTCGGGGTCATCAGAGCGGCCTGATTTGAGATGACACAACATGTCTGTTTTACAGCCTCGAGTGCATGGCGTCAAGTCCCCTCCCCTAGATTTGTGGCTGGAAGTAAAGGATCGTTACGCAGAGTAAACACACGTCCAAGAGTCAGTGTTCCGAGTATTGTTTACGATACTGGTCAGCAGCGTGAAAGTGTCTTTACAATTAACCGTCTAGAAGAAGAGCCAATTGAGGCATTTAGTTAACATTAATTAAGTGAACAGTTTAACATACCAGACTGACCTACAGTGCAACCCACCCGTGAAGATCCAGGGTAGAATATAGGCCTTCAGCAACCCATGCTTGCTGTAAAAGGCGACTATGCTTGTCGTGAGAGGCAACTAAAGGGATCGGGTGGTCGGGCTCGCTGACTTGGTTGATGCATGTCATCGATCCCAATTGCGTGGATCGATGCTCGTGGTATTAATCACTGGATTGTCAGGTCCAGACTTGATTATTTACAGACCGCCGTCATATAGCTGGAATATTTCTGAGTGCGGCGTAAAACAACAAACCAACCAACCAACTACAGTACAACCTGGTTATAATGCCATGTTTTCCTTGGAACGGATTTCCACTCAAATTACCTTTTTTATAATGCCAACCCTTCTTTTAGATGCATTGCTCTGTTGTTTTCATAGCCTATCCTTTCTATCTTATAATTGACACCTGGTACCATAGCTTAAACATGGCGACACACCGGTACACTGTCATGTGCTCAGCCAACAAGACATACATGACCAAAACATTCTTTTTCATGTCATTGAGGCCCATCATTCACCTACCTGGCTATAATGCCAACCTGGGTATAATGCCATATTTTCCCGTGTACGAAATGTGGCAATATAAACAGATTGTACTGTAATTATGAGCCTGAATTATGTAAACCTCCCTATCAAAAAGTATTTGATATACCCTACTTACGTGTTGAATTTGTTGAAGAGGTCGTCGTCGTCTTTCATCCTGTAGATGAGGTTGTTCCAGTCGCTGGGGTAACTGCCCTTCATACCGTACTCTGTCTGAAGCAGACATGTTATGTTTTCAGAAGAATTTCAAACACGTATGAAAAGAATATGTTATTGCACCAAAGTAACATTCAGAGCCGGTCTAATTACCAAGATATGTCAAGAAAATTGCTATGTTTTAAGGTATTTATATTAGCCAATGTTTCTTTTCGATCATTAATATTGTCTCACAACTTCTGATCTCACCTGGGGCTAGTTGCCTTGTCGCCAAAACTCAACAGAGTTGCGTCCCTTGGGCGTGTTCTGATCAAATCGTAGGTTCGAATCCCAGATGCACTTTAATTATAATCATTTGTCAGATCAACACCCGTTTTCTTGTGTTTCACCTGTCTGTCTCAGACCTGTATCACTTCGGGCTTTCCTCCCACATCAAACTGACACGCCATGATACAGCTGAAATACTGTTTAAAGCGGCTCTAAACTCACTCACTCACTTACCAAGGGGCTGTACTCTAGATCCCAGGAGGCGCTGCTGCCATTGTTGTTTTTCCTCAAATCAAAGACGTAGTCCTCGTAGTCCAGAATGGCCTATAAAATCACAGAACAGTCGCTGAATATTGTTTAAATCCACAGTCAGTAATATTCCAGCTTTATGACGGCGGCCAGGAGATAATCAGGTCTGGACCGGGCAAACCAAGGAATGGAAACATGAGCAACGATCCATGCTGTGTGTACGAAGATAATCAAACAGCCTCAGAGCCTGGGCACCTCATCCAGGTTATTCGCCTCGTGCTACAGGCAATAGAGTGGTTGGTGACCTATTCTAACCTGAGTCTCTGTTTACTTCATTGTTATTTTTATTTTATTCTATGTTAATAGTCTCTGTGGTTTAGTGGACAGAGTGGAAGGTCGGTGGTTCGATCCCCGGCAGTCATACCAAACGACGTGGTACTTCTTGTTACCCTGACTAGCGCACGGCACTAAGCGAATACATAAGGGCTGGTCGGCTCCATATAATGCGTCTCAGTGGAGTATGTTAAACTGTAGCACAATCTAATCGCTAAACAAAGATCTGAGGACATCCATTACGGGTAACGTCAGAACGACCTTTCATCGCTTACCAGATCAGGAAAGTGACAGTCTGAATGTGTTTTCTAATCATGCAACCTTGAAAACGTTAACACGAGGTATTCCGAACGACAGCAACGGCCCGTACGACTGATTCCGTCCATCTCGCGCTTCCGTGAATAAAGATTTGAACGGAGGAGACGTTGCACAGTACGTGGGAAGCACTGCCATACAATCGCAACCATATATGAAACATTCCGGAATGTTCGTTTGGTCAGTTTTCAAAATTTTAATCGAGAACTGTGTCAACATATTTTTCAAGCGTAGTCTGAAATGGAAGTCGCCAGGTTGAAACGAGTGCCGTAAAGCTCGAGAAAGCTGCTTTCTAATTGGCTGGTGTCGACTTCTTGTTAGCCCTTTCAGTGGTCGGTCCAAGTTCGCGAAAGGTCGGTCTGACGTGACCCGTAATGGGATGTCCTCAGATCTTTGTTTAGCGGCAGCGAGAACATAGATCTGATTTTAATGAGATTGAACTGCAGCATATTATCTCAATGCACTAGCAATTCCAGACTATCACAAGCAGCCATAGCTGTCGTAGGCTCATTAGTTGAGGGAATGACTTACGAAGGAGGAGTTGGCGTAGAAGCCGTCCATGGTGTAGATCCTGTAGTTGGGGTTGTTGTTTGAGTAGGGCGTCACGGACCCGCCCACGTAGGCCACGTTGACAGGACGGGTGAGGTTGGCGACGTCGTAGTACACGCGGAATTCGTCTGTGTGGGTGTGGCCGTTAAACTGACCCACGATTGTGCTCTCGTACCTAGAGAATGTCGTGTGAAAGGCTAAATGTTTTGTGTGTGTGTGTGTGTTGTTAAACGTCGAACTTAGCAACAATTCAGCTATCTGAAGCATCGTTCTTAGCGGTGGGGATACGATGGCATGCATGAACCACCCGATACCGTGTGTCACCTCTTAGGACAAGCGTGCATGTAACCCGGATATTCACGGTACACGAGGATGTTTACCTCACACCTTTGCTGTTTGTTTGTTTGTTGCTTAAAGGCGATCTCATGAATATTCCAGCTATATGACGGCGGTCTGTAAATAATCGAGTCTGGACCAGAGAACCCAGTGATTAATATCATGAGTATGGATCCACGCAATTGGGATCGATGACATGCATCAACCAAGTCAGCGAGCCCGGCCACCGTTCGTCGCCTCTTTCGACAAGCATAGTCGCCTTTTACAGCAAGCATGGGTTGGTGAAGACCTATTCTACCCCGGATATTCACGGTCTCACACCTTTGCATAAACGTGTAGCAGCAAGTTTTACAAATATTAAGACACGGGCCTGACTCTAAAGAAAATGGGGTGTGGCAGCCTGTTTTATGAATCTTCTGTAAAACGCGCGTCAGCTAGTCTATGCAAGACAAGACATTAGAATCACCCGAGTGAATTCCGATAGCTAGACCCCTGTTTCTTGGCGGTTACTCGAGGGTTGACTGAGTTCGTTATATCCGTACTGAACTGCATTAGACAGAACAGCAACTCACCTGCTGACAATGTTGTAGTAGTTCCAGCTCCACGATTTCATGCAGTCTGTTGGTGTGTGTGTTAGAATGAATACCTGGGAACAAACACGTTCGTGTTGACCATGTTACTGTTGGTGGTTCGTGGGAGAAGGAGACGAGACCAATGTGATTCACCAATGCCTGGCTAGAACTAAGGGACATGATAGATCCCACATCTTGGGATTGGTTTTAGATTCCTCGGAGTCATGGCCCTTTGTCGTAACAGGACCCAAGACCGCCTCCGTGGTCTAGAGGTAGAGCGTCCGCCGGGGTTCGATCCCCGACAGCGGTCCCCGGCCGCGTTAAACCAAAAGACGTTAAAATGTGTCTGTGTCTGAGTGGGGTATTCATGTTAAACTGCGGCATGGTATTTCAGTGTGCTAGCACTATAGATCGGCAGCAGTCCGGACTAGTACAAGCACACACACACACACACACACACACACACACACACACACACACACACACACACATACACGTGCATGCACGTCGCTATATAAGTGCAATAATCTTGGACGCGACGTTAAACCCCATTCTCTCTCTCTCTCTCTCTCTCTCGCTCTCTCTCTCTCTCTCTCTCTCTCTCTCTCTCTCTCACACACACACACACACACACACACACACTCACACCAACATCACCCGTATTCTTCTCTGACCTTCTCCCCCGCGTCCTCCGCGCTCTGTAATGTCTCCGCCAGCCACTGCAACTGGCCAGCGGGGTCGGTGTTGTTGATCATGAGCCACCAGTTGCCACTGTAGCAGAAGATGTCGTTGACGGAGATGATGCGGAAGCCGTGAAATGGGGACATGGTGTAGAACCCCCCTCTGTTGGAGAGACAGAAACAATTGATGAGAAGTTTGCGATCGGCTTGACAGACAGAAAGTTTCAACTTTCGAGACTGCTTGTCCTGGGCCCTGCTTCACAAAGAGAACTTAGCCCAAGTGTGTGTAGTATATACTTATACGACTAATCTCTTGTACCTCATTGCTGTCTCCGGACATCCTCCGTTGTCCAGTGCATAGAGTGTCTGCCTGGGCAGCGGAAGGGGGGTGGTTCGATACCCTGGGGGCGTCATACCAAAAATGTTAAAATATGGTACTTGATGTTTCTCTGCCTGGTGCTCGGCAATGAGGGGATAAAACAAAGGACTGGTTGGCTCGGAATCAGAATACTGTGTCTGGGGACTAGCACCATGAAACCGGCATTAGGCAGGAATAGCACAGGGACACACAGAGATACAAACACGCACGCACGCACGAACACGTCGCAACATAAGTACAATAATCTTGAACGCGACATTAAACCCCATTACACCACGTCACCTCACCCTTAGTACTCAGTTCAAATAATAATAATGGCTTGATAAAGGAAGGGGCGGTAGGGTAGCCTATTGGTAAAGTGTTCAATGGTGGACAAAGGCTCGATTCTATTCCCCATATGGGCACGCACGCACGCACACACACACACACACACACACACACACACACACACACACATCACCTCATGATTGTCTCCCTTGTGTCTTGAGGCAGCCAGCGTCCCCAATTGTCTGCCATGGCGGAGTACATCCAAGCTACAGAGTTATTCCCCGTGATGAAACTTGGCGGGAAACTGAAACACCATTTTGAAAACTGAATATTCATTCGGCAGAGATCTATAAGCCACTGACAGTTGACAGTCGGATTCATTTATTTGCCTAGTTGACACTTCAGCGAATCCTCGTATGACTTCAACGCTCAATCCTTTGAAATTAGGTGCAATATTGTAAAATGTTCACAATATGTCAACAAACAGACGTTTCTGTTCCAAATAAATTGGCAGAAACGTAACAAAATACAAGAAATGTTTGCCAAAAATAGATTGCAAATAAAAAAGATTGCATAATAAAATAAGTGGGTATAAACTAATGTTGTTTGTTTGTTTGTTTTTTAACGCCACACACAGCAATATTCCAGGTATATGACGACGGTCTGTAAATAATCGAGTTTGGACCAGACAATCCAGTGATTGATATCATGAACATCGATCCACTTGGGATACGATGACAGTATAAACTAATGTCAAACTGACCAATTGAGAGAACTCCTACCTATCACATGGTGCGCTGTCATGGTTACCGGCACAGAAGTACACCTGTTTTCGGGGCAGGTACTTGTCGAAGTAGGACACCAGTCGCTCTAGAGCCGAAACCTGGTCACTTCTTGACTGGTTCCAGACGTCATGTGCGGTGATGTCTCCCGTGAATATCACGAAGTCAATCTGAAAGACATCAGTGTTGTGGTGAAGATAGGAATATGTCATTAACAACTATATTTCCATACCCGTGTCATGTGATGTCATACAGCCAAAGGCAACCAGAGGTTGATAGCATAAACACCGATCAACGCCGTCGAGCTACGATTATACACAACAAACCAGGTCAAACATATAGCCCTCGGATCTTGCTTTGGGTCTATTTTTACAAGTAAAGGTTTGGGGGACCTGTCTGCCCTGGAACCCAGCGGCCTGTTGAGACAACAGAATCCTGACAGAAAGGCACACATGGAGTTCTTAGGACCTATTCGCCCATGGAATCCCCACGGGTAGACAAGCAGTCAGTACTAGGGATATAGTATGCCCTAGAATCCCAACGAGGAGAGAAACATGGCTACTGGGGACCCATCTATTCTGCCCTGGAATCCCTACGGAGAGAGAAACATGGCTACTGGGGACCCATCTATTCTGCCCTGGAATCCCTACGGAGAGAGAAACATGGCTACTGGGGACCCATCTATTCTGCCCTGGAATCCCCACGGAGAGAGAAACATGGCTACTGGGGACCCATCTATTCTGCCCTGGAATCACCACGGGGAGAGAAACATGGCTACTGGGGACCCATCTATTCTGCCCTGGAATCCCTACGGGGAGAGAAACATGGATACTGGGGACCCATCTATTCTGCCCTGGAATCCCCAGGGGGAGAGAAACATGGCTACTGGGGACCCATCTATTCTGCCCTAGAATCCCAACGAGGAGAGAAACATGGCTACTGGGGACCCATCTATTCTGCCCTGTAATCCCCAGGGGGAGAGAAACATGGCTACTGGGGACCCATCTATTCTGCCCTAGAATCCCAACGAGGAGAGAAACATGGCTACTGGGGACCCATCTATTCTGCCCTGAAATCCCCACTGAGAGAGAAACATGGCTACTGGGGACCCATCTATTCTGCCCTGAAATCCCCACTGAGAGAGAAACATGGCTACTGGGGACCCATCTATTCTGCCCTGTAATCCCCACTGAGAGAGAAACATGGCTACTGGGGACCCATCTATTCTGCCCTGAAATCCCCACTGAGAGAGAAACATGGCTACTGGGGACCCATCTATTCTGCCCTGAAATCCCCACTGAGAGAGAAACATGGCTACTGGGGACCCATCTATTCTGCCCTGTAATCCCTACGGGGAGAGAAACATGGCTACTGGGGACTCATCTATTCTGCCCTAGAATCCCAACGAGGAGAGAAACATGGCTACTGGGGACCCATCTATTCTGCCCTGGAATCCCTACGGGGAGAGAAACATGGCTACTGGGGACCCATCTATTCTGCCCTGAAATCCCCACTGAGAGAGAAACATGGCTACTGGGGACCCATCTATTCTGCCCTGAAATCCCCACTGAGAGAGAAACATGGCTACTGGGGACCCATCTATTCTGCCCTGGAATCCCTACGGGGAGAGAAACATTGCTACTGGGGACCCATCTATTCTGCCCTGAAATCCCCACTGAGAGAGAAACATGGCTACTGGGGACCCATCTATTCTGCCCTGAAATCCCTACGGAGAGAGAAACATGGCTACTGGGGACCCATCTATTCTGCCCTGGAATCCCTACGGGCCGTGAAACATGGCTACTGGGGACCCATCTATTCTGCCCTGAAATTACCACGGAGAGAGAAACATGGCTACTGGGGACCCATCTATTCTGCCCTGAAATTACCACGGGCTGAGAAACATGGCTACTGGGGACCCATCTATTCTGCCCTGAAATCCCCACTGAGAGAGAAACATGGCTACTGGGGACCCATCTATTCTGCCCTGAAATCCCCACTGAGAGAGAAACATGGTTACTGGGGACCCATCTATTCTGCCCTGAAATTACCACGGGCTGAGAAACATGGCTACTGGGGACCCATCTATTCTGCCCTGAAATCCCCACTGAGAGAGAAACATGGCTACTGGGGACCCATCTATTCTGCCCTGTAATCCCCAAGGGGAGAGAAACATGGCTACTGGGGACCCATCTATTCTGCCCTGGAATCCCCACGGAGAGAGAAACATGGCTACTGGGGACCCATCTTTTCTGCCCTGGAATCCCCACTGAGAGAGAAACATGGCTACTGGGGACCCATCTATTCTGCCCTGAAATTACCACGGGGAGAGAAACATGGCTACTGGGGACCCATCTATTCTGCCCTGAAATTACCACGGGGAGAGAAACATGGCTACTGGGGGCCCATCTATTCTGCCCTGGAATACCTATGGGGAGTGAAACATGGCTACAAGTGACCTGTTTATTCTACCCTGTAATCGCCGCGTCGAGCACTGATAATGGTGACCTGTTGTCCTACCCCAGACTACCGACAAGGTATTGGAAAGGCAACTACCGGCGCAGAAGCAACTGCCTCACCTGATCGGCCTTGGTGGCGAGGTCTTGGAAGAGGTTGTCCACCAGGGAGAGGGGCGCGTCACAGCTCCGGTAGTCACCCCATCGGCCAGCTCCCGCCTCACCCTCGCCTGAAGGGAGAAACAATATAAATAGTTGTCTTTCAGCCCAGAAGGTTGGAATATACTGATTCTTTAAATATGTTTTCTGTTCATATGACATTCATTCATTCATTCATTCATTCATTCACTCATTCATTCATTCACTCATTCATTCATGCATTCATTCGATCATTCATTCACAGAATTATGAACGTCATTTCACGAGCAAAGTGAAGGCCTTTCGGTAATTTAATGTGTGGAGTTTCTATACGGTTTAGATGATTGTTATGAGGGGGTGTGTCAGTGTGAAATGTCAACCTCGTCTCCGCATCAATGTTTACCTGGTTTTCCGTCGTTGCTACGACAACATAGGGGTTCGTTGCAGTTGGCGCTTCTGCCAGGCTGGTACATCATGTCGATGTGTATGTCGGTCAGCTGCAGGAACCGGACTTTGGGGGAGCCAGGCTACAGACAGCAGAAACATCACAGAAACATCTCAGAAACATCACAGAAACATCGCACAAACATTACAGAAACATCGCAGAAACATTACAGAAACATCTCACAAACATCGCAGAAACATCACACAAACATCGCACAAACATCGCACAAACATCACAGAAACATCGCACAAACGTCACAGAAACATCGAAAAACATCACAGAAACATATCACAAACATCACAGAAACATCTCACAAACATCACAGAAACATCGCACAAACATCACAGAAACATCGCACAAACATCACACAAACATCTCACAAACATCACAGAAACATCTCACAAACATCGCACAAACATCACAGAAACATCACAGAAACATCGCACAAACGTCACAGAAACATCACACAAACATCGCACAAACATCGCACAAACATCACAGAAACATCGCACAAACATCACAGAAACATCGCACAAACATCACAGAAACATCTCACAAACATCGCACAAACATCACAGAAACATCACAGAAACATCGCACAAACATCACAGAAACATCACAGAAACATCTCACAAACATCACAGAAACATCGCACAAACATCACAGAAACATCGCACACACATCGCACAAACATCACAGAAACATCGCACAAACATCACAGAAACATCGCACAAACATCACAGAAACATGGCAGTTACAAACAACAGTAACCTCAGGGAGTAGAGGTCAAGGTCACGGATGTTTATTTAAAATATACCTGCTTAGGATAATTTTAATTGATACATGTCTCGATATAAACTGAAGGGCAAAAGGAAGTAGACACTTTGTTAAACGTTACATGCCTGTACAAAACTGTCGCCGAAACACCGAAACTTAAGGTCCAAAACACAACTATGATAGCCGTATCAATTTACATGACCGCTGAATAACCATTTCTTGTAACCGTTTCAATTTTAGACACTATGAAACATGGGTGTATACTTTTTTTTTGCCCGACTGTTTAGAAAACCGGTTTGAGTATTTACCGTAGTGTTTTATTACATTTTTCTTTCTATTTACCTTGTACCAAGAATAAAGATAAAATAAAGAAAATACGAATAATCGTTCTGTTATTACACTTATATGTTGATACCGTACGCGATCATGACCTCACCGCCGGGGGTTGAGGGGGTTTAACAGGAGGTTTCGGCGTGTTTGGGAGGGTGATGTTCCACATGTCCAAGGGGTTGTAGGGCGTGGCACAGGACGGCCCCAGGATGGTGCCACAGATCTGGTCAGGGGAGAGCACCGCCTGCTGGACGACAGTGATAGCCATGTCCTGTGAGGAAACAGCGAGAAGTTCCAGTAATGTCACACTAATATTATCCATAGCTTAACATGTGTCACGATCGAGTGAGTTAACGCTGCTTGATGTGGATCAATGCCCAAATTGATACTGGTCTCAGACGTTTTATACTTTGGTGAAATCCAGGAGTACTAGAAACATAAACAGGGCGGGATTCGAACCCATTTCTGGGACGCCTAAGGGGGTGGAACTGTGCATGTCGAATTGCTCCTTTGACGACTGGGCCATATTAGACACGTTTCTATGATAAACAACCGAATATTTAATATTTTAATATCATTTTTCTTAAAGAGATCATAAATGCAAAAACTGTTGCTGTTTTTTTTAAAACATTTTTTTTCCTTATACCCAAATCGCCGATTGAACTAACATGTCCCCTCTCAGGACCCGTTGGTACCACCTGTACCATTGTTCAACACTGTCAAAAATATGTTTGAAATGTAACATGTTTAGGAATGTGTTTAATTCAAAACGGGATACACATTTGGTGTGTTCTATGTAACACACGCAAAGAGCCAACGCCTAAACACCACCTAAACACTACATCCCCATAATCATATTGTCATTAGACAATAAGACAAATGTGGATAAGATGTATGATATATATTGAAATTAGATGTGCAAAACAGATTCGCAGACACTTGCATAACACATATACCACCAGGAGTTACAACGAACTTGCTACAATATCAACATTAAAATGTACAAATAAACCAAGCTGGGTTATGTGACTAGCAACATTGACAGCTGTAACGACAAGCCTGCGTTGCGCAGGTGGTAGAGAGAAGGACCTACAAACCAATCTCGCCGATGTTTAATAAATGTGTAGTTGCTGTGTAACTCATCATAGTGCTCTCATACAGGAGACGAAAGCTGATTTTGAAAGTATATCTGATTACCACGACATACCCTTCACTTTTTTAGTCCCCCACCCCCTAACCCCTTTTTAAGACACCTACAACGAAGGTATACGTATCAAGGGGGAAGAGGTGTACGGGACTTTCCCTTTTTTAGACACAGGTTCAGTTGTTAATCATCTTCCAGAAGCAAGGGAGTTAACTGGCTTTAAAAGTCAAGTTTCCAGTCAGTTATCTCCCTTGCCTCGGAAGATGGCTGTTAATACGTAATCCCACACATGTCAAAATTATGGGACAAGGAAGGTGTTTCCGTTTGTGTTTTGGATCTTAACACATTTTTTACATTGTAGGCACTGCCATTTACTGTGTAAAGGTGCATCGCTTATCACTTCATGGATCCACTGGTTGTAAGTTCGAATCTGAAATTATCAGCACATTCTCCATGCTTATGGGACTCGCCAAAGTTATAAACTTCAATTGATGTTTTTCTATCACTGAAAGGCCGTGGTATCTATCTGAAATAATGTCCAAAGAATTATTAACTTTTCACGCTCACATTTTAATATTAAGAGTAAGAATTGATCTTAAGCAACCCATGCTTGTCGTAAGAGGCGACTAACGGGATCGGGTGGTCAGGCTCGCTGACTTGGTTGATGCATGTCATCGTATCCCAATTGCGTGGATCGATGCTCATGATGTGAATCATTGGATTTTCTGGCCCAGACTTGATTATTTACAGCTCGGCGTCATGTAGCCGGAATATTGCTGAGTGCGGCGTAAAACAACAAACATTCAATCATTAAGGGTAATCATCGAAGGGTCACTACATTATCGTTCTATTTTTTAATGTCTCTCAATTTATATACATGTAATTCCTAAGTTGTAATTAAAACACTGATGTCGTGTGCAGACAGGGAATTATGTCTACTAATACACATCAGGCACGTGACTTTTGTGTTCATCCAGCAGTGAATGGGTACCCGGTAGGATGAGATGGTATTGTGATTGTTAACCTTCTATCGCCTCACAGGCAGCTTGGGTTGTATACTCATCATGGAGTTGAGAATTGGAGTGCACTCTGATCCGTTGACCGGGGTAAAAATAATGCAGCGCCATGACCATTCACTTAGTGAATAAACTGTGGTGCATCATTAACTACGTTATTATATTATCTAACTGACGGGTCACTTTAGGTCGTGTGGGCAAGATAATAAGGACAGTGCAAGTACGTCACAATATAAGCTGCAGGCTCGATTTAGCTATCTAAAACGTCACTGGCCTGGTTTTGTATCTATAGCGTTCAATACGAACTCGGTCACATAATTCAACCTTATCTCAGAACGTACATACCAAGTTAATCGATAAGATATAATTGACTGGGGTTTGTAGCCTGGGAGTGAGTGAGTGAGGTGTTACGACTCTTTTAGCAATATTCCAGCAATATCACGGCGGGGGACACCAGAAATGGGCTTCACACATTGTACCCATATCGGGAATCGAACCCGGGCCTTCGGCTAGACGAGCTAACGCTTTAACCACTAGGCTACCCGTCTGCCCCTTGTAGCCTGGAACTTTGCCACTTGTTTTAATGAGTGAGTTTAACGTCGCTTGTGTAGTATGTCAGTTATATCAGGTGAGACGTGTCTGCGTGTTCAATGTGAGTGAGTGAGTATGGTTTTACGCCGCCTTTAGCTATATTCTAAATATCACGGCGGGAAACACCATTGGATTCACACATTGTATCCATGTGGGTTGTTTTTGGAACCCTGGCCTTCGGCGTGACGAGCGAACGCTTTTACCACTAGGCTACCCCAATTGTATTTAAAATTAAACCTGTGAGACGAAATATACGTTTCATAAAAGCCTCTTGCAACAATGTATGTTTTTCGACAATATGACGCTTAAATATTATTTTTAATCATTTTCTGGGGCAACATATTTTTTTTCTATGAAATCTCAGGTGTCCCTCAGGATATCAAGCGGCCGGTCGTTAACAAAGCTTCATGATCGACGTGAATCTTGGATTTGAACTCACAACACTATGCAGCCACCGAGATATCAGTGAAATGAAAGCCACGATGTATTATATACCCACGTGAGAGTGATCTCCCCACGCCAGAAACCTATGATTGTGGGTTCGAATCCCGGTTCGCCCCGATTATGTTTCTAGGTTTGTCAGCACCATACCCGTGCTCGTGGGTTTCACCGAAGTGGTAAACGTCTGCGACCTGCATCACTTCGGGCTTTCCTCCCACATTAAGCTGACACGCCGTGATATGACTGGACTACTGTTAAAAGCGGCGTTAAACCCAACTCACTCACTCAACCCACATAGAAACCCTATTCCTTCTTTATCGCACTGTTTAAACACAGGGAGTTATCGTTTCGACTAAAACATCCCTTTTTATGGAATACTACAAGGGACATTGTCGCGTTGTCAGATCGCTTATTTTTCTGTTTCCATTACACTCGCGAACAACCCCATCACTTCAAATGTAATTAATGCCAAGAACATACCTTATATTCTCTTGTAATATATCGACACACCCTTTCGTCTTGAATCCTGCCCTTTATGCATATAGCCGTACATATCTCGACTATGTCATTCTCAGGGCGTTTTTGCACGACTAACGTGTACAGTGTGGTTGCCAAAAGTTTGCAAGCCCAACACTTCTCGTTGGCACTGAGTTCACCGCCATGCCGAGTCTCTTCACGAAGCAGGTGCTTCTTCGCCAATTCCACTTTCTGTTGGATGAAGTCGGCATCGGAATCCGACTGTTCGAACAGTTCCACATTCCTATCACTGCCTTGTATTGCAACAAGAACTGCACACATGCAGCTCATTTTCGCAAACAACAACATCACGAATAGTTGAATCAGTTCTCAAACGACGAAAGACAAACACGGCTCATTAGCAGATCGTCCCCATGACAGTCTGCTCGGTTGTTGTAGTGGAGAAACTATGTGTCATAGAGATAGGTTTATCGCTGACCAGTGTACAAAGTACAAGTCTCGGGATGGTTTGGTTGGTTTGTTGTTTAACGCCGCACTCAGCAATATTCCAGCTATATGACGGCGGTCTGTAAATAATCGTGTCTGGACCAGACAAGCCAGTGAATGACATCACGAGCATCGAGCACGCAATTGGGATACAATGGCACGCATCAACCAAGTCAGCGAGCCTAAACTCCCGATTCCGTTAGTCGCCTCTTACAACAAGCATAGTCAGTCACCTTTGACGGTAAGAATGGGTTGCTGAAGACCCATTCTTCACAGGACACCCAACGCAAACATTTGGAAGTGAGATGGTCAATATGGCATCACATCCATATCAGAAACAAGAGTGATGACATGTTGACCATCTGAGGAACCTGAGGAAAAACACAACTTCTTGCATGTAATGTGATATACACTGCCTGGCAAACGAAAGCATCTTCCCATGTTTGATGGTGGTGAAAATGAAACAATCAAGAAATCTTTTTTCAAAGGTGAAGTAATTGATACGACTATCATGGTTGTGCTTTGGACCTTAAGTGTGCAGACCGCCTATAGCACTATAAATCGGCATCAGTCCGGACTAGTACGAGTAGACACACACGCACACACGCACACACACACACACAGAGAGTCGTCAAAGTGCCACAATTCACTATGCAGAGTTGCGTCCCTTGGGCACACCAGAAATCGATGATCAAGGGGTTCGAATGTTGGTTTTTGCCATGATTATGTATTTAGATTTGTTAGCACCATATCCATATTGTGTTAAACACAACTCACTCACTGACTCCATATGGATCTCTTCTTACTGCTGACCGCCTCCGTGGTCTAGTGGTAGAGCGTCCGCACGAAGAGCGGAAGGTCTGGAGTTCGATCCCTGGCCGCTTCATACCAAAAGACGTTAAAAGATGGTACTTGTTGTTACCCTTCTGGCGCTCGGCATTAAGGGGCTAAAACAAGGACTGGTCGGCTCGGAGTCAGTATACTGTGTCTGAGTGGGGTATTCATGTTAAACTGCAGCATATTATCTCAGTGAGCTAGCACTATAAATCGGCATCAGTCCGGTCTAGTACAAGCAGCCACACAAACACACGTGCATGCACGTCGCTATATAAGTGCAATAATCTTGGACGCGACGTTAAACTCAATTTCACCTCACCTCACCTAACCTCACATCACCTTAATTGTGCAGTGCTTCGGCGACTGTTTTCAGCCTATTAACGTTCTGATAACGTTTGTTACTTCTTGGTCAAATCCAAAATTTACGCGGTGGATTCTTTTTCCCGACCGGTATTTCAATTTATTATACCGTAAAATTCACCATACAATGTGTAGAATCTTTGTCCTCCCACAGCTGTGCTGTACATGAATATATGAATCATACTTCCGTTTGGGTTAATGTTAATCTAATTATTGCAGCATCCTTATTGCTGATGTTGGTAGTTAGGACAAGACGCTTCTTGGACAGTTTGCATAGTCTGATTGTACAGGTATTTGCACACATGAGTTGAACCTGGCACTGCCGGCTACACGCCCGTGGAACGTCCCCTCACAGGTCGGCACACAGCCGCGGGTCTTCCGATCTTCCAGACTTCAGTAGACACAGCTCTTCGAACTTACAGTCGTGTGTGCAGGGAGTGGTGTCTCCCCCTTTGGATCTGTGACTGCAATGAAATGGTATACAACCCTTTGTGAGTGAGTTGGTTCTGACAGAAGAATTTCGAACGAACGTTATTGTGTATTTGATATCCGGTAATTTTATAGTAGAGATATAGAGGGGTGAGGGTGACAGGATAGAGAGAGAGCGACAGAAAGAATGGGAGAGAGAGAGAGAGAGAAGTGAGAGAAAGAATGGGAGAGGGAGATAGAGAGCGAGAGAAAAAAACAATGAGAGAGGGATAATTTGAGATTGTGTGAGTGCTTCCAACACTGCTATTGTTGCACAGTCAGATTTAGAAACTTCTCGATGTTAAATCCCCCTTTGGAAACTGCGGCCCGCGTTGCCACTACGCTGGTTAGCTCAATCATAAACGTGTATGTTTCTTCTGACTTCATCACACACAGTTCCCGTAGCCCATGCAGTTATTGTGATTCATAACAAACCACATTTGGCGAATGCCTTTGTGGCAAGTAAGGTTTAGTTGAGAGGGACAACTGAATACTCGCCGGTATTTCACTAAATATGCTTCCCTTTTGGTCTCCAGTGCTGTTTTAGAGACATGCGTACCGATGGAATTTGTTGAAGAGTTCGTCGTCGTCTCTCATCCTGTAGATGAGGTCGCTCCAGTCGACGGGGTTGCTGCCGTTCATGCCGTAGTCAGTCTAACAGAAGGAAACAAACTAATGTAGGGAAGATGATGTACCATCCGGAAGCAAGGGATAATTAAGAAATGACTTCAATATTCTTTGCGCTAATAAAGCTGTAAGGGTATAAACAGACGTACACTCCAGTTTATACGTTAATAATTTCATAAACGCTAAGCTATATTGAAGTCAAGTCTTATCAATTGATACATCATTAAGGGACACAACAATAATTTTACAGACTGCATATTTAATCATTAACACACATAGAAGTGTAGGCAACAAAAAGAAATCGGTTACATTGTCCAGCACAATAATGCAACACAAGCCCCGCCTACTTTATTATCAGCCAATCAGTAGTCCGTTAGTGGGCGTGGTCTAATTTTTATTGTTCATGGAAACATAAACGCAAGCAAATGTTCTTGGAAAGACGATTAAATGCCACGGAATGAATTGTAATGTATTTTTTCTTATAACATAGAAGTTCGTGTGATTCTGGCACGACGTCCCTTACCAAGGGGCTATATTCCAACTTCCATGATGGACTCGTGCTGACGTTGTTGTTAGCAACTAGATCGAAGATGTAATCCTCATAATCTAGCACGGCCTACAAAATACAAATAAAAACATAAGAAATCTCCACTAAAATCAATGTCAAAAGTATGATTCTAGCTATGTGTTAAACATATGTTCATGAATCAAATATTGATTATAACTATAGTTCGCGAAAAGGTGAGCGTATCCTCCTCCACCGGTGGCACTCGGAACCAAAACCTATACAGAGGTAAATCACTTGTTCTCCTGAAAAAACACGCGAACGTATGGTACAAGTCAGAATAGGGCATTGCATTGGACATCATCTTTGTCACTGATGCGTCAGATTTGGAAATATTCTCCACATATCGACCATAAAAGCTGATTAAAACTTTTGATCAAACAGAGCAAACCTTGATCAAACAGATTGATTACAACTAAAAGACGATCGTTCGTATCCAGACACTGTGTTACATGATCGATATCCTTTTTCAATTAGTTTGTGTACGGATGTGCACATGTTGACGCCAAAATAACAGCCTGTAGCGAATCGAAATATTATTTAAAGCATGTTGTATTCAATCTGATATCTTAAGAATGATCGGAATGAATTATTTTTTTAAGCATTATACCGCCCAGACAATTGTCATAAGAACAGTATTCGGACACCGCTAACGAAGGAAGTGTTGGTGTTGGCACCCAGGTTTCGATAAAACATATGTTATATCATTCAATGACGGTGAGCTTCTGTACCTAACGTAGGCAGTTTAGCTGAAGGAATGACTTACGAAGGAGGAGTTGGTGTAGAAGCCATCCATGGTGTAGATCCTGTAGTTGGGGTTTTTGTTTGACTTGGGCGTCACGGACCCGCCCACGTAGGCCACGTTGACAGGGCGGGTGAGGTTGGCGACGTCGTAGTACACGCGGAATTCGTCTGTGTGGGTGTGGCCGTTAAACTGACCCACGATTGTGCTCTCGTACCTGTGATAGGAAAAGACTCAGTGTAAGAATATATGTCTCCAGCAACTTGTCTCGATGGCCTGGTTGATTCAGTTTGCATGTTATCGTATCCAAATTACGTGGATCGATGCTAATGGTGTCAATCACAGGATTGTCTTGTCAAGATTCTATTATTTACAGACAGTTAAATAGCATAGCTGGAGTATTGCTGACTGCGGCGCTAAACAACAGCAAAACCAGAAAAAAATCCGAGGTTGAGTTACTCCATAATAACAATTGAAATTAATGTACGAATAAAGATATACAGTAAACTACGGTTATAACGAACTCAAAGGGACTACTAATGTTAGTTCGTTATAACCGTAGTTCGTTATAAGCATATATACAGCATAACCACAGCAAATAGTCGGGGCCTAAAAAGTAAGTTCGTTATATCCGTCAGTTCGTTACAAGCGTGTTCGTTATAACCGTAGTTTACTGTAATTGATTATACAGAAATGCTGGGGAGGGAGGCTGCGTTCAATGATAGATGTTTTAGATGCACATCATTTCCTGACGCTGCGTTCAATGATAGATGTTTTAGATGCACATCATTTCCTGACGCCTCAGTGTCATTCCTCACCTGCTGACTATGTTGTAGTAGTTCCAGCTCCAAGCCTTCATGCAGTTGGTGGGCATGTGACCCAGGATGAACACCTGCAACGATTAGAACAACATTGGCCAATCGGAGATACACATTTTCATACAAAAAGTGACAATGCAGTTAAAAGTTGCTTTAGTGTCACAATATTCACTCACGTTTTCCTCAATCGCATTGAAACATAATTCCTACTGGTCAGTTCGACACTGCTTGTAATTAAATAATTATTTCGAGGTTTCGTTAGAATGTAAGATATTCAGCCAAACGTTATGCAATAAAAGACGAATAGTTTCTTTCCATTAAAATACGCGCACGCGTACCTGTCACGTAATTGCACAGTGTGATGTATCAACGGGTCATAAAATAGGAAATGAAATAGAAACTAACTAAAATTTAATGTTGTACACGCACATGAATTCGTATGATAAACTGCCAAAACGTTTTGAGAGATAAGGCCGGGTTCATTAAAGATGTTTGGTGCGGTTAGGACCAAACTTTCTCAGCTCAGAGTGTTAGTGGTCCTGGAACCCAAAGTGTCAAACAGGTTATGCACAATACGTCCATCAGATTCTACTGTTCAGCAACATTGTCACTGAATTTCAGAACTCTGGCATGATATAATAATCAAGGATTTCGAAGGCAAAACCTTTTCTCGCCCATGGGCGAAATATTTCAATAAATCTGTAAAATAGCTGAATTGAGTAAAATTGAGTTACATTATGTGCCATGAAAATAGTAAGAACACCTGCATGTATTTGCGAAACAAAAACATAAGTTTTAAGTAAAGGAAAATATCCTCGCCCATGGGCCAAACCCTTTTCTCGCCCATGGGCGAAATATTTCAATATCGCTATAAAATCGTTGAATTAAGTTAAAATGAGTTAAATTTTGTGTCATGATACTTCAATAAATACATTTGATGTATTTGCGAAACAAAAACATGAGTTTTGAGTAAAGGAACATATTCTCGCCCATGGGCAAAACCTTTTTCTCGCCCATGGGCGAAATATTTCAATATCGCTATAAAATCGTTGAATTAAGTTAAAATGAGATAAATTTTGTGTCATGATACTTGAATGAATACATTAAATGTATTTGCGAAACAAAAACATGAGTTTTAAGTAAAGGAACATATTCTCGCCCATGGGCCTGCAGGCCCATGGGCCACACTTCGGGCGACATAGTCTAAATATTGAGTTTTTAAACAATTTTTCTTTCATTTTTTCTTCCTTGGTATGTTCCCATGAAAACGGCATGTTTAATTTTGTAAATACCTTTAACCGAGAGTCGGCAAAGACCGTAGAGTTTCTGGACTTTTGGGTTTCCAGAATTAAAATGGGACGTGTTATTTGTATTTTTAGCTGGTTGACATCAATGCAGAAAAAAGCAATGTCTTCAACAACACCCGCTGCCCCATCCCGCACCACACACAACCTCATCTCCATTCTTCCCTGATCTTCTGCCCCGTCCTCCACCCCATGACGCGTCTCTACTAACTTCTGCCGCTACATCCAGGCCATCCAGGCCATCACTGGTCACAACAACATCCACAGCCCCACTCCGTGTCCTCCACCCGCGTCTCTACCACCCCCTTCTATTATACCCCCCCCACACACACACCCCTCTCACACATACACACACACACACACACACACACACACACACACACACACACACACATGCACGCACGCACACACACGCCGACATCACCCACATTCCTCACTGACCTTCTCCTGAGCGTCCTCCGCCTTCTGCAGCGTCTCCGCCAGCCACTGCAATTCGCCGTTCGGGTCGGTGGTGTTGATGAAGAGCCACCAGTTGTTGATGTAGCAGAAGATATTGTTGACTGAGATGATGCGGAAACCGGGAAATGGGGAGAAAGTGTAGAAACCCCCTCTGAAACACAGAAAATACTCAATTTGGATTGGATTCCAACGTTGATCATTGTTCGCAATATCATTCTTTGTGGGGATCAATTTTCGCAATATCTTTGTTCGTGTGGATCATTGTTCACAATACCATTGTTCGTGTTGATCATTGCTCGCAATCTCATTGTTTGTGTGGATCAGTGCTCGCAATATCATTGTTTGTGTTGATCATTGCTCGCAATATCATTGTTTGTGTGGATCATTGCTCGCAATATCATTGTTTGTGTGGATCATTGCTCGCAATATCATTGTTTGTGTGGATCCTTGTTCGCAATATCATTGTTTGTGTGGATCCTTGCTCGCAATATCATTGTTTGTGTGGATCCTTGCTCGCAATATCATTGTTTGTGTGGATCAGTGCTCGCAATATCATTGTTTGTGTGGATCATTGCTCGCAATATCATTGTTTGTGTGGATCATTGCTCGCAATATCATTGTTTGTGTGGATCATTGCTCGCAATATCATTGTTTGTGTGGATCCTTGTTCGCAATATCACTGTTCGTGACGATCAATGTTCACTATATCTTTGTTCGTGTGGATCCTTGCTCGCAATATCACTGTTCGTGTGGATCCTTGTTCGCAAGATCACTGTTCGTGTGGATCAATGTTCACTTTATCTTTGTTCGTGTGGATCCTTGTTCGCAATATCACTGTTCGTGACGATCAATGTTCACTATATCTTTGTTCGTGTGGATCATTGCTCGCAATATCACTGTTCGTGTGGATCCTTGTTCGCAATATCACTGTTCGTGTGGATCATTGTTCGCAATATCACTGTTCGTGTGAATTGTTGTTGGGGGCACGCACAGCCCAGGCAGCCCAGGCGTCTAAGGCGCCGCAATTCGCTGTGCAGAGTTACGTCCCTTTGGTTCGGATCCCGGTTGGTTCGAATCCCAGTTCTCCCTATTTATGTATCTAGTTTTGTCAGCACCATACCCGTGCATCAATCAGGGCACGAAGTACTATGAAAATTCAATATCATCAGATCACTTGCATTATGTCTACGTCAAAACATTTAGTCCTTCATTTAGCCTCATCTCAGCGCTGTATCACTTAATTTGATAGCTCACCTCATAATAGTGTCTTTCGTGTCAGATGGTAGCCACCGACCCCACTGTGTTGCCATAGAAGCATACATCCACTCCTGCGACATATTGCCCGTGACCCAATCCGGAGGGAAACTGTTAAAATAACCTCTAGACATCAACAAATAGGGGAGTGTCGGGAATAGTCCATCCAGATACGGCAGCAGTAAATAATCAAGCAACCTAGTGACTGATAGCAAGAGCATCTTCAACATCATCAATAGATACACGATTATACGCAATAAGCGATCTCACAAAACCTGATCACCCGATCAATTTTAATCGATCCATTTTAGATCCACTGATAACCCCGGACTCCAAACGGGATTTCTGCACGTTAAGAAACTGTGCTATTCCAGAGGCTCACATGAGCTTTCGAATTTATGAAATTTACCAAATGCATTAAAATTGTAATTGCGAGTAGAGATTTTCAAATGGTACAATGGATCATCTGCCTGTAGAATGGTAGCTACCTTAACTGCCCAACCTTGTGGGTGCGTTTATTCACCATAGATAAATTCAAGTTTGATGACAGACAGTTCATGCGGCGTTACCTCCATTACATTTGAATGGATGTGCTACCAATTTTGAAAGTCCATCTTCTGAACTGAAATGGGGCGGTCGGGTAACCTAGTGGTTAAAGCTCGTCACGCCGAAGACCCGGGTTCGATTGCCGACATGGGTACAATGTGTGAAGCCCATTTCTGGTGTACCCCGCCGTGATATTGCTGGAATAATGCTAAAAGCGGCGTAAACTGGCATGTCATGTCTGGCTATTGCCACCGTGTAAAACATTAATCATTCAAACTGTAAACCGTCAACTCATGATAACACACACAATGACTGGACATGTGAGTGACTTGCTGAGATCAAGACGCCCATGGAAGACCAGTGCCATAGAGGACAAGGTCCTTGTACGCCAGGCAAAACAGCTGCCAAGTTCAACTTGCACTGTCCTTTGTCATCACTGACATACCCACAACAGAGTGTCGCGTAGCATCATCAGGCTTTGACTGAAGGCAGAAGGATAAGGACCAGAACAACAGTAAGACGCCCTCTCCTATCGCCCCAATACACGCAGGACCGTGTAGCCTTGAGTCAGGCTCGAGCACACTGGGGTCATGAAGGAGGATTCAGTGACGAGAATCGGTTCTTACTGCACCAAACTGATGGCAGGACTCGTGCCTGGAGGCAAAAGGGAACATCTTATCATCAGTGCAACATCCAGGAAACAGTGGCATGTGGTGGCGGCTCACCGATGGTATGGGGATGCTGCTCTTTTGATTGTAAACTTGATACTGCCTCTGTTTATCCCCAACGACAGTCCGTGTAGTCGCTGGCGAATAAAGTCGCTCTTTTTTTGCAAATGCACATTTTTGCTATTATCCATCAAAATAACATCTTATTTGACATTAAGTCGCACTTTTGATTGCTTTTGTTTTCGCTTTCCAGCTTCTTCTTGCTCCTTTTTTCTGTTCATCAAAAAATGGGAATATCTGTTACAATCTCGTTACAATCAGATCGTAGTCGCCTTATTTGTAGCGGAAACTAAGGTCAGATTTTAATGAGATTGCGTCATACGAAAAGACGTTAAAGATGGTACTTGTTGTTACCCTGCCTGACGCTCGGCATTAAGTGATATAACAACAACCTAGTGGGCTGGCCTAAGTCCGGACTAGCACAAGCGTACAAGCGCACATGCGTGTCGCTATATAAGTGCAATAATCTTAAAGGTGACGTTTAACTCAGCAATGTTAGGAGGGTTGGAGGGGTAGTCTTCTGGATAAAGTGTTCGCTCATCACGCTGAGACCCAGGTTCTATTACGCTACATGTGTACAGTTTCTGAAGCACATTCCTAGTGCCCCTCTCACTAGTGTTGTAATTGCGATAAAATGGACGAAAACCCTACTCATTCACTCACTAATAAGGGAAGTATCTTCAAATGAGTGCACAATCTGCTGTACTGCAAGCGCTCGTAAAATATTCAATTCTCGCTCTGTCTAAATCCGAGTGTTATGGGTACAAATCAGATACAGTTTAGCTACGTCGATCTCGGAGAGTAGTTGGTTGGGTGACCGCAGCTTGACAGCTTGACTCCTGAGTGTTTCTTGGGCTTCGTTCCTGCCCCACACTGAAGCACATCTAGCACACGTGATGTCTCTTTAGGCAAGTGACTTTGTTCGAAATGTGCCTCTGTTCAACCAGCAGAAAATGGGTACCCGGTAAGATGAGATTAGATGTGACTTCTAGCGCCTTAAATGCAGTTTGGGTTGCATACACCCCAGGGAGTTGAGAATGAAAATCGAGTGCACACTGATTCACTGACCGGCGTGACCCGTGAAGATCCGGGGTAGAATATGTCTTCAGCAGCCACTGCTTGCAGTAAAATGCGACTAAGCTTGTCGTAAGAGGCGACTAACGGGTTCGGGGGGTCAGACTCGCTGACTTGGTTGATGCATATCATCGTTCCCCAATTGCGTGGATCAATGCTCATGATATCAATCACTGGATTGTCTGGTCCAGACTCGAGTATTTACAGACCGCCGTCATATAGCTGGAATATTGTTGAGTGCGGCGTAAACAACAAACAAACAAAACATACATTACTCCTTCCTCGTTATAACGCCCCGTTTGCAACTGAAATTCGTCTTGCTTAGCCCCAGTCAATGGATCACACAGACACTGCAATTTCTGTATAGACGGGTATATCGGCCATACTGTGTCCAGTTTACTTATCTTCAGCCCCGTAAACAAACAAACAAACAAACACTGACCGGGGTAATAATGTAGCGCTTTGATCACGCTTTAGGGTGTGGTTTTGGTGTGATATAACTATGCACACTATCAGTACCTGTTACACGGGGCGCTGTCATGGTTACCGGCACAGAAGTACACCTGTTTCCCCGGCAGGTACTTGTCGAAGTAGGACACCAGTCGCTCTAGAGCTGTTATCTGTTCGCTACGGGTTTGATTCCACACATCATGAGCGGCGATGTCCCCCGTGAATATCACGAAGTCAAACTGCATATAACCAGTTATTGCCGTTCAAGTTATAATCAAGGATCCCTTAATGTTATAACAGCAACCCCCGTTTAATCCGGAAACCCCACTTACCGGGCGATTCCTGCTATGAACATCGTAAAATTTACGAAGGCCAGTAACAACGATTCGTTAATCTGTAAATGTAATAATGTAGCCAATTCACTTAGTATCTGTAAACGGCAATCAGGACAAGTATTCAGGGAAACTTAAGGAAGGGTGTTTAGACTTCACAATGGCATCTCCTTTTGTTTAGATTGCACAGGCTATTGGTAACATTTTGGTGTTAATATTTAAGTAAGAAAGATATAGTCTTTGAAAGGCATTTAGTGATACACATTAGGAAGAGAATTTATGGATGTCAGCTTCTTTATTATCAGAAACACAACATTTCGGAGTAGATGCTTACTCCTTCATCAGGTGAACAATCCTTCATCATCCTTTCACCTGATGAAGGAGTAAGCATATACTCCTAAACGTTTTGTTCCTCATAATAAAGAAGTTGCCATCAATAAATTCTCTTCCTTAAGAAAGATATATCAGTATAATCCGGCATGAAACTGTTTCATTTTCACAATATATGTAAATATGTATCGTAAATCTGAAGATACTGGTGTAGTTATAATACATCTATCAACTGTGACAGAAGTAAAACTTGGAGATGAATTCGACGTCTTATTTAAGTGTAACAAGTATTCCAGTTTAAGATCTACATATCTTTCTTTCTTAAATAATGTCTAGATCTGAAATGTTAATGATAAATGTTATCAACTCACAGAACGTACATGTTATCCTTTCAGTGGCTGCTTATCTAAAACATGTTTTATTATCAGATTCAAGAAGATGTCATCTCTGTATAATCACCGTTTTCCCAAGGCAATGACGTTAACTGACAGTGGCAATTACGAGTTATGGCCCTTCTATGGCCCTCCTATTGACCAATCAGATTCCATTTGGATTTACTTCAAACTAAATTGCGGCGCCCAGTCAAGACAATCTGGTTGATAATGGATCGATAAGGTCTATATTGTAATCAAATCACTTGAGCACCTTGATTAAAAACATGAAAAGATTTGGAAAATATCTGTCGACGACCAGTTAACTGTACGCATGGTTTGCAAATCCAGCAGTCGACCGAAATCTGCACGTTGAAATCCATGCTGTTTACAAACCGGATGTATATTTCGTGACGCGATTTTGATTGGACTATGCATAGACTCGTTATTCCAGCCAAAATGTAACCCCGGAATTCCGGCCTTGTTCGGCAACGATGGAAACTGGACTTTTATAGTCAGTTAACGCCGCTGACTCGGGAAAATGTATATTCCCGTAACAATATATTCTGTTTAAGTATCAATTGTACTTTAGGTCAAAGGGCCCATAATACTGAATATACATGTCTGCCTGTGAGGATACCTTCAGAATTACTCCTGTACTCACCTCGTCTGTCTTGGAGGCAAGGTGCTGAAACAGGTTGTCCACAAGGATGAGTGGGGAGTCACACGAGCGAGAGTCACCCCATCTTCCCGCTCCTGGGACACCCGCCGCTGCATCATCGGGGGTTAAAAGACAAACAGATGAACTCCCCTTGTATCGATCGCTGGTTACCCCCGCCCCAGAATTTCTAATTGGATGAATTATTGCTGCAGTACGCGTTAAATTACTTCAATGTATGATTATGATGGATTACGTGTAAATAGTTCACGTGACGGTTGTGACGTACCTGGTTTGCCGTCGTTGCTACGGCAACACAGGGGCTCGTGGCAGATGGCGTTAGATCCCTCTTGGTACATCAGGTCAATATGAATGTCTGTCAGCTGGAGGAACCTGACCTTGGGGGACCCCGGCTGTATGGAGAATTGAGTAATGTGTGAGTGAGTGGTCTGACCTTGGGGGACCCGGGCTGTATGGAGAATTGAGTAATGTGTGAGTGAGTGGTCTGACCTTAGGGGACCCGGGCTGTTTGGAGAATTGAGTTATGTGTGAGTGAGTGGTCTGACCTTATGGGACCCGGGCTGTATGGAGAATTGAGTACTGTGTGGGTGAGTGGTCTGACCTTGAGGGTACCCGGGCTGTATGGAGAATTGAGTATTGTGTGAGTGAGTGGTCTGATCTTAGGGGACCCGGGCTGTATGGAGAATTGTGTATTGTGTGAGTGAGTGGTCTGACCTTAGGGGACCCGGGCTGTATGGAGAATTGGGTAATGTTTGAGTGAGTGGTCTGATCTTGGGACCCGGGCTATATGGAGAATTGTGTAATGTGTGAGTGAGTGGTCTGATCTTAGGGGACCCGGGCTGTATGGAGAATTGAGTAATGTGTGTGTGAGTGGTCTGACCATAAGGCACCCGGGCTGTATGCAGAATTGAGTAATGTGTTAGTAAGTGGTCTGACCTTAGGGGACTCGGGCTGTACGGACAATTGAGTAATGTGTGAGCGAGTGGTCTGACCTTAGGGGACTCGGGCTGTATGGAGAATTGGGTAATGTGTGAGTGAGTGATCTGACCTTGGAGACCCGGGCTGTATAGAGAATTGAGTAATGTGTTAGTGAGTGGTCTGACCTCGAGAGACCCGGGGGTATGGACAATTGAGAAATGTGTGAGTGATTGGTCTGACCTTGGGGAACTCGGGCTGTATGGATAACTGAGTAATGTGTTAGTGAGTGGTCTGACCTTAGGGGACTCGGGCTGTATGGAGAATTGAGTAATGTGTGAGTGAGTGGTCTGACCTTAGGGGACTCGGGCTGTACGGACAATTGAGTAATGTGTGAGTGAGTGGTCTGAGCTTAGGGGACACCAGGGCTGTTTGGAGAATTGAGTAATGTGTGAGTGAGTGGTCTGAGCTTAGGGGACACCAGGGCTGTATGGAGAATTGGGTAATGTGTGAGTGAGTGATCTGAGCTTAGGGGACTCGGACTGTATGGAGAATTGGGTAATGTGTGAGTGAGTGGTCTGACCTTGGACACCCGGGCTGTTCGCAGAATTGAGTAATGTGTTAGTGAGTGGTCTGACCTCGAGGGACCCGGGGGTATGGACAATTGAGTAATGTGTGAGTGATTGGTCTGACCTTGGGGGACTCGGGCTGTATGGAGAATTTAGTAATGTGTGAGTGAGTGGTCTGAGCTTGGACACCAGGGCTGTATGGAGAATTGAGTAATGTGTGGGTGAGTGGTCTGACCGTAGGGAACCCGGGCTGTTCGCAGAATTGAGTAATGTGTTAGTGAGTGGTCTGACCTCGAGGGACCCGGGGGTATGGACAACTGAGTAATGTGTGAGTGATTGGTCTGACCTTGGGGGACTCGGGCTGTATGGAGAATTTAGTAATGTGTGAGTGAGTGGTCTGAGCTTGGACACCAGGGCTGTATGGAGAATTGAGTAATGTGTGGGTGAGTGGTCTGACCGTAGGGAACCCGACTGTATGGAGAATTGAGTAATGTGTTAGTGAGTGGCCTGACCTTGGGGGACTCGGGCTATATGGAGAATTGCGAAATGTGTGAGTGAGTGGTCTGAGCTTGGACACCAGGGCTGTATGGAGAATTGAGTAATGTGTGAGTGAGTGGTCTGAGCTTAGGGGACTCGGGCTGTAAGGAGAATTGAGTAATGTGTTAGTGAGTGGTCTGAGCTTGGACACAAGGGCTGTATGGAGAATTGAGTAATGTGTGAGTGAGTGATCTGACCTTGGAGACCCGGGCTGTATAGAGAATTGAGTAATGTGTTAGTGAGTGGTCTGACCTCGAGAGACCCGGGGGTATGGACAATTGAGTAATGTGTGAGTGATTGGTCTGACTTTGGGGAACTCGGGCTGTATGGATAACTGAGTAATGTGTGAGCGAGTGGTCTGACCTTAGGGGACTCGGGCTGTATGGAGAATTGAGTAATGTGTTAGTAAGTGGTCTGACCTTAGGGGACTCGGGCTGTACGGACAATTGAGTAATGTGTGAGTGAGTGGTCTGAGCTTAGGGGACACCAGGGCTGTTTGGAGAATTGAGTAATGTGTGAGTGAGTGGTCTGAGCTTAGGGGACACCAGGGCTGTATGGAGAATTGGGTAATGTGTGAGTGAGTGATCTGAGCTTAGGGGACTCGGACTGTATGGAGAATTGGGTAATGTGTGAGTGAGTGGTCTGACCTTGGACACCCGGGCTGTTCGCAGAATTGAGTAATGTGTTAGTGAGTGGTCTGACCTCGAGGGACCCGGGGGTATGGACAATTGAGTAATGTGTGAGTGATTGGTCTGACCTTGGGGGACTCGGGCTGTATGGAGAATTTAGTAATGTGTGAGTGAGTGGTCTGAGCTTGGACACCAGGGCTGTATGGAGAATTGAGTAATGTGTGGGTGAGTGGTCTGACCGTAGGGAACCCGGGCTGTTCGCAGAATTGAGTAATGTGTTAGTGAGTGGTCTGACCTCGAGGGACCCGGGGGTATGGACAACTGAGTAATGTGTGAGTGATTGGTCTGACCTTGGGGGACTCGGGCTGTATGGAGAATTTAGTAATGTGTGAGTGAGTGGTCTGAGCTTGGACACCAGGGCTGTATGGAGAATTGAGTAATGTGTGGGTGAGTGGTCTGACCGTAGGGAACCCGACTGTATGGAGAATTGAGTAATGTGTTAGTGAGTGGCCTGACCTTGGGGGACTCGGGCTATATGGAGAATTGCGAAATGTGTGAGTGAGTGGTCTGAGCTTGGACACCAGGGCTGTATGGAGAATTGAGTAATGTGTGAGTGAGTGGTCTGAGCTTAGGGGACTCGGGCTGTAAGGAGAATTGAGTAATGTGTTAGTGAGTGGTCTGAGCTTGGACACAAGGGCTGTATGGAGAATTGAGTAATGTGTGAGTGAGCGGTCTGACCTTGGACACCAGGGCTGTATGGAGAATTGGGTAATGTGTGAGTGAGTGGTCTGACCTTAGGGGACCCGGGCTGTATGGAGAATTGAGTAATGTGTGAGTGAGTGGTCTGAGCTTAGGAGACCATAGGCTTTATGGAGAATTGAGTAATGTGTGAGTGAATTGGTCTGACCTTAGGGGTGTGGTCTGACATTAGGAGACCCGGGCTGTATGGAGAATTGAGTAAATATGTGAGTGAGTGGTCTGAGCTTAGGGGACTCGGGCTGTATGGAGAATTGAGTAATGTGTGAGTGAGTGGTCTGACATTAGGAGATCCGGGCTGTATGGAGAATTGAGTAATGTGTGAGTGAGTGGTCTGACCTTAGGGGAGTGTATTGACATTAGGAGACCCGGGCTGTATGGAGAATTGAGTAATGTATGAGTGAGTGGTCTGACATTAGGAGACCCGGGCTGTATGGAGAATTGAGTAACGTGTGAGTGAGTGGTCTGACCTTAGGAGACCCGGGCTGTATGGAGAATTGAGTAATGTATGAGTGAGTGGTCTGACATTCGGAGACCCGGGCTGTATGGAGAATCGAGTAATGTGTGAGTGAGTGGTCTGACCTTAGGGGAGTGGTCGGACATTAGCAGACTCGGGCTGTATGGAGAATTGAGTAATGTGTGAGTGAGTGGTCTGACCTTAGGATACCCGGGCTGTATGGAGAATTGAGTAATGTGTGAGTGAGTGGTCTGACCTTAGGAGACCCGGGCTGTATGGAGAATTGAGTAACGGTGAGTGAGTGGTCTGAGCTTAGGGGACTCGGGCTGTATGGAGAATTGAGTAATGTGTGAGTGAGTGGTCTGACATTAGGAGATCCGGGCTGTATGGAGAATTGAGTAATGTGTGAGTGAGTGATCTGACCTAGGGGACTCGGGCTGTATGGAGAATTGAGTAATGTGTGAGTGAGTGGTCCGACCTTGGGGGACCCGGGCTGTATTGAGAATTGAGTAATGTGTGAGTGAGTGGTCTGACCTTAGGAGACCCGGGCTGTATGGAGAATTGAGTAACGGTGAGTGAGTGGTCTGAGCTTAGGGGACTCGGGCTGTATGGAGAATTGAGTAATGTGTGAGTGAGTGGTCTGACATTAGGAGATCCGGGCTGTATGGAGAATTGAGTAATGTGTGAGTGAGTGGTCTGACCTTAGGGGACTCGGGCTGTATGGACAATTGAGTAATGTGTGAGTGAGTGGTCTGACCGTAGGGAACCCGACTGTTTGGGGAATTGAGTAATGTGTGAGTGAGTGGTCTGACCTCGAGGGACCCGGGGGTATGGACAATTGAGTAATGTGTGAGTGATTGGTCTGACCTTGGGGGACTCGGGCTGTATGGAGAATTGAGTAATGTGTGAGTGAGTGGTCTGACCGTAGGGAACCCGACTGTTTGGGGAATTGAGTAATGTGTGAGTGAGTGGTCTGACCTCGAGGGACCCGGGGGTATGGACAATTGAGTAATGTGTGAGTGATTGGTCTGACCTTGGGGGACTCGGGCTGTATGGAGAATTGAGTAATGTGTGAGTGAGTGGTCTGAGCTTGGACACTGTATGGAGAATTGTGTAATGTGTGGGTGAGTGGTCTGACCGTAGGGAACCCGACTGTATGGAGAATTGAGTAATGTGTGAGTGAGTGGCCTGACCTTGGGGGACTCGGGCTGTATGGAGAATTGAGTAATGTTCGAGTGAGTGGTCTGACCGTAGGGAACCCGACTGTATGGAGAATTGAGTAATGTGTGGGTGAGTGGTCTGACCTTGGGGGGACTCGGGCTGTGTGGAGATTGAGTGTGTGATCTGGTCTTGGAGACCCAGGCTGTATGGAGAATTGAGTAATGTGTGAGTGAGTGGTCTGATCTTGGGGACCCGGGCTATATGAAGATCGAGTTGTCTGGCCTTGGAGTACCCGGGCTGGTTGGAGAATTGAATTATGTGTGAGTGTGTGATCTGGTCTTGGAGACCCAGGCTGTATGGAGAATTGAGTAATGTGTGAGTGAGTGGTCTGACCTTAGGGGTGTGGTCTGACATTAGGAGACCCGGGCTGTATGGAGAATTGAGTAAATATGTGAGTGAGTGGTCTGAGCTTAGGGGACTCGGGCTGTATGGAGAATTGAGTAATGTGTGAGTGAGTGGTCTGACATTAGGAGATCCGGGCTGTATGGAGAATTGAGTAATGTGTGAGTGAGTGGTCTGACCTTAGGGGAGTGTATTGACATTAGGAGACCCGGGCTGTATGGAGAATTGAGTAATGTATGAGTGAGTGGTCTGACATTAGGAGACCCGGGCTGTATGGAGAATTGAGTAACGTGTGAGTGAGTGGTCTGACCTTAGGAGACCCGGGCTGTATGGAGAATTGAGTAATGTATGAGTGAGTGGTCTGACATTCGGAGACCCGGGCTGTATGGAGAATCGAGTAATGTGTGAGTGAGTGGTCTGACCTTAGGGGAGTGGTCGGACATTAGCAGACTCGGGCTGTATGGAGAATTGAGTAATGTGTGAGTGAGTGGTCTGACCTTAGGATACCCGGGCTGTATGGAGAATTGAGTAATGTGTGAGTGAGTGGTCTGACCTTAGGAGACCCGGGCTGTATGGAGAATTGAGTAACGGTGAGTGAGTGGTCTGAGCTTAGGGGACTCGGGCTGTATGGAGAATTGAGTAATGTGTGAGTGAGTGGTCTGACATTAGGAGATCCGGGCTGTATGGAGAATTGAGTAATGTGTGAGTGAGTGATCTGACCTAGGGGACTCGGGCTGTATGGAGAATTGAGTAATGTGTGAGTGAGTGGTCCGACCTTGGGGGACCCGGGCTGTATTGAGAATTGAGTAATGTGTGAGTGAGTGGTCTGACCTTAGGAGACCCGGGCTGTATGGAGAATTGAGTAACGGTGAGTGAGTGGTCTGAGCTTAGGGGACTCGGGCTGTATGGAGAATTGAGTAATGTGTGAGTGAGTGGTCTGACATTAGGAGATCCGGGCTGTATGGAGAATTGAGTAATGTGTGAGTGAGTGGTCTGACCTTAGGGGACTCGGGCTGTATGGACAATTGAGTAATGTGTGAGTGAGTGGTCTGACCGTAGGGAACCCGACTGTTTGGGGAATTGAGTAATGTGTGAGTGAGTGGTCTGACCTCGAGGGACCCGGGGGTATGGACAATTGAGTAATGTGTGAGTGATTGGTCTGACCTTGGGGGACTCGGGCTGTATGGAGAATTGAGTAATGTGTGAGTGAGTGGTCTGACCGTAGGGAACCCGACTGTTTGGGGAATTGAGTAATGTGTGAGTGAGTGGTCTGACCTCGAGGGACCCGGGGGTATGGACAATTGAGTAATGTGTGAGTGATTGGTCTGACCTTGGGGGACTCGGGCTGTATGGAGAATTGAGTAATGTGTGAGTGAGTGGTCTGAGCTTGGACACTGTATGGAGAATTGTGTAATGTGTGGGTGAGTGGTCTGACCGTAGGGAACCCGACTGTATGGAGAATTGAGTAATGTGTGAGTGAGTGGCCTGACCTTGGGGGACTCGGGCTGTATGGAGAATTGAGTAATGTTCGAGTGAGTGGTCTGACCGTAGGGAACCCGACTGTATTGAGAATTGAGTAATGTGTGGGTGAGTGGTCTGACCTTGGGGGGACTCGGGCTGTGTGGAGATTGAGTGTGTGATCTGGTCTTGGAGACCCAGGCTGTATGGAGAATTGAGTAATGTGTGAGTGAGTGGTCTGATCTTGGGGACCCGGGCTATATGAAGATCGAGTTGTCTGGCCTTGGAGTACCCGGGCTGGTTGGAGAATTGAATTATGTGTGAGTGTGTGATCTGGTCTTGGAGACCCAGGCTGTATGGAGAATTGAGTAATGTGTGAGTGAGTGGTCTGACCTTCGGGACTCGGGCTGTACGGATAACTGAGTAATGTGTGAGCGAGTGGTCTGACCTTAGTGGACTCGGTTGAGAAGAATGGTTAGAGAATTGAGTTAAGTATGAGTGAGTGGTCTGGCCTTGGCTGTATGATAATAGATAATTAAACGGACAATACAAAGACGAAATATGACAACGTTTTCTTGTTAAATAGAAGGCATTGGAGACACAAGGAATCGTCAACTCACCGCAGGGTGTCGGGGAGGTTTGACCGGTGGTTTGGGTGTGTCAGGGAGGGAGATGTTCCACATCTCTGTGGGGAAATAGGGCGTGGCACAGTCCGGCCCCAGGAGCAACCCGCAGATGTCATTCGGGCTGAGGGCAGTCTGCTGAATTACCGCCATAGCCATGTCCTGAAGAAAAGTTTCCTTTATTTGATTGTTGTTTAACCTCGGCGAAATTGGTTTCTTCTGGTTTTGGTTTTGTTCAATGTCGCACTCAGCAATATTCCAGCTATATGACAGCGGCCCTGAAATAATCGAGCCTGGGCAAGACAATCCAGTGATTGTCATCATGAGCATCGCAATTGACAGCCATCAACGAAGTCAGCGAGCCTGACTACGAATCCCGTTAGTCACTTCGATTGACAAGCATAAGTTGCTGAAGACTTATTGTAACCCGGATCTTTACGGGGCCACAGTATGGCCGATATACCCGTCAATACAAAAATTGCAGTATCTGTGTGATCCATTGACTGGGGCTAAGCCAAGACGAATTTCAACTGCAATCAGGGCGTTATAACGAGGAAGGAGTAATGTATGTTTTGTTTGTTTGTTGTTTACGCCGCAACAATATTCCAGCTCTATGACAGCGGTCTGTAAATAATCGAGTCTGGACCAGACAATCCAGTGATTGACATCACGAGCATCGATCTACGCCATTGGGATACGATGACATGCATAAACCAAGTCAGTGAGCCTGACCCCTCGATCCCGTAGCCTCTTACGACAAACATAGTCGCCTTATACTGCAAGCATTGGTTGCTGAAGACATATTCTAACCCGGATCTTTACGGGCTTGAAGGATTATTGTGACTCCCCGTACATAGACGTTATAATAGAGAAGGCGTTACCTCTGTTACTTCGACATGGAGGTGAGTGTTGTTGTTGTCGTTGTTGTTGTTGTTGTTGTTGTTGTCGTTGTGTCTCAAAGTGGATGTGAGTAAACAGTGTTATTGAAGTCGTTATATACTCAGCGTCATTATTAAAGGACCACCTAGGTATGTGGGGTATGACGTATTATACTCTGGTATGACGTAGGTCGCACTCTGAAGCCACGTTATACTCAGGTATGACGTACGTCACACTCTGAAGTCACCTTATTCTCAGGTATGACGTACGTCTCACTTTGAACTCACCTTATACTCAGGTATGACGTAGGTCACACTCTGAAGTCACCTTATACTCAGGTATGACGTAGATCGCTCTCTGAAGTCACCTTATGCTCAGGTATGACGTGCGTCACACTCTGAAGTCACATTATACTCAGGTATGACGTAGGTAACGCTCTGAAGTCACCTTATACTCAGGTATGACGTAGGCCACACTCTGAACTCACCTTATACTCAGGTATGACGTAGGTCACTCTCTGAAGTCACCTTATACTCGGGTATGACTTAGGTCACGCTCTGAACTCACCTTATACTCAGGTATGACGTACGTCACACTCTGAAGTCACCTTATACTCAGGTATGACGTACGTCACACTCTGAGGTCACCTTATACTAAGGTATAAAGTACGTCACACTCTGAACTCACCTTATACTCAGGTATGACGTAGGTCACTCTCTGAAGTCACCTTATACTCAGGTATGACGTACGTCACACTCTGAAGTCACCTTATACTCAGGTATGACGTAGGTCACGCTCTGAACTCACCTTATACTCAGGTATGACTAAGGCACGCTCTGAACTCACCTTATACTCAGGTATGACGTACGTCACACTCTGAAGTCACCTTATACTCAGGTATGACGTACGTCACACTCTGAGGTCACCTTATACTCAGGTATGACGTAGGTCACACTCTCAAGTCACCTTATACTCGGGTATGACGTAGGTCACACTCTGAACTCACCTTATACCCAGGTATGACGTAGGTCACGCTCTGAACTCACCTTATACTCAGGTATGACGTAGGTCACACTCTGAACTCACCTTATACCCAGGTATGACGTAGGTCACACTCTGAACTCACCTTATACTCAGGTATGACGAGGGTCACACTCTGGACTCACCTTATACTCAGGTATGACGTAGGTCACGCTCTGAACTCACCTTATACTCAGGTATGACGTAGGTCACACTCTGAACTCACCTTATACCCAGGTATGACGTAGGTCACACTCTGAACTCACCTTATACTCAGGTATGACGAGGGTCACACTCTGGACTCACCTTATACTCAGGTATGACGTAGGTCACACTCTGAACTCACCTTATACTCATGTATGACGAGGGTCACACTCTGAACTCACCTTATACTCAGGTATGACGTAGGAGCACACTCTGTCCGTTTCAATGTGGAAATATTTGCATGTTGAGATCATCGTTTTCACAATTTCGTCTTCGGGTCGCATTTTCACCACCATTTTCTGTAGAGTGCCTGCAAGCACCTTGCACGCAATGCACAGGTCACTTTCACTGATGTTTGTTCCATGTTCTTTAGGAAACGTGTCCTTTGCCGCGTTCCTCGTTATCCATTGCAAGTGTTCACCAACCTTCTTTGTCTTCGTTCTGGTAGAATCAGTTACCATGGTAACAGTACACAGTACCGTTAAACACAACACTGCCCTCAACGACATTGTAATTACAGACACATATATCTACAATGAATTTGAAGATAATTTGTCCCTCCTATTGTGATCAACGTCCCGATATTTATATTATCGGGTACATGAAGACAGCGGTGTATATGAAGATGTGTCACACACGGATATGTCGTCCTGACAGTCGTTATCGCGCATGTGACGCCAGCGTACAAAGGGTTAGCCTCAGGCTCTGCTTGGTACATCTGTACGTAGGATATCTGTGTATCTTATCTCCACGAGCAGACAGTACACATCCACTTACACCAAGTGTTGATCACGTTTTTAGCTGCAGTGACCTTTTCATGTTTGTTTGTTGTTTACGCAGTCAGCATCTTCTAGCAGTATGACAGTAGCTTGGAAACAGTCTGTACCAAATGCTTCGGAGTCTACTTGGAACTTGTCCCTTGATATCATATCTCAGTAGATCTTAGTGCTAATGTGTAGACCTTCATCCGAAAATTTAACCGATTTTTTTTACTTGACTCGGGTTACGGACAAGTGGCTAACGTCACATACTGTGTAAATAATCGAGTCAAGACAAGACAAGACAAACGTGTGATTGATTTCATTATACACGAGGATGACCACGTGATCCATAGACTCGCTTCTATCGACAAACATATTGAGTGAGTGAGTGAGTTGGGTTTAACGCCACTTTTAACAGTATTCCAGTTATATCACGGCGTGTCAGCTTAATGTGGGAGGAAAGCCCGAAGTGGTGCAGGTCACAGACGTTTGCCACTTCGGTGAAACCCACGAGCACGGGTATGGTGCTGACAAACCTAGAAACATTATCGGGGCGAACCGGGATTCGAACCATCAATCATAGGTTTCTGGCGTGCCCAAGGGACGCAACTCTGCACAGCAAATCGCGGCGCCTTAGACGACTGGGCCACCCGTGCCCCCCCCCCCCCCCCCCCCCCCCCCCGACAAACATAGGTTGCTGGGGAACTATGCACTCTGGATTCCCGACAGGGGGAATACTGTCTGGTCCAAGTGGAACACATCGAGGACAGGTTAACAACACCCTGAGTGTACATCTGTACCCAACTACAATCTCATTATAATCAGATCTTAGTTCCCGCTACCGCTTAACAAACATCTGAGGACATCCCATTACGGGTCACGTCAGAACGACCTTTCATCCGACCAATCAAAACGTCGCTTACCAGATCATGAAAGTGACAGTCGGAATGTGTTTTCTAATCATGCAACCTCGAAAACATTAACACGGGGTATTCCGAACGACAGTAACAGCCCGTACGACTGATTATCGTCTACCTCGCGCTTCCATGGGACAAACATTTGAACGGAGGAGGCGTTGCACAGTACGTGGGACGAACTGCCATAAATCGCAACCATATATTAGACGTTCCTGAATGATCGTTTGTTCAGTTTTCAAAATTTTAATCGAGAACTGTGTCAACATATTTTTCAAGCGTAGTCTGAAATGGAAGTCACCAGATAAAACGAGTGCCGTAAAGCTCGAGAAAGCTGCTTTCTAATTGCTTTCTAATTGGCTGATGTCGACTTGTTAGCCGTTTCAGTGGTCGGTAAAAGTTCGCGAAAGGCCGTTCTGACGTGACCCGTAATTGGACGTCCTCAGATCTTTGTTTAGCGGCAGCGAGAACTTAGATCTGATTTTAATGAGCTTGTACCGAACTACAAAATCGATAGTTTCGACAAACCCAATTCACTCACTCCACCACAGGTTGTAACCGCCAGGAAGTGTTATATATTATATCCAACTTACGCAGCCACACTGGACATCCAATCTTGCGCCATGACGCGATGCAGACTAAAGGACTCCATACATAATTTCTTAGGTCTGGGAAGGCAAGTGTAACGTCACGTCGAAGATTTTTTCACCTATATAGCGACGTGCATGCACGTGTGCTAGCGCCAGACCTCTGAGATACCACAGTTTACCATGAATACCCCACTCTCCCTACATAATACTGACCCCGTGCCGATCAGTCCCTGTTTTATCACTTAATATCGAGCGCTAGGCAAGGTAACAACAAGTACTGACTTTTAACGTCTTTTGGTAAGACGCGGCCGGGGAATCAATCATCGACCTTCCGCTCTCTGGGCAGACGCTCTATCCACTAGACCATTGATGCGGTCAATAACGTCTTAACTGAACAAAATGTTTGAAAACGTTTTTTATATATATTTTATAATGGAATAGTCTGAATAGTGGTATAGTCATCTTCTTTGATGCTCCAATACATATCATGTTATTGTTTATTCATATTTCCCTTAACATGAGACGGTCCCGGGCAAACAATAGAACAACAAGCACAACGTCGAAAAAATATTTATTCGTTGTATCATACTATCTGCTTCCGGTATTAAAGGTCACTGCAGAGGGATGGGTCGCGTGACCTCCCGGTCTTCAGCTCGCACAACATCTTGGTTTTGCAGTCACCAGTACAAGGGCCATTGTCTCGTAGTTTGTAAAACAGCCTACAACACAAACACAACTTGTTAATGTCGTTCCTGCAAGGAAGACTGTTACATGCTTCACGCGGAAGATAAAACAACTCTATGGTGACAACTTGACTACGTTAAATGACGAGTATTGTGCATGTTTGCCGAAATAGTTGAAAGAATAAAAGAGGCTGAAATTCACGTCAGTTCTATCTTCATTGATAATACTGCTACTTCAGAATAGCCATAAAATTAGTAAGGCTAATAAAGAGCTACATAAGGATGGGAATGGCCTTGAAACATTATGCTAATGTCCGGATTCGAACTCCGCCCTGGGCTTAACGATCCCGTATCCCCAGCCTAATCTCATGAGCAGACGACACAGTCGAAGAACATGCACGTTTGGTCCTCTTTAGACGCTACAATATCACCTTGGCCCGAGATCTTAGCACTGTGATTATTGTGAGGCTGTAAATCATACCTGTTGCAGTAGCCCTCTACGTACGCTTTGTGAGTGAGTGAGTATGGCTAAGCCGCTTTTAGCAATATTCCAGCAATATCACGGCGGGGGACACCCGAAATGGGCTTCATACATTGTACCTATGTCGGGAATCGAACCCGGGTCTTCGGCGTGACGAGCTAACGCTTTAACCACTAGGCTACCTGACCGTTTTGTGAGAGGTAGCCCTGGTGAACATAAGGGACGAAGCTCGGATAAAGAATGGGGTGATTAACATGTGAAGCACTCTTGTGTCTAGCAGTAATTTTAAACGAAACTTGTATGAGGTCCGTACTTGTAAAACTTCTGGAACACCGTGTCGTCATCCCTCATCCTGTAGATGAGGTCGCTCCAGTCTCGGGGGTACAGCCCCGTCATGTTGTAGTCGCTCTGGAGGAGATGGAGGAAAAAGAGGAGTAGATGTAGTAGAAGGAGGAGATGGAGTGGAAGATGTAAGTAGATGTAAGTGACAGGAGGAGAGAGAGTGGTATACGGCAGTAGATGGAGTAGGAGGAGTAGGATTAGCAGGAGTAGTGATGGTGTGTGTGGTGGTAGTAGTAGTAGTAGTAGTAGTCGTGGTGATGGTGGTAGTAGATGTAGTTGGAGAAGAAGAAGGGTGGTAGTTCTAGAAAATGTTGGAGAAGAAGGAGGGGAGGAAGAGGATGAGGAGGAGGATGCTGGTTTGCAGTAGGTGTATCATTTCGTTTAGAAAACTGTCAATATATTGATGTTCGATGGTTGGAGCATTGGGATGATGACACACAGCCAAACTGTTTTAGTCCAGACCCTGTGTATCCGGACGATGCCGACGGGAACTCAAATACTATCCATAATCTTCATGGTCCAGTCGGAATTAGCTTATCCACTATGGACTGATTGTCTCGAAATACAGGTTACAGTGACACCTCGCTAATCCGGACCCCGTTAATCCAAACTGTCGGGACGATCACAGCTGGGAACACTTACAGTATACATAGTGACATTAACTCATAACCAGAACTCGTTAATACGTACATTTCAGAGAAAGATACGGTCCGGATCAATGGGATTTCAATGTATTCGATATGTGTGAGATGGTCGAATCATGGAGGTATCACTGTATCACTACCATATACAAACGAATTGTTAGTTCCTGGAAATGTCCAGCAAATGGAAGAAGATATCAGCTCACCTTAGCTGTATACTCGAGCTGCCATACAGGTGCCGCCACGCCTTTGTTGGCAGTCGCGATGTCAGTGTAGTAAGTTTCAAAGTCCAGTACCGCCTTTGTTCAAATAAACAATGGTTAGTTTTACAAAATATGCCATTACATTATTTAGAACATAATTTGTGATATGTATTAGATTGCAGTGATGCCAGATTCATAAGTTCCGTTTTTGCATTGTCGAGGAATTTTAATTTATTATCAGAAAACAAATCGCAAAACATGAGTTACGTCTCGTGTGAACATATGGAAGATATCGGCAGTATGCATCTGAGTGTGAGGCAAGAGTGCTCACTGTACAAACTACCACAAATATGTTCCCTTGAAGATCCGGGTTAGAATAGGTCTTCAGACAACTATACTTGCCGTAAGAGATGGCTATGCTTGGTGTAAGAGGCGACTAACGTCAGATGATCAGGCTCGCTGACTTGGTTGATGCACTTCATCGTATCCCAATTGCGTATATCGATGCTCATGACATTAATGCTCATGGATTGTCTGTCCAGACTCGATTATTTAAAGACCGCCGCCATACAGCTGGAATATTGCTGAGTGCAGCGTTAAAAAACAAACAAACCCACCAACCACGAATATGTCTACACAACCGGATTCGAACCCACGTTCATAGGTTTCTGGCACGTCTAATAGACATAAGATGTTAAAATAAATTGTCTTTATCACACATATATTAGAATATGCAAAACCAGAGACCATATTAATGTTCTCTGGCAAAGCACATTTCGTTATGTTCAAAAATTATCTCGCTCCTTTAATGATAAATACCATTGGAGCTAGTGAGTGAGTTACTATTTTACGTCACATCAGCAATACCGTGACAAAATGTCCCAAACAGTCTCTTATTGTAACAGTTGCTTCGACACCAATACTTTAGGGAGTTTGCCCGATTATCACAGGGCGAAATAAGTACCACAGGGTATCATTCTATCAATGTTCGTCCTGCCTGCTTCTGCAAAACAACCAGATACTGGGCTTTGTGTTAATTATGTCATCATTAACGTGCACCTCACCCAGGAACTTGTCTTATAGTTTCCGTCCATGGTATAAATCCTGTAACTAGGGTTCATGTCACCGCGGGTGGTCACGCCTCCCATGACGTAGCCGATGCTGGTTGGTCGAGTGAAGTTGACGTCATCATAGAACACCTCAAACTGGTCCTTGTGTGTGTGTCCGTAGAACTGAGCCATGATGGTGCTCTCGTACCTGTATGGACACAATGGGTCACTGACTGGCTTCACAACGCTTTCATCATGGCGGGACACCACGGAGTGGTTGAACATACTGTACCCATATCTGAACTGAAGCCACGTCTCCGACGTGACATGCTAGCCCAAACGGAAATTAGTCATAGTAACACAAACGTGTCGTATATTGTATTTGGTTTCTTTCTCTAAGAAATTGATTATTTGCCTTCAAAAATGGATTAGTTTGCATGGTTGATATCGGTACGATGACATGCAGTCAGCCAGGTCACACATAGTTACCAAGCAGTCCTCGCTTTAATTCCTAGTGTCCACTGGGTACTAAGACTTATTTGTCCCCGTAATCGAGGTTGTGAATCACAAATTTCATTAAAATCAGATAGTTACCGCATCTCAAAGACCTGGGGACATCCCATTACGGGTTGCGTCGGAAAGACCTTTTGCAAACTTTGACTGACTAATGAAATGGCTTACAGGAAGTCGGCATTAGCCAATCAAAATGCAGCTTTCTCGAGGTTTACAGCATAAGTTTCAAAATGGCGAATTCGCTTTGTTTATCCCATTGAAGCGACAAATGGACGACGATTTTGACGGGATCAGTTGTATAGCTAGTAACTGTCGCTCGGAATGAATCGTGTTTACCTTTTCGAGGGTGTATACATTTAGAAAACACATTCGGACTTTCACTTTCGCGATCTCGTAAGCGCTCTTGTTGATCGAATAACTAGTACTGTAATGGGATGTCCTCCGATTTCTGTCTAGCGGTAACGAGCACTAAGCTCTGATTGGTGAACCAGTAACCTGTTGACTATTCGGTAGTAGTTCCAGCTCCAGGGCTTCAGACAGTTGTCCTTACCGGGGGGAATGTGGGTGAGAATGAAGACCTGAAAGAGGAGATTTATATCAAAACGTCGTCTAAAACGTGGGACCAAACATTTAAAATCGCAATTAAAATCTATATCCACAAATAAGCCATTCTTGGTATTGGAACTACAATAATCTTTGACAAAAAATCACTTTGTGCAAGCATCTGAACTACTGTAACATAGGCAGATACGTCAAAGGTGTTTGCAAAACTTGATATCATGTGAAGTCTAAATACTGAATGCAACATCTAACACATTCTTATTCTTCTTCAAATAAGAATCTCGCGAATGTGAAGCTAAGGTGATTCAACTGTGCATCAGTATATCATTGTCTCTTTAGCACATATCAAATACTTATACCTTATAACATGGAAATATTGTCGATAAAAAAAGCTGTTGCAGTTTAGGAGAATGACAATTTGTTGATAATATTTATGTTTAAAATTAACGGTAATAATTCATTTTTAAGTGACTTGATAAATATCCAAAATGAATGCAAATAACTACACGAAGATAATTATCTGGTCAAGAAACTCTATAAGAATAAATGAGTGTGGTTCCAAGAGCCAGTGCATTGTCAAGTTATGTCACGTGAACAACCTTTTCCCCGGCGTCCTCCGCCTCCTGCAGCACGTGGGTGAGCCATGTCAGCTGATCTGCTGGGTCCGTCCTGTTGAGAAGGAGCCACCAGTTGCCCTGGTTGCAGTAGTTGGTGTTGATGGAGACGATGCGGAACCCGGGGTAGGGGGAGACGCTGTAGTAGGCGCCTCTAGAAAACAGAAGTTGAATTTAAACAAAACGGTCGGGTAGCCTGGTGGTTAAAGCGTAAGCTCGTCACGCCGAAGACCCGGGTTCGATTCCCCACATGGGTACAATGTGTGAAGCCCATTTCGGGTGTCCCCCGCCGTGATATTGCTGGAATATTGCTAAAAGCGGCGTTAAACCATACTCACTCACTCACTAGATTGCCACGATGTATTATGAAACAAATGGTGTATTATGTTAGCTTGTTTGTTTGCTCTTTAATGCAACATTTAGCAATATTCCAGCTATATGACGGAGACCTATGAATAATCGTGTCTGGATCAGACAATCCAGTGATCGATATTGTGTGTAACGATCTACGCCGTGAGGGACGAGGACACGAGCATGACCACCCGATTCAGTTGGTCGCCTCTTACGATCAGCATACATGTTGGCAGCGTCGACCTATTGTAACCCGGAATCCCTACGGAGCCATGCGCATATATCGGTAACAATCTCATTATAATCAGATCTTAGTTCCCGCTACCGCTTAACAAACATCTGAGGACATCCTATTTCGGGTCACGTCAGAACGACCTTTCGTCTGACCAATCAGAGCGTCCCTTGACAGATCCAGAAAGTGACAGTCAGAATGTGATTTCCAATCATGCAACCTTGAAAAGGTTAATACGGGGTATTCCGAACGACAGTTACGGACTGTTCGTCTATCTCTCGCTTCAATGGGATAATAGTTTGAAACGGAACAGAATTCATATAGCACGTTTTCAAATTTTGAATCGATAGTTTTCAAAGCGTAGTAAGGAATTGAAGTCGCCAGTTTGAAACAGTTCGAGAAAGCTGCTTTCTGATTGGCTAATATCGACATCCGGTTAGTCTTTTCGTTAGTCCGTCAAAGGTCGGATCTTTGTTTAGCGGTAGCGAGAACTTAGATCAGATTTCAATTAGATTGGTATCGGTAATAGACAATCATTGTGAGTATACCCCCAGACTTCCCACAACACAAGGCGGAGGTTACATCGGCCATCGACAATGTCGGTCAGGTTTAGGAATTTACAATCTAATTCCTACACCGGATGAATGTGTCTCTTGATTACAGTTACTCGCCTGAACAATATTCCAGTTAGACTACGCCGTGTTTAACGTGAGAACGTTAACGTTTCAGGTCTTACACGTTTAGCACTTTTGTGAATTCACAAGGTGAATATGGGATTGGATCCAATGATAGTAGGAACCGGGGTCATATAAGCGATGCAACTCTGCGTAGCGATTGCGGTGCCCTCCCGAAATATGAACTAGTAAACAAATGTTGTATCCACTGATATATCATAAATACGTGAAAATCGTAATTCATCCTGATGGTTGATTTTTGTTGCAATATACAGAGATTACTATATATACAGTGTATTGCAGCGCTTTAGACGAATGAGCCAGAAATATAACCGATGACCTAAAATTCATAAGGATGAATAAATTAAGAGCAGTTGCCTTCACGCATTGTCCGTTGATTTAAAACCTGAACTGTCACTGGAAGCAAGTAAGGATACAAAATACCTCAGCAACTGACCCTCGTTATCAGATACCAAGATTTACTAGTTTCACTAATTCATGTGACTATCATGTTACATTTTACAATCTGGCGGCAATCGTGGCCCTTATATAAGTGTTTCAATGTCTTTTTTAGAGAAATCATGCAATACCAAGGCCCGACTTATATGTTGCTAACAGAATGAGCCAAGTGGGCCAGTTTGTTGAATCTGGTTCGGGTGTTTGAGACTCACTTGAGAATTGTCTGTCTGGCATCTTCTGGGAGCCACGTACCCCACGACTCCGCCAACACTGTGTACAGCCAGGAGATGGAGTTGTTGCCCGTCACTTCCGGTGGAGGGAAACTGAAACATATCTGCTTGATGAAGGGCCGGGGAATCGATATGGGTGAGTGAGTGACTTGGGTTTAACGCCGCTTTGAATGGTGATTCAGATATATGATGGCGTGTCTGTTTCATTGGGGGTGGGGGGTGGGGGGACCCGGAGTGATGCTGGAAAATCTTAGATATTCACTACTTAGGTGAAACCCTTGAGCACGGGTAAGGTGCTGACAAAACGAAGATCATAATCAAAGCGAATCGTGGATTCGAAACCACGATCATATGATGCACACAGAATAAGACGACTGGGCCACCCCGATCCGCGAAGATCCGGGGTAGAATAGGTATTCAGCAAACCCATCATTGTCGTAAGAGGCGACTAACGGGATCGGGTGGTCAGGCTCGCTGACTTGGTTGATGCATGTCATCGTATCCCAATGCGTGGACCGATGCTCATGATATCAATCACCTGATTGTCCCTTGATTATTTACAGACCGCCGTCATTTAACTGGAATACTGCGGCGTTAAACAACAAACAAAGAAACACTGGGCCACACGTGCTCCAAATATGGATAAGAAAACAATACCTACATCGCTTTGCGTTTTCGTTCTCCTTAAATAAACACGCAGTCAAAAAATTATATGAAAATGAGTAATTTTTCAAACCGGGTTACACCGAACACATCAGCATTCGCCCGGTGGTCCAAAGACACTAAAGCTATGTTCTACCTTATGTTTTACGTAAGTATGGATATTAGTGATATATAGTTCTGGTAGCGTGGTAATTATCGGTCTAGTGCCATCGGGTCTAATATTGAGTACATGCATGCTGGTGCTACTGTACCTGTTGACAGGTGCGCTCTCATGGTTGCCGACACAGAAGTACACCTGTTTGCCCGGCAGGTGCTGGAGGAACAACTTCGTCAGTCTCCGTGTGGCGGCGATCTGTTGGCTGCGCGTCTGGTTCCAAACATCATGCGCCGGGATATCTCCAGTGAAGATAACAAAGTCAAACTGGAATGTGAACATTGTCGAACTGGAATTGTCATGAACTCAAACTGGAATGAGAGCATAGTCCAACTGGAATTGTCATGAATTCAAACTGGAATGAGGGCATATAGTCGAACTGGAATTGTCATAAAGTTGAACTTGTCCCAGAGCAGTAAAACTGGTATGGTGATAAACTCAAACTGGAATGAGAACAAAATGGAACTGGAATTGTCATAAAGTTGAAATGGAATTAGATCAGTCGAACTAGAATGGTAACAAAGTGCACCCGAATAAGCAAAATAGAATGATTGCATAGTCGAGCTGTAAATGTGGTAAAATGTAACGTCATATATCTCAAATGGAATAGACATAAAATCAAACTGCAATAGTCCATAAGACAAACTGGAATGATAGTATAGACAAACTGGAATGATAGTATAGATGAACTGGAATGATAGTACAGACCAACTGGAATGGTAGTACAGACGAACTGGAATGATAGTATAGACCAACTGGAATGATAGTACAGACCAACTGGAATGACAATATAGACCAACAGGAATAAAAAAAAAATGATATGAAACGAGGAACGGATAAGGGATATGGTAACCGCAATTATATCATCTGTTAACTGGAATTATTTCAGTTTAATATCACCTTTATCAATATTTTAGCAATATCAAGGCAGAGGACACCAATATTGAGGCTCGGAATAGAACCGAGCGTGGCGTGACAAGAAAACGCTTCTCCTCTAGACTACGCCTCCGCCCCGCAAGTGAATGTACCTGGCATGTTATGGATATGAGGTATAATCATGTTCAGGGCTCATGCGATACACATTATTACCCTGATCGAGTATAACGACTGCATATACCTGGTCATTTATGGTGGCGAGATGTTGGAAGAGGGTGTTGACGAGGCTCATGGAGACGTCACACTCTCTGTAGTCTCCCCACCTGCCGGCGCCCGACACCCCCGGGGCTGTAAATACACAAGTGAGTGAGGGAGGGAGTGACGCTGCTTTGAACACTACTTCAGTTGTGTCAGCTTGTAGTAGGGGAAAGTTCGAAGTGACGTAGTGTCGTAATAATGTTTTACACGCGCACTGATATTTGAGATTAGGTGAAACCTCACGTTCAAGATTATTGCACATATATAGCGAAGAGTGTGTGTTTGTACGCGTGTGTGTGCGTGTGAATGCACGTGTGTGCATGCATGCAGTTTTACTAGTCCGGACTAATGCTGCATTTACAGTTCTAGCCCACTCAGGTATGCTGACTCCGAAACAACCTTGTTTCATCCCCTCGATACCGAGCGCCTTGCAGGATAACAATTACCATCTTTTAACGACTTAAAACGCGGCCGGGGATTGAACGACCGACCTTCCGCTCTCCGGGTCTCTATCCACTAGACCACAGTGAGTGAGCGAGTGAGTGAGTAAGTGAGTTAGATTTAACGCCTTTTAACAGTATTACAGTTATATCACAGCGTGTCAGCTTAATGTGGGAGGAAAGCCCGAAGTGGTGCAGGTCTCAGACGCTTACCACTTCGGTGAAACCCACGAGTCTGGGACCTCCTTGACGCACGACCACGGGTATGGTGCGGACAAACCTAAAAACATACTGGGGGCGAACCGGGACTCGAACCCACCACCATAGGTTTCTGGCGTGTCCCTTAGATGCCACGCCTGTCCCCAATTGACCACAGAGGTGGTCCTCACGGATATGGTGTTGACAGACACAAGGTCATTATCAGGACTGATCAAGGGTTTCTAACTTCTTTAAGTGGCATTTAGAAGTTGTGATGAAGTAAGACAAGTTCTATGGATGAACAACTTCTTTATTGCAATTACAACGATGTTTCGGTGTAGATCCTAACACCTTTATCAAGCAAGTGTAGTAAAGAAGTTGTTCCTCCATAGAACTTGTCTTACTTCAAGGATTTCTACCCATGATAAACTGCCCTCACACAGAGAATAGCGGTACGGGCCACACGTGACTCTGATCACACAAGTATCTCATTTACACAGATGATCAGGGTAGAGAATAGGTCTTCAGCAACCAGTGCTCGTCGGCTATATGACGGCGGTCTGTAAATAATCAAGTCTGGACCAGACTGTCCAGTGACTGACATCATGAGCATCGATCTACGCATTTACGATACGCTGACATGCATCAACCAAGTCAGCGAGCCTGACATGCTTGTCATAAGACTAACGGGATCGGGTGGTCAGGCTCGCTGACTTGGTTGATGCATGTCAGCGTATCGTAAATGCGTAGATCGATCGGTGTCTTTTTCATCTTTTAAACCCCCAAACGATTGCCTATGTTTTTTCGTGACAGTGGTGAAATCGCGAATGTTTTCGACATCTGATCAACAAGGTCGTCGACCAACGTAGTCGTCATCTTTGTAAAGCTATACGAGATAACACCAATCTGATTGGATATTGCGTTTTCATTACAAGGGGCACAACTCATGATCTACACGAGGGTCGAGCCAAGAAAGTAGCCTTGATGTGGCAAGGGTAGAAACTAGACTTTGATATAGCCTAGTGGACACGCTTGCCTCGGGAAGATGTCGAGGATGGGCTGTATGTACCTGGCTTGCCGTCGTTGGAGCGGCAGCAGACGGGCTCCCCGCAGTCGGTGTTGGAGCCCACCTCGTACATGAGGTCGATGTGGATGTCGGTCAGGTGGAGCATCCTCAACTTGGGAGAAGATGGCTGCGGAGGAAACACACTGGTATGACACGTGGAGGAGACGGCTGGAGAAACACCCTGGTATTACACGTGGGGGAGATGGATGAAGAAACACCCTGATATGACACGTGGGGGAGATGGATGAAGAAACACCCTGATATTACACGTGGAGGAGACGGCTGGAGAAACACCCTGATATTACACGTGGGGGAGATGGATGAAGAAACACCCTGATATGACACGTGGGGGAGATGGATGAAGAAACACCCTTATATTTCACGTGGGGGAGATGGATGAAGAAACACCCTGATATTACACGTGGGGGAGATGGATGAAGAAACACCCTGATATTACACGTGGGGGGGATGGATGAAGAAACACCCTGATATTACGCGTGGGGGGGATGGATGAAGAAACATCCTGATATTACACGTGGGGGAGATGGATGAAGAAACACCCTGATATTACACGTGGGGGGGATGGATGAAGAAACATCCTGATATTACACGTGGGGGAGATGGCTGGAGAAACACCCTGATATTACACATATGTCAGGAATATATGTCGTGTGTCTTATTGTTTGACATAGTAAACTTCAGTTAACCAGACATGCAAGAAAATTAAATTGTGATTTAGTGTAACGAGTGCTTCATAATCCTCTTTTGGGGCCACGGGTGGCCCAGTCGTCTAAGGCGCCGCGAATCGCTGTGCAGAGTTGCGACCCTTGGGCACGCTAGAAACCTATGATTGTGGGTTCGAATCCCGGTTCTCCCCGAATATGTTTCTAGGTTTGTCAGCACCATACCCGTGCCCGTGGGTTTCACCGAAGTGGTAAACGTCTGAGACCTGCATCACTTTGGGCTTTCCTCCCACATTAAGCTGACACGCCGTGATATAACTGGAATACTGTTAAAAGCGGCGTTAAACCAAACTCACTCACTCACTCATAATCATCTCTTAATCATCAGATAACAAGTTGCTTTATCTGTATATCTTATCCCCGCTGAGAGATGGCGGTCAGGTTGGTATTATGGGATTGTAGACCCAAGAGTCCCATATTAATTACATTTTTATTAAAACCAGATATCAGAAACGAAAGGTCTCTGCGTACAGATCTGACAAACGATTTATAGAAAGTATTGTACTGGGGGACGATCTGATTGTATTGAGCGTGCTATAACTTACAGCGGGTGGTCGTGGAGGTACTACTGGGGGTTTAGGTGTTGAGGGCAGGGAGACGTTCCACCACTGGTCGGGGTTGTAGGGGATGTCGCAGGAGGGTCCCATGATGATGCCGCACACCTCTGTCGGCGACAGTGCAAGCTGGCCCACCACACCCAGCACCTCATCCTGCATAGATACATCACTTGCATCGTCACTGAGCAAACATCAGCGTTTACCGATCTATGATTAATATTGACTAGGGCGTTATATATGTATCTTCCATTTGGTAGTAGTTGTTGTAGCAGTTGTAAAAGTAGTAGTAGTCGTAGTAGTAGCAGTAGTGGTAGTAACAGAATGTAGTAATAGTAGTAGTGGAAGTAGTAGTAGTAGTAGTGGTTGTAGTAGTAGTAGTGGTCGTAGTAGTAGTAGTAGAAGTGTAGTAGTGTAGATGTAGTGGTAGTAGTAGTAGTCGTGGCAGTAGTATAGTAGTAGTAGTAGTAGTAGTAGTAGTAATAGTAGTTGTAGTAGTAGTAGTCGTGGTAGTAGTATAGTAGTAGTAGTAATAGTAGTAGTAGTAGTAGTAGTCGTGGTAGTAGTAGCAGTAGTGGTAGTAGCAGAAGTAGTAATAGTAGCAGTAGTAGTAGTAGTAGTAGTAGTTGCGGTGGTAGTAGTAGTAGTAGTAGTAGTAGAAGTACTGTAGATATAGTTGTAGTAGTAGCAGTAGCAGTAGCAGTAATAGTAGTAGTAGTAGTAGCAGGACAAGTAGCAGTAGCAGTAGTAGTGTAGATATAGAAGTAGTGGAAGTAGTAGTAGTAGTGGTTGTAGTAGTAGTAGTAGTAGTGGTAGTAGTAGTAGTAGTAGTAGTAGTAGAAGTGTAGTAGTGTAGATATAGTGGTAGTAGTTGTAGAAGTAGTGGTAGTAGTAATAGCAGTGGTAGTAGTGGTAAAAGTTGTAGTAGTAGTAGTAGTCGTGGTAGTAGTATAGTAGTAGTAGTAGTAGTAGTAGTAGTAGTAGTAGTAGTAATAGTAGTAGCAGTAGTTGTAGTAGCAGAAGTAGTAGTAATAGTAGCAGTAGCAGTAGTAGTAGTAGTAGTAGTAGTAGTTGCGGTGGTAGTAGTAGTAGTAGTAGTAGAAGTACTGTAGATATAGTTGTAGTAGTAGCAGTAGCAGTAGTAGTAGTAGTAGCAGGACAAGTAGCAGTAGTAGTGTAGATAAAGTGGTATTTGTAGAAGTAGCGGTTGTGGTAGTAGTAGTAGTAGTAGTAGTAGTAGTAGTAGTAGTAGTGGTAGTGGTAGTAGTAGTAGTTAAAGTACTGTAGATATAGTGGTAGTAGTAGAAGTAGCGGTTGTGGTAGTAGTAGTAGTAGTAGTAGTAGTAGTAGTAGTAGTAGTGGTAGTAGTAGTAGTGGTAGTAGTAGTAGTTAAAGTACTGTAGATGTAGTGGTAGTAGTAGCAGTACTAGTTTTGTAGACGTAGTCATTATCTGCTGTTGTTACATTGCAGTTCAGGCACACGTTTGTTAAAGTAATCAGCAGTGACAGTGTTTGGTCCAGTGCCCTACACCGGACCTCGAGTGGATACCGGCACCTGTCAGGTGACATCTCATATATACCAAGGTACAACACATTACCTTGAACTCCCGAGTGGCGAGTCTGCAGATTCTGTCTGACGCAGACTTCAGGTCGATGCAGAGATGGGTGGCGAGGGTCACGATTTCGTCCTGGGTCTTGCCCTTCTGGAACCAGAGCTGTATGAAGGTGACGTAGACCTCGCACATGTCGCACACGATGTTCCTGTTGACGCCATCGTTGTCTTCATCAAACGGATGAACACCTGGTGTCACCTTTGACGCTAGCCTGTCGAGAAGCTCCCGGGGTGGGTACTGGGTGGAAACAGATGGGTAGAGATAACGTAGTGTGGGCGTATCATAGTGAGTGAGTGAGTCCACCACTCCAACAATAACACCCCAGCAATAATACCCAACACTACCACGCCTCCCCAACAACAACACCCTGACAACACCACCCCAACAATACCACGCCACCCCTACAACAGCACCCCGACGACACCACCACAACAATACCACGCCACCCCGACAACAGCGCCCCGACGACACCACCCCAACAATACCACGCACACAACACCCCAACAATACCACGCCACCCCTACAACAGTACCCCGGCGACACCACCCCAACAATACCACGCACACAACACCCCAACAATGCCAAGCCATCCCAACAACACCACCCCGACAACACCACCCCAACAATACCACGCCATCCAAATAACAGCGCCCCGACAACACCACCCCAACAATACCACGCCATCCCAATAACAGCGCCCCGACAACACCACCACAACAATACCACGCCAACCCGACAACAGCACCCAGACAACACCACCCCAACAATACCACGCCACACCTACAACAGCGCCCCGACAATAACACGCCACCCCAACAACAGCACCCCGATAACAACACCCCAACAATACCACGCCAACCCTACAACAGCGCCCCGACAATAACACGCCACCACAACAACAACACCCCGACAACACCACCCCAACAATACCACGCCACCACAACAACAGCGCCCCAGCAACACCACCCCAACAATACCACGCCACCACAACAGCGCCCCAACAACACCACCCCAACAATACCACGCCATCCCAACAACAGCGCCCCGACATCACCACCCCAACAATACCACGCCACCCCTACAACAGCGCCCCGACAACAACACCCCAACAATACCACGCCACCACAACAACAGCGCCCAAGCAACACCACCCCAACAATACCACGCCACCACAACAGCGCCCCAACAACACCACCCCAACAATACCACGCCATCCCAACAACAGCGCCCCGACATCACCACCCCAACAATACCACGCCACCCCTACAACAGCGCCCCGACAACAACACCCCAACAATAGCACGCCACCCCAACAACAGCACCCCAACAATAACACGCCACCACAACAACAGCACCCCGACAACACCACCCCAACAATACCACGCCACCCCAACAACAGCGCCCCGACAACACCACGCCAACAATGCCACGCCACCCCAACAACAGCGCCCCGACAACACCACGCCAACAATACCACTAGATTCATCATTTTAGCGGTAATATTGCTCACTGACATCTATACACGGACGAATTATAGGGCACATAATAGTATTGAGCAGGTAAACTTGTGATCGATAATGTGAGCACCGACATAACGCCCGATTTGGATGCCACGGCTAATTCAGCGTTTATCCAGTTCCAGGCATCCACTGCCGCTTGGCAGGCAGCTTGAGGTGTGTGCCCCTCCGAAAGCTGACAAAGATATTGGAACACACACTGATCCTTTAGCCACGGCAATAACCCGGCGCCATGGGTGTGGCATAGCATGTGGACATGCTGCAATATTGTGTTGTTGTTGTCAGTAGATTTGTTTGTTTGTTCTTTAACGACGCACTTAGCAATATTCCAGCTGTCTGTAAATTATCGAGTCTGGGCCAGACAATCCACTGACTGAGCATCGATCTACACAATTTGGATACGTTGACATGCATCAACCACATCAGCGAGCCTGACCACCCGATCCCGTTAGTCGCCTCGTACGGCAAGCATACATTCGTCAGCACTCGCCCCTTTCCGTAACCTGCAAGAAGACTCGTCCCCCTCTCGATGAATGTTATGTGCGAAAATACGACAAACCAATCAGAGTGCGCGTATGATTTCAAGTACTTCGTCAAAGAATCCCTCAGAAATAATTTTTGATTTTACATATGTCTTGCATCTAAAAATATACCAAAGACACAGTTAAATGTGTTCAATCATATTGTATAATTCCGCACGTCCCGATGTGCTTTAAAAGGCATCTGAAATATATATAATATATGGGGAAATATATGTGAACCATTACGCAACGAATTGACAATTGTTTTAGTTATGCCCGTTTGCGCTAAGACGGAACCCGGTCGCAAAAATGGCCACGAGAGGGGCACGAGTCGCTATTCGACTTGTCCCGGAATAACACGAGTTGGTCACGAATGGGCAAGCATAGTCGCCATCTTCCCGAGGCAAGAGAGTTAACTGACTTTAAAGTCCAGTTCCACCCTTGCCGAGCTAGGCTGGTATTATGGAGTTACATTTTGTCTGGGCTATCGAGTCTATGCATAGTCCAATCAAAATCTCGCAACAAAATCGAAATCCGGTTCGTAAACTGTCGTGCAGATTTCGGTCATATTGCAGGATTTGCAAAGCATGTGCACCGCCTACTCATTGTCAACAGATATTTTTCAAACCTTTTCATGTTTCTAATCAAGGTGCTCGCGTGATTTGATGCACTTCGCGTAGTAAGACCCGTTTTATAACAACATAGATCTTGATTATCGATCAGATCGTCTTCTCTGGGCGGCGCCATTTTGTTTAAAACAGATGCAAGTGATGGAATCTGATTGGTCCATGGGAGAAGCTCAGAAGGGACATTACTCATCATAGCCACTGGCGGCGCTACGATCGAGCCCAGGAATTCCAGCCTAGTTCGGCAAAGGTGGATACTGGACTTTTATAGTCAGTTAACTCTCTTGCCTCGGGAAGATGACGGCAAGCGTGGGTTGCCGAAGACCTATTCTAACCCGGTTGTTGTCAGTAGAAATAACCGTATAATGACGGACGGTTCTTCATCATCCTCGATTATGTTTTTTTGGAAATAAATACGTTATTTTCTCAAATATTTTTGAACATAAAAAAGGTAACAAAAAGGGCGATAATTTTTCCAGTTTTTCCTAATTTCTTTCATACATGGTAGCTCTTTTGACGAACGAAAAGTAATAAAACAATGTATTTGACACCATGCGAATCAAGGCTGATTTCGTTTAAACTTGATCAAGGTGCTGCACTGCAGTCATTATTGACCAGGGTGCCGTTGTACGAAACAGCCTTAGCTCTACCGCTGTCGTATAAGTGCATGTTAAAGTATGAAGGTAATGATCACCTTAGCGCGACCTACGCACAGGTCACGAGGAATACTTTTTAGTTCAAAGAACCAAGGGATATAACTTAGTGTTAACTTGAAATATTGACTGCACATGGACTAAACATACAGTTTTATACACCTAGGGCGGTGAGGTTAATGCGTTCGCTAGTCATTGCATCATGCCCCACAATTCATTTCTGATACAATTACGACCGTTTTGTTCAGTAAAGCTTTAACTTCCCAAACATACTCCAACCATACATAGAGCTGTTATCGCAGTCCAAGATCGGGAACGTACTGATATCGCAAAATGGTAAGGTCTTGTGGGGCACATGTGACTACATCTTCCGATTGCAAGAGTGTCCACTAGGTTATATCAAAACCTAGTTTCTCCTTTCATATAGGCCACCCTTAGCTCGGGAAGATGGGGCAAACCATTTGTCTGTGTGTGTGTGTGTGTGTGTGTGTGTGTGTGTGTGTGTGTGTGGGTGTGCGCGCGCTAGTCCGGACTAAAGACAATTTTATAGTGCAAGTCAACTGAGATACCATGCCACTGTTTAACATGAATACCCCACTCAGACACAGTATACTGACTCCGAGCTAACAAGTCCTTGTTTTAGCCCCTTAATGCCGAGTAACAGGGAACTGGGTAACAACAAGTACCATCTTTTAATGTCTTTTGGTATGACGTGGCCGGGAATCAAACCCAGACCTTCCACTCTCCGAACAGACGCTCAACCACTTGACCACAGACCTATCTCCTCCCCCAAGCTGACACCCGGTGAATTAACTAAAACACTTCACAGCAGCGTTAAACCCAACTCACAGCTACATGATGTAGTACAACCATGCATGAAAGTTGTGATATGACCTGGCCTCAGACCTTACCTGACTACTGTCCCCATGCAAGGACTCTCCCCAACACAAGCATACACAGACAGCGACCCCGACACTCAACAGATACGACCACGTCATCCTGATGAACTGTCCGAAATTCGGCAGATACACCTGGCCCTGATTATCTAGACCAGCAGTGATACATACTACCATATCTGTCTGACCTCTAGGAGCAGATCAGTGAGCGTTCCATCACGGTATCTACATACATATCAATAATGAGGCTTATATATACGTTAGGGGCGGTTATGTTATTCACTTGAAAGTATTGTTTTGTGAAATCCCAAACTGTAAATATTAAGATAAAAATTGTCTACACAGGTAAGAAACCTTTGGGATCTATTGTTACCATCTGAGCCCTGAACTTTTGAACGGCAATGAAAGTCTGAACATTGACAAATATATAGTGAGTGAAATTTCAGCATATTTCAGTTATCATCATGGAGTTTGGCCAGCAAACGAAGCATGATCCCCAAGCAAGTACCATGACACATTTAACCTAAGAAGATCTGGGTTAGAATGGTCTTCTGCAACCCATGCTTGTCGTAAGAGACGACCCAACAGGATTTGGTGGTCAGGCTGCCGACTTGGTTGATGCATGTCATCGTATCCCAGTTTCGTGGGTCGATACTCATGATATCAATCACTGGATTGTCTGGTCGACTTGATCATTTACAGACTTACTTAATATAGCTGAAATATTCCTGAGTGCTGCATTAAACAAAAACAAACAAACAAACAAACCAGAACACATTCAGCCAGTCACAGCCAGAGACCTTACAATATCTAGGTGTGAAATGGAGTTTAAAATTGCTTTCAAAATTACTGCACTTATATTGCGACTTGCAATTATATAGTGCCAACCTACCAAGATACCATGCCACATTTTAAACATGGATACCCCACTCAGAAAAAGTATGTTGACTCCGAGTTTACTAATACTTGCTTTATCCCCTTAATGCTGAGCACCAGGCAGGATAACAACAAGTACCATCTTTTGATATGACACAGTTGGGGGATCACACCACCAACCTTCTGCTCTCTGGGCAGACACTCCATCCACTAGATCACAGCAGTGGAGGCCATCTTACAAAACTACAGGAGGTGAGGTGAAATGGGGTTTAATGTCGCGTCCAAGATTATTGCACTTATATAGCGACGTGCATGTACGTGTTTGTGTTTCTGCTTGTACTAGTCCGGACTGATTTATAGTGCTAGCTCACTGAGATACCATGCTGCAGTTTAACATGAATACCCCACTCAGACACAGTATACTGACTCCGAGCCGACCAGTCCTTGTTTTAGCCCCTTAATGCCGAGCGCCAGACAGGGTAACAACAAGTACCATCTTTTAACGTCTTTTGGTATGACGCGGACGGGGATCGAACCCCAGACCTTCCGCTCTCCGGGCGGACGCTCTACCATTAGAGCACGGAGGCGGTCACAAAACCACAGGAATCAAACTAAGTTGTCAGCTGTATTAGCTGGTTTGTACAGCTCCTTTCTTTCACAAAGAAGTCTCACTATTCAAGCCATATCCAGGATTATTAAACGCCCTACAGTCTGGTCATGATGGCAGGCAAGTAACTCAGTCGGACCACCCAATCCCCAATTCGGCAAGTTACAGCTTGCATGAGGTGCTGGGGACCAAACCTGACCTAGATTCCACAGGTTGAGCTGGCATAAATGGGAACATCAAAATTAAAGAGTTTTGTCAACAACAAACACAGTTTTACGCAAAGTCCTGTATGGTTTTGACTGTTCACCCAAGGACATCCACAGATGGACCAGGCTTGTGTTTCCCCAGCCACTCTGTACGAAGAGTAAAGATAACAAACTCTGTCTGAAATGGCAATTATTTATTCTATCATCCAACAAAAATCAAAAGATGTAGAGATTTGAAACCATATTCAATTAAACCGCATACAATCTCAAAGAAGTAATGGAATAAAGTTTAAGTTGTATAACAACCCAAGGTTCATCAAAGTTCAAATCATCAATACTTAATTCATGAAACTTGATAAATGTGAAAAGAATATATACAAGCATAGAGCCTTACTATATACATCCCAGTACATGACACTCAGGTCATGTGAATCCGCAATGTGAACATCTGCGATAATAGACCTTGCACACAAGTGTTCCAGGTTGTTACTCTTAATAGTTCACACCTGTGATACACTTGTAATAGTTCATCACAGTCATGTGAGGTGAAATGGGGTTTAATGTCGCATTCGAGACTTTTGCACTTATATAGTGACGTGCATGCATGTGTGTGTGGCTGCTTGTACTTGTCCAGACTAATGCTGATTTGATAGTGTTAGCCCACTGTAATAGCATGTCACAGTTTAACATAAATACCCCCCTCAGACACAGTAAACTGACCCCGACCCGACCAGTCCTTGTTTTAAACCCTTAATGCCGAGCGCCAGGCAGGGTAACAAGTTATTGTCTTTTGGTATGACACGTCCGGGGCTCTCCGGTTGGAAGCTCTCCACACCACCACGGAGGCAGTCTCATAACAGTGTTACAGGTAGTTATGTACCAACAGTTGTTATCTGTATTGCCACAATCATCTTACATATGGAATATAAGCATATATTATATAGGACTACATACATAACAGGGCTTGATTTGGCTACATAAACATGCACCAGTGCAACCTGTAATGAAAAATGTAACCTAATATTTTTCTACATGCACCAAATGTATGTCAAGAAAATTCAAATCGGTGTCTGACTAACCCTTACATGTCCACACACAAAATTGATCTTTGAACACACTCAGTATCTCTAAATTTACCATACTACATCACTAATCCCTGTGTTGTATGTGTATAATTTGTAATGCTTTCTTAGGCATGACATCAACCTGTGGATGCTTCAAGATTAATGTGCACATGTTCCTATGACGTTGAACTGTAATGCATCACTAATTTATGACACTGACAGCAGACCGGCCGGTTTCAATTTTGATACATTCATGAGTCCAGGGTGCAACCTGGTACAAGTTATTCAAGTTCCTTAAATCGAGCCCTGTATAACCAGGACTGTAACAAGAATTCCCCAGTCATGGATGCAGCCAACATTGTTGTCTGTTTGGGGTGTTCAGGGATTTGACCAAATGGAGCCTAAAGCATGCTAAATCAGCGATCAGAAAAAAAGAGCATTTGCATTTATTATTTGCCCCACTAATCATTGCTAATCCATCTCTGATTAGATTTTGATTCTTTGTTTTGTTGTATAACGCCTCACTCAGAAATATTCCAGCTATATGACGGCAGTCTGTATGTAAATAATCAAGTGACTGAGCATCGATCTACACAATTTGGATATGTTGACATGCATCAACCGAGTCAGCAAGCCTGACCACCTAATCCCGTTAGTCGCCTCATACGACAAGCATAGTCGCATTTTACTGCAAGCATGGGTTGCTGAAGACCTATTCTAACCCGAATCTTCATGGGTAGACTGATTAGAAAAAAGATAAAACTACAAATACCAAACGAAAACCAAAGTAACAGTTAATTTTAGAAATAAAAACTGATCAAATGCATTGTATGTTATCTCTGACCATAACACAGGACAAAGCCTTCCAACAGGAATACATAAACATGAGAGATAAAATACCAAACATGCTGCATCTCAAACATAATTAGCAGATTAGTACATTCAAATTCCCCACTAAATCTGACCAACACCTAAACAAGTTAAATGTCATGGCAAATAAACAAATATTCCTCAGCTGCACCAAATTATATCTCCTGATCAACTCACTCTGGGGTTTATTAGAAGCTTATACATTTAGCCACTTCAGTATGTTCATGTGGATAGATGTAAATATGTTTTTATTCCAGAAGTCTTATTCAGAAAAATAAAAGAAAGGCTTGACCCCCCAACCCTGACCCTTTTCACGTGTGTTAGCACGTGAATATGGTTATACACCACTTTTAGCGATAATCCAGCGATATTCCAGCAATATCATGATGGGGTACACCAGAAATGGGCTTCAGCCAGTGTACCCATGTGGGTAATCAAACCTGGTGTGACGAGTGAACGCTTTAACCACTAGGCTACCCAATCGTCCTACTCCTTTAAACAAACATCCATAACTTAAAGGTTTATAAATTTACACAATTTCCTTTATCCGTGTCCCTACAACTTGACATACTGTATTCTTTAGAAGATTGATCTTAGAAATACCAGTAGTCTGATTACAACAAGTTTAAGTCTGGTTGATGTGATAAGAGTCTAAACAGGATCTGGACATAACTGTGTCACCATGACACTAAACGAAGATGATTCACCAGAGTCATTCAATCTACCGTATTCGACGTAATAAGCGCCCAGGGCACTCTCAAAATTAGAAACGGGGGGCTCTTAATAGAATATTATTTTGGTTGAAAGATCGTAAATTTTGTGGTTTATGCTGACAGCCTGAAATGATTTTATACGACAGATATAATTTTCCAGAATTTGATTGCAAATAATTAAGGGTGCATATAACACATGAGTGCGTATTATACACGAATAAATAAGTCTTGTGTACATTGATCAATCAAAAGGGGTGGTAATTGGGATCGTTCACTAACCAATATATTAGCAAATATTGTCGTGGGCGCTTACGGTATTCTGTTACATTAGGCTGTGATCACTACTGCTCAGATGATGATGAGAACCTGCACAGGTCTGTCAGTGACTGTGGGTTTTGTACAGAGCCATCATTGCCTGGGTCAGCAATACTCCAGCCATATTGTAGTGGGCTGTGAACAATGGTGAACAACATCCCACATCATCAGGGGGGGGGGGGGGAGAGAGATTAATCATCACTCGAGTGATTTACAACTTGTCTCAACGACAGTAAACAGATTAATTTTCGCTGGATATAAGTGGTTATTCATTCTCTGAGCATTTTAATGAAATGAAGACATGATGAAAATAATGTGTTGAGGTGCCAATAACTCTGTTTCCGCAATAATTTTCCTGTTCACACAACAAACTAGATTAACAGCACTCTGTAACATATTTATAGTCAAGACGTTATGCTTTGTTTGAACAGTTGAGACAGGGAAAACGTGTAATTGTTGAAATCAAAATAATTATTTTGAATGTAAAATATTAACATATGATAAAGAATATTTTTCATGCATTTTCAAATCTATTTTAACAGAAGTTATTTCATTTTCCATGATGCTTGTTAGTTGAAACATACATAGAGTCCTGCAAGGCTTCATGTTTTGATTACATGATGCATCGTAACTTTTCTTCCTAATAAAAATACACCTATGACATCGCTCTATTGTTTCGTCTGTAGCTCTATACCAAAATGACAGTTTACTGATTTATTTTCTGCAATGCAAATTTTAAGCTCATGCATTATTATATGCATGTGCATTACAAATGCACTGGCTAAAATGATCAAACAGGAAAACAAGGCATGTGCTGAACAAATTGAAGGCTACCGGTAGTTCAAATGCAGCACAGATAGTAAAGCAGGAAGTTAAAGATTCTCATGTATTAAGAACAATGTACCGCAAGGAATTTCCATGTAACATTTTTTGTGTTGTATTAATAATCAAATATTTATTATTTAATTTAATTTTCACACTTTATTTTAAATATGTTTACGCAGTATTTTGTTACTTTGATCCTGTATTTTAATATAGATAACACCTGCATAATGTCAGCTTTATCGGCTCACACATTATTTTTAAGGAATGTTAATTGTGCATTACCATGGTTACCTGGCAAAACATACAAAGCAGCTCAAAGAACTTTTGAACCGTCAAGTTATGTTTTCACAGCTAATACGAACACATGGATAAATAAAAAGATGCATATGTATCGTCTTAAACATGTTCAATGGATAACCAAATTTTGGAGTTATTTTAAGAGTTTTGCTTTACTGTACAAGCTGTATGCTGTGTGACAATGTCTGATACTTAGAGATAATAAGCTCAGTCTGTAACTATATACATATGAAACTCATGATGAATTGGGGAACTTTAGGTTCCAATTTTGGAATTTTTACTGACTTGGGGCCGAATATAGCCCACTGAACTACTTTAATCTCGGTCTTTTTTCTGAAACTACATGACATACATACATACTACAGGAATCAGTGCACACACTGCACTAGCATTGACATGTATCAATGTATGACTGCTCTGTATGACTGAATAATGAACACTTGCTGCCTGCCCACCAAACATCCAGGCATTTATCTAGAATTCTAAACTAAATGCCCTTAGCTGGCAAATTAGGAAAATATCGTAAGGTTCAAAATTGGACTGTTTGCTGCAGACATTGTAGCAATCACTGACATGTCTACTTGCATAACAATAACCATCCTCATTATCAATATTCATGGAACTTCCTCAATGTTGTAGACACTACCAACAACCAGTTGTTAAACCAACTGTCAATTCTTAACCACTTATTGCTCAATACTGATCAAAACCGCCTAATACAGGTTACCTTGGTTACCTATCCCACATAGTTACAAAGGCACCAAGGCTACAGTCGCCTCTGGTTGTTCCTCCACAGGGGTGCTGATGGTTGGGATGCCAGCTAGCGACATGAGTGTCTCGATGGCTTCGGGGTAGGCAGAATCGGCAGCAAAGTCCAGTGTATGCTGCACCGATCCTGTCGAGGAGGAGGTGGTGGTCTGAGTGGAGGTGGTGTAGGAGGTGGACTCTGGAATGACCGTGTAGGTGGTCTGCGGAGTGACCACGGTGTACTTGTGTGCGTACTGCTGGGTGGGCTGGCTGTCCTGGTACTGCATCCGTGGCTGAGCTGCTGGCAGGTTGGTGTACGTCACCGTCTCCCCTTCGTGCTCCGTCTCAACAATCTCGGCTTCTATCTTCGGTGCTTGCTCCAGCATCGGCAAAGCCTCTACAACTTCAATATTCTCCAAGAAGGTTGTGCTGGATATTGGCTCAGTTTTAATAATGCATGGACCATCAGGAGTGTCAACAACTGTTTGCAGAGCCTCGTCCAGATGCACCGATGTAATACTACCGTCTCCATCTTCCGTCGTGTGTACTTTCATGTGCTTCTGCAGATAATCCTTGCGTCCAAACGACCGGTCACACTTATCACAGGAGAAGGGCTTGACGCCGGAATGTGTCCTGACATGGCGAGTCAAAGCCCCAGAATCACGGAACCGCTTGCCGCACATTTCGCAACCAAAGGGTCTACTGTTAGTATGAGTGGCCATGTGTTTTAGGCGATCATTTGAGCGAATGAATGTCTTGGCACAAAAATCACATCTGAAAGGTTTTTCACCGGTGTGCGTACGCATGTGCACCTGCAGACTCCCTGCAGCGGTGAACCGCTTGTCGCACCGCTCACATGCAAACTTCTTCTCCTTCTCCGGGATCTCTCTCCTCTCTGTCACTTGCTTCAAGTCACCAATACCTTTCAGTTTGGTCGCCTTTCCCGAGCCATCAACGTGCAACTTCTTATGGCGACGGAACAACCGGATGTCCTTGAAGCACTTGCTGCATCTACGACACTTGAAAAAAGGTTTTTCTTTCATATGAGTAACTTTGTGGAAACGGAGTTGACCGGAATCTGCAAAACACTTATCACATGAGTCACATTTGTATGGCTTTTCGCCTGTGTGTGTACGAATATGTCGCTGTCTGTGTCCCGCCTCTGTGAAAAGCTTGTCACAATGCGGGCACTTATAAGGACGTTCTCCAGTATGCGTTCGCATGTGGCGTTTTAGATAAAAGGAAAGTAAGAAAGTTTTCTTGCATATTTTACACTGATACGGTTTCTCGCCTGTATGAATCTTCATATGTCGTAGAAGGGATCCAGGATCGTTGAAACTCTTGGAGCAGACGTCACATGCATATGTTGGCTTGGTACAGTGGCTTCTGGCATGACGCTGCACACTGTCTAGGGAGGCGTAGTCTTTATCACACACCTCACATTTGAAGGGCTTCAGCTCACTATGCGAAATCATGTGACGCTTCAGATTTGCTAGTTTGGAAAACTCCTTCTCGCACACATCACACTTGAATCCTTTTCCGATGTGTATTTTCATGTGCAGTACAACTTCTTCAGGACTTTCAAAAGCTTTGTTACAGATGTCACACTTGTGATGTTTCTTGTCCGTGTGGAGTTTGGTGTGACGGTACAGACGACCAACATCCAAGAACCTCTTCCCGCAGTGCTCACATTGTAACGGCTTCTCTCCTTCATGAGTGGCCAGATGCTTTCGGAGATCCCCAAGTCGGTAGAAAGGCTTGCCACAAACGCTACACTTGAGCGACTTCTCCCTTGCTTGGTTCTTGTGGGTCTTCAAATGCACCAACAGACTACCGACCCCAGCAAACATCTGGCTGCAGATCTCACACCGCTCGGTCTTCTCAGCTGGAGTAGCCCGAGTGTTCAAGAGGTCACACAGTTCCTCCAAACACTCCACATTTTTAAACACCTCCGTCTTGATATTCTTAGGATCCACCTCATCATAAATATCTCCCAAATCGAAGTCTTCTGTGGCCTGTGAGGCGCTCTCAGCAATCCTGTCCCATTCATCTTGATTGTGAGTGGACTTGTGCCCCTTCAGCTTGCTCATCTCGGTGAACCTCATGTCACACACTTCACATTTATAGGGCTTCTCCCCATTATGAACTTTGATGTGCTTACGGACCTGGCCCGACTCAGAAAACCGCTTCCCACATACGTGACACTGAAACGGCTTCTCCCCAGTATGGGTACGCATGTGTCTTTGGAGATAGAACGGCAACAGAAATGTCCGTTTGCAAACACGACACTTGTACGGCTTTTCTCCAGTGTGGATGCGCATGTGACGTTCCAGATTACCCGCCACTGTGAACCCTTTATCACACTTATCACACTTGAACAAGTCTTCCTTGTTATGGAGGCGCATGTGGTTTTGAAGGGTATCTTTAGCAGAAAATCCCTTCCCGCATATTTCACATTCAAAAGGTCTCTCACCGGTATGGATCTTGATATGACGTTTTAAGTTGGCAAGTTTCACAAAACTCTTTCCGCAACTATCACAACGGTAATCTTTGTCGTCAGAATGCAGTTTGAGATGTATGGTTAGAGCTTGTTCGCTTTCAAACGTCTTCCCACACTGTCCACACTTGTAGTTCTTGCTTTCTGTGTGAAGCCTCTGATGCCACTGAAGGCGTCCGCTATCAATAAAGGACTTTCCGCAAATCGTACACTGGAAGGGATTGCTTCCAACATGAAGACGAGCATGCTTCTGCAGGTCCATCAGCCTGTAATATTTCTTCCTGCAGACAACACAGGTGAAGCTCTTCTGTTGCGAGTGGCTCCGACAGTGAGACTCCAGCTCTGTCTGGAGGTTAAACTTGTGGAAACAGACTTCACACCGGAACTGTTTACCGTCCTCATCCGGATTGTCCATGTGGGACACTTTATGCAGGTTCAAGACCTCCATATTTGGAAAGAGAATCCCACATGTTTCACATGCATAATGCACTTCCCCTGCATGCTCGGTCATATGTGCATGCATCGGCTCTAGTTGTGAGAAAACCTTCTTGCACACTTCACACTTGTACAGCGTCTGACCTTCATGCTGTTTCAAGTGACCTTCAAACGAGGCATGATCTTCAAACAGCTTGTTGCAGAGTTCACACATAAAGACATGACCATCCTCATGTTCAGCCATATGTTCTTGCAGCTGAGTCGCATTTTCAAAGGTGGCATCACACTTTTCACATTTGTTCTCATTACCGCCGTTTTGGATAACAATGTCATTTTCGGAGACTGTGAGAATACCTCCATCCAGTTGGTAGATGATTGTCTGGTCCCCGGTCTCAATCTGCACCAGGGAGACTTGTCCGGTCGACATCGTTGCAGTTCACTGTTTATACCCTCAAAGGTGTATCATTATCAACCGTCCTGCGCAGCCTATAGATGGGAGTCTTGCCTGTTTGGATGAGCACACCAGGACACTATCTGTGAAGAGAAAATAAAGTTAATCAGCGATTTCAAGGCACCCATTCCTCCTGAGATTATCATGGTGATACATGCAATTGATTGATTTGTTGTTTAACGCCGCACTCAGCAATATTCCAGCTATATGACGGCGGTCTGTAAATAATCGAGTCTGGACCAGACAATCCAGTGATTGACATCATGAGCATTGATCCACGCAATTGGGATTGATGACATGCATCAACCAAGTCAGCGAGCCTGACCACCCAATCCCGTTAGTCGCCTTTTATGACAAGCATAGTCACCTTTTACAGCAAGCATGGGTTGCTGAAGACCTATTCTACCCCGGAATCTTCACGGGTCGCAATTGATTGAAAAACAGCAATATTTGACAGCAGATTTGTGAAAATAGTATGCATAATCCAGACTGTGACTTTGACCGAAACCAGAGTCTCGTAAAAGTTTCTTCGGTCCAGTAAGCTGAGCTAGTATTAGTCCATATGAAATAACACTAAAATTTACTGAAAATGATTTTCAGAGCCATGTTTTGGGCTGTACACTCAAAAGCGTTTGACACAGACTGACCACCCGGTACCTTTAGTCGCTTCTTACGATGAACATAGTCACTTCTTACCACAAGCATGGGTTGTGAAAACAAATTCTAACCTGGATCTTCACAGGTCTAATGTATATTTTTTATAGGACTTTTGATATGATCACCAACATTTAAATATAACACTTTGTTGGTTATTATTGCTATTACTAGCAGCCTGGATCAAGTCATACCAGAAAGTCAGTTAATCTCAGTGGGTCTCTCATTAAATTTGATATCATAGACTTGGTAAACCTCCATTAAAATATTTTGTTTGCTGTTCAATGCAGTTCTCAGTCAGCAATATTAAAGGGGCACTAATCTCTGGCTTCTTCCCGGCTGTGTAACTCTGCAAACTAGGGCTCACTAGCTGCCGGGAATTGATTTGCACGCTAATGATACTGAGCGTGACACGAGACTGGGCTACTGTATATACAAGCGGTAGAAACATTTTTAGTCCACTAGTCCTTATAATGATAAGATATAGCAAAACCCTTAATAATGGACCATTTTTTATGGGCAGTTTGGCAAGGACTAGCGCCAATTTCTAACGCTGAAAAAACTTTGTGGCCATATCTACACACATTTCTGAACACTGATTGGTTACCCGTGATCTACGAAAATTTACATCACAAAGGGTGCATCTGCTTGCTAATTAATTTCTGTAACCTAAACAAACAGACAACAAGAACAATGGAAGCTCACGGATGCAGTAATTAGAAATGCTAAATATTCCAGCCATATAACACTTGTCTGTAAATAATCGCGTCTAGACCAGACAATCCAGTGATTGACATCATGACCATTGATCTTCGCAATTGGGATATGACAAGCATCAACCAAGTCAGTGCACCTGACCACCCGATCCCGTTAGTCGCCTCTTTCTACAAACCTAGTCACCTTTGACGGCAAGCATAGGTTGCCGAGGACTATGCTCTACCCGGATCTTCACGTGTCTTTATCATTTCAAGGAACAGTACTGTTAAAGTAAAAATGTGAGTTTTTATCATTGGAAACCATGTATTCAAAATATTTCATCAAATTGTGTATCAATTCAACGAACTACACTTTGATCAGCACTTTCAGTTTACAGTTCCTATCTCAGTACAGGGAGCCTGTAGGAAGGACCATTATAGCAGATGGAAATTGCTCGGGTCAGTTGGGATTCCATGACTATATTCTAATTTAGTCTTAGTAAGTCTCCTGTTTGTATAGAACGCATATAAAAAAGAAATAGAAATTCAGGTAGTACTATCAATAAAGACAATTTTGATTTTTAAATCGACGTAGATCTATATAGATTCTAGGCCTAGTACAAAACACATCTAGACCTATACAAAATCAATAATGAATCTCTGAGTTATCAATAAATGATGTCAAAACGTTTTCGATGAAACCAGTAACCCGCTTCGAACGAGGCATTGTTATCACCGTGCCACTACTGTCATATTCGGATCTAGAATTATTTGGCAGAAACTACATCTTCGTCTGAACATTGCCTACGAGTCATTATCACAAGAAGAGGAAGACATGGGAGCCGTGTGGGGAGCTCCCAGTTCAGCCGTGGATGGAGTTTTCAAAGCTCCTCTCTGGGATAAGCGCGCGTCAAGACGTTGCGTGGCGAGCAGTCAGAAAACTACTCGGACCAACTCATACTGACAATACTGGAATATTACATCGACATTGTCAAACAGGCAGCTTTTAAGATCAGAAAATAGGGTGGCGGGCGCGCGACGCGATGGCCGCCATTTGCAAAGTGTCCTTTCCGATATATTTCGACATAATTTTCTGAGGCACATGAAACATGCTACAGCCCTAGACATTGATAAGGAACGATTGAACAAATATATTGCTACTTACCACTGCTTTTGTAATTATTTCAAGCTAAATTTGAATATTTCTACGTAAACTGTACGATTTGTTTCTAAGCTCTCAGCAACGCATGCGTGACAGATTCCGCCCTCGCTCTGAGCTCGGGGCATTGTTTGCGTGCGGCAAGCTGACTGGTTCACAGGGGCGATCAGCCTTTCCGCGCTACTATTCGCATGTGTGTGGAGCAAAGCGCAATCGGAACATCACGATGAGTAACTTCAGCAACACGGAGCAACCAACTTCCAAATAACCGAGCTGTTCCGATTGCCGTTCGTGATTTGTTGTCTCCCTTTGACAATGACCGTGCGCTCTACTGATGTACGGTTAGATACAATGAACAATGATACAGCATTAATTTATGATACCCGGGAGAATGTATTATACCGAAGATGTTTAATAAAGAACATATTTATGAATGGATGTTTTTGTTTTTTTCTGTATGAAAATTAATTTGCATGTTTTATAGCCATGGAAACGGGGCACAGAAACAATAAACAAGTTAAATTGTTTGATAGGCATTACTTAGAAGTTGACGGATAACAAAGTAGACACAATGTATGGATAACAACTTCTTTAATTACTGTAAAGGCGACGTTTCGGTGGTTTCTCCCCGTATACTGAAATATTTAGTTTGATAAAAGAGGACACGGTAATAATCTGTAAATAATCGTATGCTTGCCGTAAAAGGTGACTATGCTTGTCGTAAAAGGCGACTAACGGGATCGGGTGGTCAAGGCTTGCTGACTTGGTTGATGCATGTCATCGATCCCAATTGCGTGGATCGATGCTCATGGTATCAATCACTGAATATTGCTGAATATTGCAATTTCAATTTCAACTGTAAATAATCGAGTCTGGACCAGACAATCCAGTGATTGACATCATGTGCACCCCTCCTTTTAAAAAAAGCTGTATCCGCCCATGCCTGTTCACGGTAAAATGGGTCGATCCACATGCCTACTTCGTCTAACAAGCAAATTCACTCATGCCTGACTATACCTGGGTTGTCTAATAGCTACTGTTTACTTGTTAAAAAAAAATACACGAAGCGGGTTGATACTGGAGGATCATGCGCACAGCTACAATGTCACGTGACTGCGTCGCTACAAGCGTGCCTTCAACTACTGAATAACCCTCTAGTGACGTCATCCAATGACGTGTACATGTCGACTGATACAACGGTATTCACTCAGTTCGGGATATATACAATCAAGCGCGTATAAAACCTTTTAGAAAAGGAGAAGTGGATTTTGTGATCACATGTTTGATTACCGTACAAGTGCAATAAGCAAGATATCATGCTGCAGTTTAACATACTCCTCTGAGACGCATTGTACGGACTCCGAGACGACGTCCATCTCTTATGTATTCGCTTAATGCCGTGCACCAGTCAGGGTTACAAGAAATACTATCTCTTGACGGAGTTTGGTATGACTCTGCTGGAGATCGAACCACCGAACTTCCGCTCTATTCAATAGACCACAGACACTGTTAACATAAAATAAAATAAAAATAACAGTGAAATAAACAGAGACTCAGGTTAGAATAGGTCACCAACCACTCTATTGCCTGTAGCACGAGGCGAATAACCTGGATGAGGTGCCCAGGCTCCGGGCCTGTTTGATTATCTTCGTACACCACAGCATGGATTGTTACTCATATTTCCATTCCTTGGTTTGCCCGGCCCAGACCTGATTATCTCCTGGCCGCTGGAATATTGCTGACTGTGGATTTAAACAACTTTCAGCGACTGTTCTGTGATTTTATAGGCCATTCTGGACTACGAGGACAACGTCTTTTGTTTGAGGGAAAAAACAATGGAAGCAGCGACTCCCGGGATTTAGAGTACAGTCCCTTGAGTGAGCTTAACGCCGGCTTGAACAGTATTTCAGCAACATCACGGCGTGTCAATTTGATGTGAAAGCCCGAAGTGATACATGGCTGAGACAGATATAACAATGATGAGACAAAAGACCCTGTTGTTAGCCAATGCTTGTCGGGTGCCACGGAGAGCATCCTGTTGGAAGTCAGGTACAGTCTACACCACATGCAGCAGCCAATGCTTGTCGGGTGCCATGGAGAACACCCTGTTGGAAGTCAGGTACAGTCTACACCACATGCAGCAGCCAATGCTTGTCGGGTGCCATGGAGAACACCCTGTTGGAAGTCAGGTACAGTCTACCCCACATGCAGCAGCCAATGCTTGTCGGGTGCCATGGAGAACACCCTGTTGGGAGTCAGGTACAGTCTACCCCACATGCAGCAGCCAATGCTTGTCGGGTGCCATGGAGAACACCCTGTTGGAAGTCAGGTACAGTCTACCCCACATGCAGCAGCCAATGCTTGTCGGGTGCCATGGAGAACACCCTGTTGGGAGTCAGTTACAGTCTACCCCAAATGCAGCAGCCAATGCTTGTCGGGTGCCATGGAGAACACCCTGTTGGGAGTCAGTTACAGTGTACCCCAAATGCAGCAGCCAATGCTTGTCGGGTGCCATGGAGAACACCCCGCCGTAATATTCCTGAAATATTGATGACAACCAGCCATAAAATAACCTTCACTCACTCATGCAAACAAAACAAAGATCACTTAAAATATTATCAAATATTTTTTATTGCTAAGGCTTCATAACATTCAAACATGAAGTAAATACATGTTTATACAGTCAATGCATGACGTGTACCGGAGATTGTACCCTTGGTAATCAATTCCTGTAGGCGGGTCCCAAAATACCTCATGCTTGACGTGTACCGGAGATTGTACCCTTGGTAATCAATCCCCGTAGGCGGGTCCCCAAGTACCCCATGCTTGACGTGTACCGGAGATTGTACCCTTGGTAATCAATCCCCGTAGGCGGGTCCCCAAGTACCCCATGCTTGACGTGTACCGGAGATTGTACCCTTGGTAATCAATCCCTGTAGGCGGGTCCCCAAGTACCCCATGCTTGACGTGTACCGGAGATTGTACCCTTGGTAATCAATCCCCGTAGGCGGGTCCCCAAGTGCCCCATGCTTGACGTGTACCGGAGATTGTACCCTTGGTAATCAATCCCTGTAGGCGGGTCCCCAAGTACCCCATGCATGACGTGTATCGGAGATTGTACCCTTGGTAATCAATCCCTGTAGGCGGGTCCCCAACTACCCCATGCTTGACGGGTACCGGAGATTGTACCCTTGGTAATCAATCCCTGTAGGCGGGTCCCCAAGTACCCCATGCATGACGTGTAGCGGAGATTGTACCCTTGGTAATCAATCCCTGTAGGCGGGTCCCCAAGTACCCCATGCATGACGTGCAGCGGAGATTGTACCCTTGGTAATCAATCCCTGTAGGCGGGTCCCCAAGTACCCCATGCTTGACGGGTACCGGAGATTGTACCCTTGGTAATCAATCCCTGTAGGCGGGTCCCCAAGTACCCCATGCTTGACGTGTACCGGAGATTATACCCTTGGTAATCAATCCCTGTAGGCGGGTCCCCAAGTACCCCATGCATGACGTGTACCGGAGATTGTACCCTTGGTAATCAATCCCTGTAGGCGGGTCCCCAAGTACCCCATGCATGACGTGTAGCGGAGATTGTACCCTTGGTAATCAATCCCTGTAGGCGGGTCCCCAAGTACCCCATGCATGACGTGTACCGGAGATTGTACCCTTGGTAATCAATCCCTGTAGGCGGGTCCCCAACTACCCCATGCTTGACGTGTACCGGAGATTGTACCCTTGGTAATCAATCCCTGTAGGCGGGTCCCCAACTACCCCATGCATGACGTGTACCGGAGATTGTACCCTTGGTAATCAATCCCTGTAGGCGGGTCCCCAACTACCCCATGCATGACGTGTACCGGAGATTGTACCCTTGGTAATCAATCCCCGTAGGCGGGTCCCCAAGTACCCCATGCTTGACGTGTACCGGAGATTGTACCCTTGGTAATCAATCCCTGTAGGCGGGTCCCCAAGTACCCCAAGCATGACGTGTAGCGGAGATTGTACCCTTGGTAATCAATTCCTGTAGGCGGGTCCCCAAGTACCCCATGCTTGACGTGTACCGGAGATTGTACCCTTGGTAATCAATCCCTGTAGGCGGGTCCCCAAGTACCCCATGCATGACGTGTACCGGAGATTGTACCCTTGGTAATCAATCCCTGTAGGCGGGTCCCCAAGTACCCCATGCTTGACGGGTACCGGAGATTATACCCTTGGTAATCAATCCCTGTAGGCGGGTCCCCAAGTACCCCATGCTTGACGTAACAGCCCATGCAGTCCACCTTAACTTATTATTTATGGATCATTGCTCATAATATTAATGACCGGTGTGTCACTTCATGATACGATTATTTACAGACTGCCATCATAAACAGCTTGAATACTGCTGAGCGCGGCGTTTAACAACAAACAAACAATACAGAAACAACACTGAAGCCGTTAATTATTTTTGTCAAGAGGTTACGGATGTCATAAAGATAACCAGTGTCCTGAGTTAATTTTCCAACGTCGCATTGGCCGAACGTCTCAAGACATGAATTATTTGTCTGGTTACCGGAGACACATTATTTCTTTTGTCTCAGTGGTCGTTATCTAGACCCTTCACTCCCGCCATGGCTGCGAAACCTAACGAGGCCACAAACACTTTTAAAATGTCTTTACCATGTCCGAATTCGTCTTTCAAAATTTCAAAACACGTGACATAAAGGAACGTTCCGCACGCAACACCCTGGAGAATCCCCGACGCCATTGATTGTGCGTCAAGGTCAAGGTTGGATGATGTCACAGCTATGCCGATGCTAATTCCGATAGGCGACATCAACGAAAACAGGAACAGGCACCCGAACGGTCTCTTAAAGTATGGCACAAAGGCTCTAAAAAGCTGAAGACCTAGACAAAAGGCAACTAGACTTTTGTGAATCGAGACGGCAATGAAGATCTCCCATACTTGTTTTGTTTCTTCCTGCAGTCCCACTGCTAAACCGTCAAATAGTGTATGGAAGGACAGAGCGATCAGCAGCAGGAAGGCACTGAATCCAGACGCGGCAGAGAGCGACTCCAGGTCGTGGGTGTGTGATATAGATAGTTCCAGTTCACTGGCATGGGACACCGAGGACATGGTGCGACGCCTTCCTTCCATTTTGTCGATGTCACCGATTGCATCTTGTCTATTTTCGTTGCCTAATAACCGCGTCTCCTCCTCAGCGGGTCTCCTGTAGCGTTGACGTTTAGCTTGGTTCGCCGGAAGTGACGTCACGGCCACTCCCGTCATAAATAACATGGCTAACTTTTCTACGGCGGCGATGAGGAAGAAGCCAGCGCCAGTGAGCATCTCAAACACCGGGTAGCTCGTGAAGTTGTAGGCGTGTTCCAGTCCCTGTTCCAAATCCTCCTTGCCCTCGACCAGCAAATGTAGCAAACACGTGCCAAGAAACACGCCCCCCGCGAAGCAATTCAGCAGACTCAGCACCTTTTCCCTTCGAGCAGATGCGTTCGCATCACCTCCCCTTTTAATGATGAAGTAAGGTATTATGCCAAGCAGCAGCGTGATAACGAGGAGAATGGCGATGGCGATGACTTTGGCGATTATGACGTCCATTGTATGTCCACCTTTCAGATCTGCAAGTAAAACAACGATTCCAATCAAAATATATCGATATATCAATATGTGACTATAGCTATCAAGGCGAACAATAACGTTCCCCCTTCCTGTCCCCGTGGGGATTCCTGGGTAGGATAAGTCCCCACACACATGACACAGCAACTTCTTTAAGCTTGTCATACGTGGCGACCATAGAGCGGCCGCGATGTACTTGGAATATTGCTGAGTGTGACCTTTACTACATACAAATCTCGGATCAGCTCACAACAGGAGTGAGTGAGTATGGTTTTACGCCGCCTTAGCAATATTCCAGCAATATCACGGCGGGGGACACCCGAAATGGGCTTCACTCATTGTACATTAATAAAAAAAATTCTCTTACGATTTGAACGTATCTTGAATAATTGTGCATCCTAGAATATATCGGACGATGTGACATAAGCGTTTCAAGCAGCCCGCGAGTCATCACCCGTAAGTAAATAAATACTATCCTGTTATCCAAACAACTATTGACATACAGTGTTCCCCCGACAAGCTCACATTATGCACGACGCATACCTTGGTAGTAGGTAGGACTGGGACGAGTCCAAATTTACTACCCGGGTACTCGACACCCTGTTACCCGACCCTACCCGGGTACCCGCTGTAGGCCTTAAGAGTTGGGTACAAAATGTCCGAATGGGAATTGTTTTACCGCAGCCGTGGCAAAAACTATTTAGATACACGTATAAAACAATCTGATCATGTATAATCTGCAGTTGATAGATGCTTTATCCTTACTTGAACATATAAACGTGCTTGCATAGTGAGAACGAAATGTGAACATTAGCTATACTTGTAGTGTAACCATTGAGTTTTATTGTTAATGAGAGGGACCATTACCGCTCATTGTAAGTGTCGTGAGATACTGTTCAAAGCGGATGTAAACCAGTCATTAACTCACTAATTTCAGCGTGTTTAATATACATTAATATATATTTGGAGTGAGCCTCGCCCCCTGACTCGTCAATTATTCACGAGTGTTCATACGCGGAAACTGGGTCAACGTTCGACTCCCTTTGATCATTGAGCCCGACCAACACAAATGTGTTTCATGTAATAATTTACTGTTAGGAATATTTTAACAAATATTTTCATAATAATTTACGCATTTAGTATGTACACACATATCATTTAACAGGTGTGAGACCAAGATATGGTTTCTTTTCAATATTTGTTTACATCTATCTAACTATAACTCACATCATAGATTTTAACTCATTGTGCACGACTAACACAAACATGTTTAGTGTAATAATTTACACTTAGGAATGTTTTAAAATATATTTTCCTTATTATTTACGTATTTCGTATGTAGACATATCACTATATTATGCGAGTTAAATAGATAAGGTTTCTTTTAAAAGTTTGTTAACATCTTTCTCCAACTATTACTCATGCCCATGTAATTTTCTCAAACCAACAACAAGCAGACCAGTGCGCAGGGCGCCGCGCAATAATCTCCAAGTACCCACACTTTGATTGCATAGAGCCCAAGAAAGTATGACAAATTACACACAACACAGGGATGAGTGATGTGGTATGGTAGTGAGTGTGTTCAAAGATCGATTGTGTGTGGACAAGTAAGGCTTAGTTAGACACAAATTTGATTTTTTTATATGCACTTGGTACACGTTTTTAATAAAAAGTTGCACTGGTGCATGGTTTATATAGCAAAAGAAGAAGAAGAATCATTTCAGTCCGCGCGCCTGACCAGGCATGGGTTGCTGAAGACCTATTCCAAACCGGATCTTCACGGGTTCATAGGTGAAGTGAGGTGAGGTGAAATGGGGTTAAATGCCACGTTCAAGATTATTGCGCTTTTATATAGCGTGCGTGTGTGTGCGCATGCGTGCGTGTGTGTGGCTGCTTGTATACATGCCTCAGTTAAAATTGAGTACCCCACTCAGACACAGTATACTGACTCCGAGTCAACCAGTCCTTGTTTTAGCCCCTCTATATGCCAAGCCCCGGGCAGGGTAACAACAAGAACCATCTTTTAACATATTTTGGTATGGCGCGGCCGGGAATCGAATTCCGAACGGACGCTCCACCACCAGATCACAGAGGCGGTCATACATAATTGGACTCCATTCCCATTTCCTATTTCAATCCACGTGCACTTCAAAATGTAAATCTCGCTAATTCCAAACATTCTGATGACACATTAACAGCGTCCGTTCGCGCTTGTTAAAACTGTTCATGCGGCTTCGAGATTCCAACAATCTCATTAAAATAAGATCTTAGTTTTCGCTACCGCTGAACAAAGGTCCGAGGACATCCCATTACGGGTCAAGTCAGACCGACCTTGCGCGAACTTTGACCGACCATTGAAATGACTGACAAAAAGTCGACATTAGCCAAATAGAAGGCAGCTTTCTCGTGCTTTACGACACTAATTTCAAATTGGCGACTACGCTTGGAAACATTTTGACAAATTCTCGAGAAAAAAAATTGAAACCTGAATAAAAGAAATTCTGGAATGGCTAATAGATGGTCTAGATTGTATGGATTCAGTCGTTTAGCCCGTAACTATCGTTCGGAATACCCTGTGTTAAGGTGTTCGAGGTTGCATGATTAGAAATCACACTCCGACTGTCACTTTCATGATCTGGTAAGCGACTCTCTGATTGGTCGGATGAAAGGTCGTTCTGACGTGACCCCTAATGGGATGTCCTCGGATCTTTGTTCGGCAGTAGCGAGAACAAGATCTGATTTTAATGAGATAGAGATTGCAACTTCGTGATTAAGGTACAAAGATCACAGTTTGGACTTGGAGCAAGGTTCGAGATAGCGCCTTGCCCTTTATCTAGAATCTAAGATAATCAGACATCTATATATAATGAGGCGGTCGGTACAGTAGAATAGGTTCAAGGTGTCGGTATGTGATAACGTTGTTCGACTGTATAACGACTTGCTTCCAAGATTAATTTTGAATTTTCATATGACCATCCATATATTTTTGTTACTTCCTATCATTTATCAACAATACGTTTTCTTAAAAAAGTACTCTGTGTTTGTTTCGTTCTTTCTACGGTAGTTCGCTGTTGCAATGGTTCATGCCGTTTCATACGGTGATATTTGATTCTACGTTTCATGCCTTTTATTCTTGGCCAGGTTGTCTTTTTAACTTGGTCTGTTTTTTCAAGTCAAGAGATATTATTTCCATTAAAAAATACATGATCTATTCGTTTGTTTGATTGTTGTTTAATGCCACACTCGGCAATATTCCAGCTATATGACGGCAGTCTGTAAATAATCGAGTCTGGACCAGACAATCCAGTGAATGACATCATGAGCATCGATCCACGCAATTGTGATACTATGGCATTAATCAAACCAAGTCAGCGAGCCTGACACCCCGATCCCGTTAGTCGCGTCTTACGACAAGCATAGTCATCTTTTACGACAAGCATGGGATGCTGAAGACCTGTTCTACCCCGGATCTGCACGAATCACATGATCTATTCACGAGGTTGAGTTGAACAAAGTCAAATTCTTCAGAACATATTTCATATCTAAGCCGGAAGTAATCACACGACAAACCTAGCGAACAAAACGGAACAGTACCCAGCCGTATTAAACTATCATACAACAAAGATTCGTCATAACAAGTTGTACTTTACACCAATCCTCTCCTTCCATTGATCCCACTTCCGTCCTCTACATATGACATCATATGGCGGAGAATATTTGATGTCCGCATCAATGTCTGCCTGCATATTCTCGCGATACTTGGTTGATCCATGTCATCGTATCCCTATTGCATTGATCGATGCTCAAGATGCCAATCACTGGATTGTCCTGTCCAGACTCGATTATTTACAGGCCGCTGTCAAATAGCGGGAAGATTGCTGAGTGCGGCGTTAACAACTGTTAGAACAGGGTTTAGATATCGACAGAAACTATCTCAGTTGGTACGTCACATGAAAATTGTCGATCCTGAAAAAGAAACCACCTGTCCTATGTTTCACATTTCCCAAGCATCGTCGTCCATGCTTCACGTTACATATGCAGGTGTCGTCATATCGTAGACACAAGTTTCAAAGCAAACATAAGTTTAAGGCATAAAACAACCTACCTAATGACCTCTTTCTTCCGCTGAAAGTATGACCAAGAGGGTATTAAAGCTGGATTAGGCCTTCACATCTTGGACATTAAGATAACCATTACACGCCAGCACAAGTCCGCCTCGCTCGGGCCGCTCGCTTCTATCGAGTTTCAGTGAAATAATGGTGGTCACATGACTTGACATGTGAATCAAGATGGCGGGGTTAAGTGATGGCGACCTTGTGTAATCATTTCGTAACGAACACGTGCTATTCCGGGACAGGTTGATGCCTGCCCATGAAGACTCAACTGGCCTATGCCTCTATGTTCTCCATTTTTAGAGGAGATACGGTTTTTTTTAAATGTGTAGGAGCCTATTTATATATATAATATAAAATTCAAATCCAACATTAGCCAGAATCTAGCCTCTCCATTAGAGTTCTCGTCGCCATAATCCTCACACATATGACGTTTAATTTCACTCTCATTAGTGTAGTACTGTTATAGTGCAAACCATTTAAATACTTTTATTTAAAATAGTGCAAACCATTTCAATACTTTTATTTAACATTTCATTTATCTAAATACCTAACTGGTTCAACATGTTTCCAAGTGCACCGAAATTTCTATGCCCTTTGTATGTTTAATAAATTCAGCAAACATTCGACGTATCCCCTCTTATCATAAGCCCCTCCGGGCAGGACCCTTAATCTCCAGGGCTATCTATAAATTTCAATTAACACCTCCTAACGTCGCCGGATCTTACGTCTATACATACACGTGGGACAATGACCTTGCCACACGTTACGTAATACCTCGCTCTACAAAACCCGACTGACATGGTCAGTCAGGGAGACAGCCTAGAGAGACAGCCAGAAGGTAAGTGACAGAACGGTTCTCCCACCCGGGAACATTGGCCACTAGGTCC